GCTTCCTCCTCAATTTAAGCTTCCCCTTTCATCGGGATAACCACTGTTTCACTGTTGTCCGCTTCAACGGTAGCAGAAAAGGCTGAGGGAAGGAATGTCTACTGGCAGGTATGATTGTGCTCCAACACAATGTTATCATCCGGACACAGTTTTGTCGAACATTTGGAGGAAATCATTTTGCTCGATCTTTGACTGTCTGCTGGGCTGTGAGGCAGCTGTTGGGAGACTCACCACCTGGTGAGCAGCTTTGAAGTACACTTTGAGGATTAAATTATTCATTCAGGATGGCGACATGTATCCAGCTTGCCTGAGACTGTGGAAAGGGTTTTTTGCCTCCTGCAGCTCAGCTTCACTGGACAGTATTTCAGCACACCAGGCTTCATCCCACTTTATGAAAATACAGACTTTTCAAAAAGAGTCCCAATTCTTTTCAGACAAGACTCAGTAATAACACAGAACACAGTCTCTCGCAGTCAAAATTGAGATTATTAGCACGATAAAGTTATATTGTACATGAAATATTTCATGATCTGTGCCCTTTTTAGCATGTCTGCAGGATGTCCCTGATTTAAAAATGATTATGTCCACCACAGGGCTCTGACTTGAAATGAATTTCTGCTAAAATGAAAATTAGGATAGATATCCAGCTCTAAAATAATTCAACCCATATTTTGACTTTTAATTTGGTTACAGCACTTTGAAGATAAATCCTTGTGTGTTCACAAAGGTTTGAGGCTACAAATGGAAAAAAGCAATTTAGATTTTATGAATAATGTGGGTGATTGACAGGAAATTAAAATGGGCCTGGACCGTGACAAGGACGCCCAGGAAAACTCAGCTTTGAAATTGATGGGCTACCCATCATTGTTTTGTTCTTTGTCAGAAATATCCACTGTGCGTGGTTGGCTTATAACTGTCATCAAACACATGAAACACTACAGTGTGTGAGCATTAATATTCTATCATCAAATAAACGTATAGATCTCTACTGTTACATGGAGCTAATACATGGGTTAGTTTACACATGTGCTGTTTGTAAATCTTTAAAATAACTTGGATGAAGACAAGTGCAAAAAAAACCAACTACTTTTTAAATTGTCCCAAAAATTCCTGATACTTACTAAAACCTTTTTCCCACTCTTACTAAGTTGAAATGATAGTATGCTGCATGCTCTTCTAATGAGGTAAATCAGGAAACGAAGACAGAAGGCACAGAGTTTAATGTAAATAAGCCCTAATTGTTTCTCAGCGGAGCAGCTCCACATCCAAATGAAAGAAGAGAGAGTTGTTTGAGATAGATAAGCATAGTTTCACTAATTCTGCCAACACACACACACATACAATAACACAAAATTAGCAGCCTTCTTTCATTCTGTCACAACACACAATCTAACCTGTCAGCAAATTTGCTGCAGTTGAGGTACAGTGTGATTTACACCAGGATTTTCTGTACTGCAGAGCCAGTTTTCTTCTGTTACAGTAACTGTTAGCCACTGCAGTGAGACTGCAATGAGCAAGCAGTGAGATACTGTATGATTTTATCTCTACTGACACAGGGGATCAAATTATGAGAAGGCCCTCAAGGCCTGCATGCCACAGAAAAGTGTGAACCCTGTGGTTGTGTAATAATTGTCTTGGCTGACTCAATTCACCACAAATTTTACTACTCTAAGATCAAGCCGGAGCAGGAAATTGGGAGGTTTAACTTGACCAGCAGAATGAAGAATCTTCATCTTGTTAGCCAGGGTCATTTCTGTAAAAGGTTTAAGTGTCTGTTGACTGGTTTCTCTTCATGGGATAAATTAGGGGTATATGGATATTTCTATTATGTCATCTTCACTTTTCTCCTTTCTCTACCTTTTTTAGCTCCCCGATAAAATAAAGACACAATACTTTATCTGAATGATGTCAAGGGCTGGACAGAGATGGTGTCAACTTCTTTTATGTGGCTTTTACATTAATGATCAGACCATGCACCACCGCCCAGAGCAGGCCCAGTTATGCCTCAGAGTGCCTCTGCTTTAAAACTGACCACTATAACTACTGTCATATTCACAGTGCCCCAGATCTTTTGTAGATGCTATACTCTCTCAGGTATACGTAGCTTGAGGGTACTTTCATGTGGCAGGATTTAATTATGGGCCATATTTAGACATACTTTAAACCGATTCAAGGGACAAAAAAGTCAGAGGAGACCCAGTTTTTCTAGATAAAGCCCAGCTGCCATCAGAAAAGCGCATAATCTGGTTGAGAAACCCCCTGCTCCTATTTCTTTGGCACTTCTCAGCCCCAGACAGGTCGGAACTTCTACATTTGACAGTCATTGTTTGCCATCAAGTTTTATGATCATTGAAGAAAATGAATGGGATGGCTGGTATTCTTGGATTCAGTTACTCTTGGGAATGACCATTCTCTACCAACATTGTCTGAAATAGAAGCATAAGGCACCATATGTTTCATGATTCCTGCAAAGCTTCCAGCAAAAAGGGAAATAATTCAGCATGTCACATCTGCTCACAGACTCAACCAGAAGGATTTATCACTAATTCTAGTGGTTTCTAAACTGCTTGAATTGCAACCACGAAGGCTGTACTTCTCACCATAATCTTCTTACATACTCCCATCTGCACCACAGATGACTTAATGGTGTTTCACAGAGGACGTGGCCAGCATGACCTATGATCATTTAAAATGCCAAGAGGGGCCATTTAAGTGATCTTGACGAGGGTCAGACAGGAAGTGGTATTTATTCTGCGCATTAATAAACACAATACTCCATGAAAAGTGTCTGAGCATAACCTAAAAGCCCGACAGTGTACAGAAAGTCATTATGAGTCCTTCATCTCAAGCACATTTGACAATATATTTTTTATTCTACTCTTTACTTTTTCTTTGGGGATAGAATTTATAAGCAGACAATACAAATGCCTTATATTTTCCTCAGGGGATTATTCAACAAGTAAAAGGTGGGCTGTAGCAATTGTCAAAAACCACTCTTACTGCCTACTATGTATGCTCTGAAATTATAACAACGCCAACCATATTTCTGTGTCTGTGTACAAATCAAGACCGGTCTGAAAATGAAACCATACTCTGACCAACAAAAGCAGCGTTATTAAATGAAAAACATCCCTGGTCTTGTATCAATAAATCGGCCTTTACTTCTTATTGCCTTTTGAAAAATATTGTGGAGGCAAAGTGTATTTGTACAATGTGTTCCTCCATGGGTAACCTGTTGTTTTCTTTTTAGCGGGTGCTGAAAATATTGCCTATACAAGCAAACAGAGAGCATCAAAGAAGGTACGGTGAGAACAAGTCCAAGAGTGAGTGCAGCACATAGCCATTGATCACAGTAACTCAAAACATAAAACAAACTCTACCCAGCCACAGTGCATGTTCAATAAGACAAGCCTTGACATGCCTTAAAAGTACCATAACTGAAAGGAAACTTGTTTTTCTTGAATTGCTTAAAAAACGAAAGTTGTTTTCTCTGCAAAGTGTTTTCTGTTTTTGTTTCAATAGCTTATCACTTGAAGTTACACTACCTTATACATTTTAAGGCAAATTATTCCCTGATAGTTTCCTCGTAATGTGAGTGCTTTGACTTTTATGATTAACTTTTTGTCATAATTAATTCTCATACAGATATTTAAGATTTCTGAATGAGCATTTTTCATCAAACTAATTGATCATTATGAGTCAACCACTCTGAAGAATACTGACATGACACAAAGTACCTTGATATAGTTCTTGTAAATTTAGAAAGCTTGACGTACTTTACTTGGAAAATTTGAGGAAATCAGTCTCCTAACTTTTATATAGGTGAAAACGATTTCAAACAATTAACAGTGCGCAGAGCACAGCAGGCAGCCAAAGTACATTTAAGTATAAATGTGTCTTACCTTAATGTTGCTATTTATCTAGTAAGGAGTTTACTTTCCCCTTCAAATCAATCAATCATATCAACCTCCAATGTGACCTGCACTGATTCTGGATAAACTAAAGTTTCTCAGATTTGAGAAACTTCTTTAACCTGCAACTTGTGTGCAGGGAAAGGTCAACAAAAGTGAACAAATTCAACTGCTGCAGGATTAACAAGCAGAGAAGAGTATAGTTTTTAGATGTTGCACATCTTTCGCCAAACAGGTCAATTTCATCTTGCTCAATCTTCGTCTACCTGTCCTCTTCTTGCAGAATGGCTTCTAGCAAGCTGACTGACCCATTTACATAGTGATGTTTCTGCAGCAAAATACTTTTCGGAGTCCTCTGCCAACTGATTTGGGAAATACTTAAAATAGTTTTTCCAGTTCTACATTGCATTTTCAGGGACAGCTGTCCCTGCAGTTTTGCTGCCCTCCCTCCTCACTTTGTCTCTGGCTCTGGTAACTCACTCTCCAAGTCTTCTTTTGTCCACTGTCACTTTCTACCACAAGCCCTCCGTCAAAATCTTGTTTACTTGCAAATTCATCATGTTCATCACTAGGGTTTTGCATTTTCTCTGGGTAGACCATGTGTCCTCATTACTGCACAAGCTAATAGTTGCCTGGCTCAGGCAGTGTGGGCTACACTGATAATTAAGACTGTAGAGGCCTTGGAGGTTTCATTTTTCCAGATTAAATTTAATATGTATACACATCTCTGCCTCAATTCATCCATATCACATTTCTTTAAAATGTCCCTCTTTCTCTGCTCCCTATTACAATAATTTTGCCCTTCCTATGGTCAGCTTGTGCCTCAAAGTGCCATGCTGCACTGCCATGTTCTGTTTTTCTTTTGAAATTCCTGACCAAGTCTTCTCACCTTGTTGCCCCAAACTACCATGTTTGCTAATTCTAACTCTATCGTAAAGTTAGCTATTATTATTATTATTATTTTTTTTTTTTTTACAAAAATAATAATGTTTACATATGAAAAAAAAAATGCTTTCAGTTGTGTAAAATTAAAAACGTGTTGGTGAGTTATACATTTACTCACCGTGTATGGTTCAGTGACATTGTCACGTGCAATAACCCGATGACCAATCGGGAAGCGAGCTGAACGAAGCAGGAAGCGTGACAAATGCAACAGTAGCTACGATAGTTAACGCGAAGCGCGAGCTGAGGTGGACGTCGGAAAGACAGAAGGTGAAACGCGAAAGTTCACACATTGTATTAGGTAAAAGAAGTCGCAACCACAATGACAAGCGGAGGGGATTGAAAGAAATCGCTACTCTAATAGACGTACTGGGAACCCAAGCAGCTAGCAACAGTTAGCTCCCGTAGTCCGACTTGTTTCCTCCATTAGAATCACTTTTAAAAGTTTTCATGACTCGGGACTCCGGCTGCTACTCTACAGGACCAAAACCGCCAAATCCTGTCATCACTCGCCCTCATGTGTGGAGTTTCTGACGTTTTCAAGATCGGCCTAGATCATAAAAATCTTGTAGTGTGTGCCACATTTACGCGAACACCTCAGCGACGATCAAAAGGCGCAGTTTGAGGCACAGCCAGCCTGCCTTTCTCCTCCAGCAGCTGCTCTGACGATATCTTCTCCATGATCAGTATACAGGATTCTTGGAATGACAAGTTTTGGAGTTCTTCATTTTCCTCATTAAAGGAGCAATTTCGTGAGAGCGTTACACAGACACTTTTTTGTGTGAACTGCATTTAGATGCTGAATGTTGTTTTGAACGGATAAAGTGATTGAAAAACATTCTCATTGAACTTTGAAGTGCAATGCTTCACACTCACTTAAGGCCCAGAAAACGCAGCTGGCTCTCAGAGACGTTATTTACCTGGAAGTGCTATAATGACTGGAACCATACTTGATGCCTGCAGCTGTTTTACTGGTGAGCAAATATCTCCTTCTCTAAATGTTCAACCACGAGAGATGATGTTGTGCTTGAGATTAATTCATACATTAAAAACAGTTGGCCTACATGTAGTGATCATCTGTTGTAGGCCTGTTTTTGATTTGTTAATCTTTGCTTCAGAGTGCGGCTTGTTTTGAGATTTGTGTGATGTGTGAAAGCTTAATTTCATATTCAATTTAGTTAGTTCTAGTTTGGTATCAGTATTCTTGCCTCCAGCCTCGAGGCCTGTCTAAAATCCCATGCTGCTTGTGTGAATTTTCAGTGTCAGAGCCAGAATAAGTCACTGGCAAAGTTGTGTTTTTTAAAGTGTGGTGGTGGCAGCTTTGACTTCAAAGCCCCTAAAATAGGAATAATAATAAAGTGGGATCCAATTTGTTGCAGGAACTCGCAAAATGCGAAGGAAGTTTGATAATTTTTTATGTCTTTGGTGTTTTAATTGACTAAACTTTTGGTGTTTTTAACAATGCACTGTCACCAAACTTTAGCAGGACATGGTTGTGTTGTTGAAAGATTTCTAACTTTTCCTTGAATTATTTTCTTCATTTTCCCTGAATGAGTCAATTAATTCCATTAAAGCAGCACAGAGTCTAGCGAGACTTTCATTTCACCAGACATGCTGCTGAGATGAAAATCCTTATTTACTCCATTTTCTGTGCTGTTATCCCTCGGCTGCTCTTATTCTTGTGCACAGTCTGTAAGCTGGTGCAGATTAGTTGAGTTATTCATTACAGAGGGTGTCTGTTGTCGATTGCAGAGCTTATCCACTGTGATTAATGCTGGGTTTGTGTAACTATCAAAGAAAACAAAGACTGGTCTTTTAAAGGGTCTTCTCCACTAAGGGATACATTGAAAAGATATACTTACAATGTGTTACATGCTGTGTGTTTTCCTGGTAATGTTCTGTTCATGAATAGATGAAGCTGCTGACGTCCCTGCTTTATTACACGTTTCTGTTACTGCAGCTGCATCCTCTCAAGAGAAACTGAATAATTCCAGTTTGTTTTTTCCCCCTCAGCTATTAGCTGTCATGGTCAATAAGTGGTATTGTTTAAATTTAAAAATGTGGTTGTCATAACGACCCTTAACATGATTAATTTGGAGGGACCTGTACATTGAATGTGTTACTTGGACATGAAAGATTTGTCAGTATATTGATTTTTTGTGTGTGTTTGTGTAAAGCAATGCAAGTCAACCGAGCCTGTTGAGATTGTTTTGGTGTCTTCTGCCAATTCCGGTTTGATTTATTCATTGTTGATACCAAATATTATACAGGAGAAGTCAGCTGATCTCAGGTATGTGTAAATTTGAAGTAACCTGGGATTTGCCACTGTTAAATTCCTCTTTACTGTGACAAGGATACATCACAAGTCATTCTCTTCTACATTGTGTGTGCTTGTCAACATCGCCACTCACACTGGTATGTGCACACTCATGAATACGCTCATATATATGCAAGTGAAGCCACTGCACTGTTGCAACTCAGTTTTAGTATTGGATGTGGGCAATTCCCCGAGGCAAGGATCTGCTCTCCACCCAAACAATGAGGTGCAGCTTTTGCTCTCGCGGTGAACGAGGGGAAGCAAGCCCATTCAGGAGGTCAGCTCCGAGCTGTTGACATTGCTCCCTGGTTGCCTGTAGTCCTGGGCAGAGCCTCATTATCACAGGGTCTGCTTGGAAGAGAGTGGGCTTCGTTAGGAAGCAGCTGTCAGTGCTGAGGGGCGAAAGCAAAGGGAAACAGCAGAGAAAGTAGAACCTACTCTGCAGTCCATTTGCAGTGGTGCTCAAGGGCCAGTTGGCCACAGTTGTATAGTCTGCTTTTGTGTGTGTTTGCACAGTGTGATTCTTACCTGTGGGTGTGTATAAGTGTGTGTGAGGGTTGAGAGAGTCATATCACCTGTATGGCAGTGTTTTCACTTATTATTATTTATCCTACGGTATTTTATTTCCATCAGGATTTTTCTAATCTAGTCAATTTAATGCAAATTTAAAAGTTGCTATCAATTTCTTGAAAAAAGTGCACAACAGATGTTGAAAAATTGTGAAACTTGCTATCTCTTATAGACATGGACAGAAAGGCTCATGACATAAATCTGGCGTCATCTTGTTACAAAAATAAATCAGTTATAAAAGCAACATATTGTTGGTCCCCACAGACAACAAAACTTGACATGTCTTAAGTAACAAATGTGGTTAAATTCTTGATTGGAACTTGAAGCTTCATCATCTGTGGGTATTTTAAAACATTTATTTCATGAAACAAAGTTATTCCAAGCTGCTTGAGCTGGCAAGCTCAGTAGAAAAGGGGAAAGGAAATATCTTTCATTCTTAGCAAGGGCTAGCAAGGGCTAAGAATGAAAAATAATTTCGAATGCAGTGAGCCATTTATCATGCATTATGGGAAACAAGATGAAATGTATAGTGGAGGTCTGCAGCATGTGTCAGGTTTCATGTCTGTCACACTCGATCAGTGACCGCAGCTAATGAGATGCTACATGCTGCCTGGGACTGGAGCTGGAAAACTGCTGTTCTGGTGCACATTAGAATCTGGGGAATTCCAAAAATCCAGCATCTGGTGAAAAACACAGCAACCCTCTATGGCACAGTGGTCATTAACTTCTGGGATTTACAGTGATACGATACCCTGTTGAGAAAAAGTTTTCACGGTGATGAAAACAGTCCTTCAAACTTGACCAATTTTCTGCCAAGCAGAGGCAACACAAGTCAGGAAAAGAAGCTTCCAATGCCTTCCCATTTAATAGCTACAAAGATATGAAATGTTGATCTACAGATGTTAATACTACAGCTGAGCAGATTAAGGTATAGATCAGCGGGTTGTTGAAAGGTAGATGGATTGATATGGTGATGCTTGGGAATAGTTTAGGCATGACGTATTAGATTTCCATGTTTGAACAGTTAAAGTGATTAAATCACGTTTGAGAGACTTGTGTAGGAATTCAATTGTAGAGAGAAAAATGGACATGAAACGAGTGAATATGTTAAAAATGTCTCTGAAATTATAAGACTAAAACTCCAAATCTAAAAGTTTATTAAAAAAAACAGCTGTCACATTATTATGGCAAAAAGAAATTCAGTTTCAACAATTTAAAGTTTGTGTGGAAACATAAAAATTACAAAAACCATCAAGTCTAAAGAGATGAGGGAAAACTCTCGGACTGCTAATTTGGTGGAATAAAGGGACGCACAGACGTCATGAAGCCATATACAATTTTATTTAGCTGTCTCATATTTCAGTTGTACAAATGAACTACCCTTTTATATAACACTCTTTTAGGCATGTTTTCCCAAAGGGCCAAAAGTACCAAAAATAGCATTATATTTCCTCTGCACAATCCCACAGAGGATCAGACACTCATGTCAAACGCTATCTCCTTTTCATGCAGAACCACCTTGACATTAACTTTTGTACTTCAGAGCGATGAGGGTTAGGGTTAGCTCAGTTGAGAGCTTAGATAGTAATATATTTTGATAGCTCTAAGGGTAGTGATTTAGGTCCCTTTGAAATTTAATGGGTCCCCAATTCGTTTTTCATTTCAGGAAATTGACATTATATGCTTGAGATGGCTTATAACCATGAGATATATTCAGAGGGCTTCAAAAGTACTTAATAATTATAATAAAAACATCATATTCTTACACAATAAAACCAATATGTTTTTTCTGCTGCATTTTTGAAACATTTTTTATATGTCTATATTCATATTTGGAGGATATTACTGAATGTGCAGCCCAAGCGTCTGCAGCAAAATGCAGGAATGAAGTGAAACAGTTCATATCAGATGATCCAGAGCCTCATCACACAGAAGTGAGCTCTGTAAGCATATGCAGCAGAGTTTGATCTGTCAGTCACATTGACTGAAAGCCAGTTGGGGTGACTTGAGAAGACTGTCACAGCTCTAGCCCTTTTTGAAGGGTTGACAAAGGCGGTGGGCACCTCATCTGCATCTGAATTTGATGTCAGGGTCCTAAAACATTTTCTGTCCAGACAAAGAGGCTTACTCATCTACTAACCTGTAGACTTTTAAGTGGGTCAGAATGAACAGGTGAGGTCATTGATTTTCAAGCTACTCCTTCAGAAATGTAAGTACCTTAATTTTTACCTCAAAATATATTAGATATTATTAAATTCAAGTATTTCAACACACTTCACGTGGGTGCATGCCATTCATGACTTTGCATGGAAAAGTATACTATCAGAAATTTAGCTTACTTCATATAAAGCTAGCTCCAGATGGCCTACTAAGCGAGCTAGCTTTTACTTTCATACTTATAATACTGTATGCATTGGATGTGTGTGTGTGTGTACACCAATGGAGAAACATAACATTATGACTACTGACAGGTGAGGTGACGGTGGTTGTCTTTTTTTCAGTGTTATGTGTCAGTGGGTGGGATGTGTTAGGCAGCTAATCAATAGTTTATGTGTTGGGAGCAGAAAAATGGACAAGTGTAAGAATGTGAGCTACACTGACAAAGAGCAAATTATGACAGTTAGACGACTGGGTCAGAGCATCTCCAGAACTGCAGCTCCTGTGGGGTTTTTCCCACTCCACAGTGGTCGGTGCCCAACAGAAGTAGTCCAAAGAAGGAAACTGGTAAACGAGTGATACGGTCATGGGCAACTTACCTCAAAAACCTGCAGGATGCATGTGCCCTGTATTCTGTTTTTGCTCACCCAGGCCCACTGGGAGCCTGTCTGAAGCACAGCAGCAGGGGAGCAGAGCCTGGAGCAGCTGGTTTCAGTGTACACACAGACAGGTTACTTTGCCTTTTCGTGGTTGATTTCCTGCTTGTTTGGATTCTATTCTGAGACTCTTGTGCTTCTGCCACTAGTGAGCATGTAATGCGGTTCATGCGTTTGGTTTTTCAACTACGACTGTACCTCCCAGATTGCGTCGACCGACCCTCATTTTAAACAACCCGAATTGGTTGTTTTTGGCTTGTGTACGTTATTTATTTTGTATTATGATCTACTAATTAACTAACTCTTGAAATTTTACAGTATAAACTGAATGAATCGTTAAACGGTTGGCTTATAGTAGGATTTTGTTTTTCTGCTAACGACTTGTGTGTGTGTGTGTGTGTGTGTGTGTGTGTGTGTGTGTGTGTGTGTGTGTGTGTGTGTGTGTGTGTGTGTGTGTGTGTTATACAGTACTACAATGGATTTTGACATTTTGGCTTTAACATGGTTCATGTCAATCTTAGTTTCTTGTCTATCATTACACCAAAAAATTAGTTTCAATTTCTTTGTATCTTATTTTCTAGTAAAACTTTGCAACTCTATTTCCAAAAATTATGTACATAGTTTTACCAAAATTAAGTGATTATTTCTTAGCATCAAACCATTTTTCTGTTGTTTGTACTCCTTTCTCCAGGGTTCTTTAAGTTTCCGGCCACAGAAAAAATTGTTGTATTATCTTCTGCAAATAACATACACTTTACACTTTTGAAACCAAACATATATCCTTGATATACAATGTCAACAACAGTGTTCCAAGAATCAAACCTTGAGGCACCCCTCATGTAACCTTCCAAAGCTTTGAATTGAGTTTTTAACACAGACATACTGATACCACTATGTAGAGCCAATTATGGGTCAGTCCTTTGATACCACACCTTTGTAATTTAGATAATAATAATTTATGGTCAAAAGGGGCAAATCTTTTTTGTGAATCAAGAAGTATATATATTCATTGTGGTGTTTCTGTTTTCCCTAAATCCACATTGTTGTTCACAGAGTATGTTATGCTTAAAAATGTCATCTTCAGCAATAATTATAATAACTTTATTTATACAGCACTTTACAAAACAGACAAGTGCTACACAACATTAGTGGGTCAATAGAAATGATTAAAAATTCAATAAAGATAAAACCCCAAAACCCACTCTGAAGCAAAACCCCAAAAAGTTTTTTTAATTTTTTAATTTTTTTAAAATTTTTTTTTAACAATACAAGTTAATTTATAATGATAATAATAATGAACTAAATATAATGAATATAAATAAAAAGCCAGTGGAGGGAGGCTAAAACAGAAGTGATATGCTCTCTCTGTTTTGTTTTGGTGAGGAGTCTGGCTGATGCATTCTGGACTAGCTGTAGTTTATTTAGGCTCTGCTGTGAAAGACAGGAATACAGGCAATTCAGTCAATGTTTCTTTTAAATCCAAAAAATGTCATAACCATTCCAGTCTGTTTTTCTTCAGATATGTGCACAATATAAATTATTTATTTATCACCTTTTTTTTTTTTTTTTTAATTAAGACTGAATGAGTATTTTTAATGATAATTCTACTGTTGGCTCCATCAGTAGTACCTGGAGGGATGATGGTGTTCGTTAATTTTTTCCTACATTGACAAGTTAATTAAAATGTTCTGATATTTGTTCATTTTCACTAATCATTTTATTGTTGAGTTAAAGTAATGTGGTTGGACAGTATTTCCTTTTTTCTTTTTTAATGACTTTATTCAAAACTCTACAAGTATGTTTAATATCAGACCAGTTTTTTTTACTTGCAATTAAATAAGTGTGTGGGTTTTTTTATTTGTTTGTTTGTTTGTTATGTCTCTTGGTACCTGTTAGTTTGTTTCTATATGTCTTACATCTATTTTCAGCATCTTTTGTTCAAAGTCTTATAAATTTCTCATGTAACATTTTTTAAAGCATTTTGTTTTCTTTTTTGTTATCCATGGCTGATCTGCATATTTATTTTTATCCACTTGAATCACTAGAGGACAATGTTTGGCATACAAGTTTGTTATAATAGAAATTAAATAAGATTCATTTACATTGTTTACATAAATTTCACTCCAATCCTTATTTATTCAGGCCTCCCTCAGGATTGTAAATGGCATTTTCTGTTCTGAATCTCCAGGTTATTTTTTTCTTCAAATTCATTTTTATGAAATAATCAGAAACTACAAACACAGGTAAATGATCATAAGTATCAATTATGAGTAAACCTCCTGCGATACTCCCTTCAGGAACATTTGTAAATATATATTCATTAAGCGTGGCAGTGTGTACCATTATCCTGCTTTTGTCTGTGATTGAAGGATACAGCCCTACAAAACAATAGATTGGCAAAATTTATGTTTGTGAGATCTATATCAACATCTTCACAGACAAAAATAGACTTTTTGTAACTGACTTATGGTATATTTCTGACAGTCTATCCTTGAATGTATAAATGTTGCTACCTTGGACTCTCCAAATGCAGCTAAAAATTGTATTTCTTTATTCCTCTGATTTTATTTCAGCTGTGACACATTGACATTTTGTATGACACATTTTCAACAATTTCACCACAGTAAGATGACTTGATATACGGTGTAACACCCCTGCCTCATGTTAGGCTTGTTCGTAGAGAACACATTATATATCTCAATTTGTACCGCAGCAGTTTGCTTCTTAGAAACTGCTGTTACAGAAAAGATCTTGTTGTGTTTTAACACACAGTTCTACTGTCAAGTGCTTGCACTGCTGATTCATGTAGAGAAAAAAAGGATTGTCTGGATCGATGTCATGTTCAAGGTTATGAAGTCTGTGATCTGTGTCATCTAAAGTTTTTAGACAGAGATTGTCTGCAGATGTGAATGGTTGAATGGTTTTGTCTTATTATCCTTCCTTGGGGGTGCGTGGCAGGTTGAAATGGTGCTGCTATAGATGGCGGTATCTTTCAAAGCGAAAAACTGCGATACCTGTTACTTAAGAGAGTGCATTTCTACTAGTGATTTGTCTCTGCTACTTCAGCCACAGGCTCCAGCTGTAGCTTTGGTGTATGAACGGTGCCCGGTGTTAAGTCCACTCGCAATCACGTCATCTATTCTTGTGTACTGTTCCAGTTCATTCACTCGCTCTTCTAACAAACTGATTTTCTCACCCTTTTCCACATGTAATGTCTTTAGTTCTCACACTTTCCCCATTAATCCAAATAGTTTTGTCTGTTGCTTTGACTCATAATAGACAAGTGCATATATGAAAAAAAAACACCTAACCCCAAAAAAGTTTGCCAAAGTTTGACCACTAGAGAGGTGTCATTTTCAAGATGGCATTCATGATAGGTAGGAAGCCTGGGGAGACACCCCAGGCAAAATTTGGTGAAAAATTGTTTTAAGTGTTGGGGTAGCGTTGGGGTAACATTGGGGTTAGGGTTATTGGGTTAGTGTTAAAATCACTGTCCACGACCTTTATAGGAGCATGTTTCTGACCATTTGGAGTAAATTGGAACAAAAAAAATTAGGAAAAATGTCAAACATTTTGTAAGTGTTAGGGTTACATTGGTATAACGTTAGGGTATTGGGGTTAGGGGTTATTGGTTTCATTGGGGGGTTTTGTACTAATTGAATCCAGATGGAAGGGTTATGGGGTGAGCGTTAAAATCACTGTCCACGACCTTTTTAGAAGCATCTTCCTGACCATTTTGAGTCAATTGGTAAAAAAAAATATTAGGAAAATTTACAAAATTTGTCAAGTTATAAATTTGGAAAGTTTCATGGTGATATCTGTTAGTTAAAATTTTTACACTATTCACCTGGGGTGTCTCCCCTGGGCTCCCTACCCATCATGGACGCCATCTTGAAAATGGCACTTTTCTAGTGGTCAAACTATGGTAAACTTGTTAATAACTATGTTATTAAGGACATCTAATACTATAAAACACAGCTGAGAAACCTTTTGTTAGAACTTTTTTGGGGTCAAGTCATATTTGCACCTGACTAAAAGTAATCTCCACTGACATGAAGTTTAGAGACTGTTTAATCTCATCATGTTCTCGTTATTTCCTTGAGTCTTCTCCTGTGACATTTTAGCAAGAAGTTGAAGAACAATTTTCGGTAAATCCAAAAATCTTCTGTGGCTTCAAGCAGGCTGCTGACTCATGGAGCAGAAATGCTGAGTCATGGAAGCCCACCGCTGTCTGATGGATATTGGTAAATAGAAAAGTGAAAAGTCTGCAAGAAAAATAAAGAATAAGAGGAAGAGGAATAAAATCTTGCAGTAGTAACCACCTGTCTATCATTTGGACCCAGACAGATGATGTCTGACACATGTTGGTACAGCATTTTATAGATTAGTTTATCATGGAGCCTATAAATGCAGACATCACGCTTCTGTTAATATGTACATTTTAGCATATTTCATTCTCATCTGGATTCTTCACACATGCAAAGACTTAAAGCAGGACAAATGATGCATTAATGGGAGAGGTCAGGATGATATAGGAAGTAATGAGGAGGACAGGGAAGGAGCCTTGAAGCCAGCAGAAGGGACCTCATCAGCCTTGGACAAGCAAGATTTTGGCTCATAACTATTTTATCTTAAGATCATCAACCGTGAACACAAATATTGAATATTAAAGGAGTCAAAGGTGCAGCAGATTTCAGCAGCAGCTGAGCAGAGGCACACTCAATCTGTTCCCTTGCTTCTTACAGTCACACTGATCTCTCAGCTGGCCTTTTCATCCTTAATCTCCCCCCTCCATTTAACTGTGAACACTCAGACCCTCCCTCAATAGTTTTAAATCTTACATTATTTCCATACACATATTGCATGGGACTATGAATCAAATAACAAACTAAAGAAACACCCAAAAGCCAAACTTGGAAAAAAGAACTCTGCACCCCTCTGCACCATGTGCAGATTGGATAAAAAAAGATCTCAATTTTGAAATAACCTTTTGAAGTGCCCAGGAATTTAGTTTTTGTTTATGTGGTTTTGAAAATTATCGATATTGTTTGATTTGCCCTGGGTGTCTTGTCAAAATTCAAAACTCTGGTATGTGACAACCGGATTATCACCAGTGAAAACCTGTCAGCAGCCTCTTTTTTAGTCATTCATCAAAGCTAAGTAATATGGGAGCAACCACCCAAAGGTCAGGAGCTCGACAGAAAAATTATTGAATTCATTGCTCTCAATAACCAGCCTTACAGGTTGAAGATGTTGGCTCCCACAGGCTAATAATGTACCTGAAGCCTCTCTATGCCATGCCTAGCTGACTTTATTTCTCTCTTGGAGCCTTTCCTGAACTGCAAAGCTTCACCCACCGTCACATAAAGAAGCTCCTCACTGATGCTATTCATATTAGCTTCACCACAGACATCCAGACATCAAGTACAAGTACTGTCAGCATGCTGAGCCTTTCTGCCTAGTGGATTGTTATACACGCATACTTTTTGATGTTATTTTTCCATTACTAAAGGTCCTTACACACCGGGAACGACACAAATATACGACGTGAAATTATTAAATATTCAGAGGCGAATTTAGACGCACCTGACCATACACATGAAGTGCGATGTGATTTTGCGACTTTCTTGAAAAAAACGCTCCCGGTGTGAAAGGACCTTAAAAGTCTGTATTTGAAGATGGAATCAGGTTATTTGTCTTGTTTCAAAACAAATAGGCTGTCACACTAAAAGTAAGAGGAGAATTATGAAACAGGAGAGACTTGATTTTACATATAAGGTGTAAAAGTAACAAGCTGCGTGATACTGGTGAAAATCCATGCACCATTGTGCATTTCTAGTGTAATTTGAGTATCTTGACGAGGTGCTAGAAGGGCTTAAATCATTAGTATTTATGTGATGTAAGCGGCGAACACTTTGTACAGTTTGGGTCTAAATAAAAGTAAGCCATGCTAGAGAAAATGCAGCCCCAACCGCAATAGGTATGTTAGTCTGAGTACAAGTGCAATTTCTTACAACCATGTGTTGCATGGTGCCTGCAATGTACAGCATCAATAGAAAACACGTAGTAGTTATTGTATGTAAAGTATTACTATTACTAGGAGTATCCTGCTGTTTTCAGCTAACCTCAAACAAGTTCTGGGTGCTAATTTTATAAAATATCATTCTCACAGGGCCTCCCCATGAGATCACAAATGCAGCTGTGACTTGACTATTTTCAACCAAAGTAATCTCTCAGAAGATGAAAACTGGCTCAGGAAATATTCCCTGTTGTTATAACTCTGAAGGTCCAGTCACTCTGTCACTGAACAACTGCTGCTCAATCGATTGGGATCTTAAATAGCAATTTCCAGACACCCCAATGCTATTGATTTCGGTCGGCAAACATTTTACTTTGATCATTATGATTCCAAGCTTGCAGCACGCTTCCTGGGTTTCCCTCTCATGAGAGGCTCACTGTTGCTCTTGAAATGGCAATGTAGTGACAGCTGCCACATCGACTGTGTCAGTCCACACAGGAGAAAAAAACTGAATTGTATTTTAGAAAAGTAAGTACACAAACTTAACATCCACAAGAAGTAGCATTCAAGGGACCTTTTTCTTTGTTTGAAAGATTACTCTAAACCTTGTTTTCAAACTTTTTTTTAACGCGCTTCAAAACTTGTTGCCAGCTTGAGCCAGTTTTTCTTCCTCTTCCCTCTCCTGTAAATGGTTCATTAGTTTCCCATGCACCCGTTGGTTAGCCTCATTGTTCAGCAAACCAATATTATCTGATAAGACGAAGCACACAGAAGGAGCTCTAGAGACTAATTAGAAGTCCTCAAACTTGAAAATCTGTTCAAAGTCTTGTTGTTGCCAACACACAGAGGCAGTGACCCGGGGTCTCATTTAATGTTTCTAAGTATCTATTAATGTTCCTTTGGTTATGTTTAGAGCTAGGGGAGGCTCGGGAGCAGGAACTGATGGATGAGAAACATTAGACGCCCGGCAGGCACTGAACTCTAATATAATGCAGTCATATGGCTATTTTTTTCTTTGGTGTACTTCATTACATTTGTCTTTGGTGGAATATGTTTCTGCTTAAATAATTTATTTTTCCCTTTCTGCTAGGTTTCTCTCAAAAAATCAATCAGTGGCTGTCTTCCCAGAGATAAGCATGTCTTATTAATGTAAGATCTTTATCGTGCCAGGAGGACCACCAGCACTGCTGTTAAGTCTGCTGATAATTGACATTTTCTCTTGATGGGGGTATTTATCATTCTCCTATTGTCCATGGGAGGCTCCACTTTGACCATACCCATACAATTGTCTGAAAAGACGCTGAGATCCTGTATTTCATACCCAGTATGTCATGCAGTATTCATGTTTCCTCATGAGAGAAAAGAGTTTGTTTCTTAAGAGAGAAAGACAGGATTTCCATTGCAAAGCACAGCATTGAGCAGAATAATACAGGCTGAGTGTGAGCTTTTGAAAAGGTGATATGCACAAAGTGACCTTTAAGTCTCACACTGTGAATGACTTGGGAGATGCCTTTTAGCCACACTTGAAGTACACACAGCAATGCGTCCCATATCACTCCTCCAGAGGACACTAGATATTGGTTGACATCCACTGCAGGCAACAGTGGTAATGGCACACAATACATAACACTGATAGAGCAATGTCACTCTAACTACTGCAATTTGTATTTATGGCATATAACTGAAAGATGAGGGGCTCGAATTGCATTATTCTTAGTAAACTTAACGGAGACTATTTAGTTTTACTTTGGAAAAAAATGTGTATCATAACCAAAGCTCTATCTCTGCAGCTTAATACAAGCTATTGACGCTGACTCAAAACCACTGGGTTAGTTTTAAGCACTCATAACTTTGATTTAGTTATGTTGCTATTAACTTTTTAAGAGACAAAAAACTTTCTGTACAAATTGGCGTCATAATAAGTCCACATTGTCAGCTCTCAGAAAGGAAGGAATGAATAAGAGAAGCATTTGAGAAAACAGCATTATATTGTTGATGCTAAACAAATTCAAGACATATGCCAGCCAAGTCATTAATTTCACATTGTTTGGCAGCCATTGTCAATGGCACATGATATTAGATGCATCAAAACCAAATGAAAAGGAGTACTGTTAGATGTGATACATTACCAAAATAAGTCCTATCAGAAAAATGCATTTTGAATGAGATCACTGTAACTGCTTTTGTCACACTTCATTTCATCCTCATTTGTCAACACCAGCATCAGATGTTGGGAGATGTACATGGCTTAATGGAGGCGAAGTGCCAACTAGCAAAGTTTGAATTCTGTCTGATAGGGCTCTGTGCTTCCCACAGCTTCAGGCTCTGAAACGTGTCATGATACAGGGGCCACAAAACGTATCACGATACACACTGATTTTAGGCGGTGACCATGTCCCACGTAATTTACTACAACAGCCGTCTTTTTTTAAATTTATTTATTTTTATTACTCTGAATAACCGTAATAGTAAACATAGTTCAATGGAGCCTATAATGTAACTCTAAAACAGGGGTGTCAAAGTCAAATGGACGGAGGGCCAAATAAAAAATTTAGCTACAAGCCGAGGGCCGGACTGATCGAATGTTCATTGAAAATTTTTTAAATGACGCATATAGTCTAGTGTACCTAATTGAACCTACTGAAAACCTAACAAATATATTCCAATATGATCAGATAAATAAAGCAATATTTTCTTATGGCTCTGTCAGTAATCTTTAATTTTCAACAGACACAAAAGACAAATTTCCTTTATATAAAAATCCCCATAACATGAACATTAAATGAAAGAAACCGGTATTATTCAAGGCACCATGAGTAGCCTATATTTTCTATTTTAGCAAAAGTGGGCTAAATTTACTTCAAAGAAAAAAATAATAATAGCAATTTTCTATCATCCACTCAACTGACATATTTTTAAAATATAATTGGATTGAAATACAATAAAATAAAGTGCAAAAATCTATTAATCAAAAGCAACACTTTCTTCAAGGAGAAGTAACATGCAGTGAAAACAAATATTAAACTTTAACTTTTAAACTTGAAATGAATAAAAATTCTAAATATGTGATTGCACAGTAATGTTCACTTATTTGAGGTTGAGGGTCCATATGTCCATATTCTTGTTTTTGTCCGCGTGTTTCGTTTCATAATGTCGTCTCAGATTATACTCTTTCAGTACCGCCACACTTTCTCCACACAGAAGACACACAGGTTTTCCAGCTACCTCCGTGAACATATACTCCGACTCCCACCTTGTTTGAAACCCCCGGTTCTCAGTGTCCACCTTCCGTTTTGCCATTTTTGATGGGTATCTGAAAGTTAATTTTACTGTTATGCTGACGACCGCTGTGCTAATAAATATTGAAATGAAGCAGCCTACTGCTTAGTGCGTCACCGTTGCATTGTGGGAAATGTAGTATTGGTGCGTGTAAAAGATCTGCGGGCTACCGGCTTGCTGCGGTCTGCGGGCCGGTTCTAATAATAGATCGAGATCATCCCAGGGGCCGTAAAAAACCTTCTCACGGGCCGGATGTGGCCCGCGGGCCTTGACTCTGACATATGTGCTCTAAAAAATACAAAGAATTAATCTAAATAGTAGCAAGTGTGACGTTTTAATTGGACCTGTATTCAATTCCTAAACTAGCCTTTTTCAGTGGGATCACCTTGACCCCCTAGATGTCGGCACTTGTTCAAACTTAGAATAGCAACAAGAGAAATTAATGGATTGAATGGAAAATGTTGCTCTTTAATCAGTGCTTGTGAATTTTTAAAGCGACACTACTCTTAATGTGATTTCATAACATCTAGAGCACACGTTTGTTTTACAATAGAGCATTCATGTAGACTTTCCTTGTAACGTATTGAAAGAGTAGGGATGTAGGGAGATATATATTATTTATGATACTTTGATTGTAGATGGCTGTAATTCTCTTTTCAGATGGATACACACACACACACACACACACACACACACACACACACACACACACACTTTGTCCAGTGTTTTACATCCTCATACAACTAACATGCTGCTGTTTCAGTAATGATCTGATAATCACACTAAGTAAGAAGCAGCCTGAAGCTGTCATTATTGACAGTGCTGTAAGGGTGTAAGTCTTTACATATAGAGCATAAAGCATGAGGAAGCTTTGTGATTGTAATCCTCTAAACCTGTTTAGAAGTTGAAGGAAATGTTGTGATGAAAGCTTAGTTCATTGCTTATTTAGACAGCAGACACTGGCCCTGTGTGGCAGCCGGTGTACCTGTTGCTTGACTCATGCTTAACTTTCTTGTGTTAGTAAATCTCCCAAATTATCCCATATCCCTCCATATTATTTGTTTATATTGGTTTGAGACATTCACTGCATCATGTGGTTTGGCTGCTGTTTCCACCTTTAACTTTTTTGCTCTGCACTGTAGGCTAACCACTCTCAAAACTGCCACCACAGTGTTCCTGCTGCTTTGATTCTGTAACTTGCACGATGCACAGCAAGTTGACATATTGTTGTATAGATTTTTTTTTACCCTGCCTTGCTGTCTGAGTGAATACGGGTTAGTTCTTTTTTTTTATGGCAGGTTGTTGAACACAGCATGGTTAACTTCCTTTTGGTCACAATTTTGGCTCAGCCAAAACCAAAGATATGGTGATTAAAAACAGTCTGTAACACCTTTTTGGCTCTCTCCCTGCAATCCAATTTAGGAGTGTGTGATTTTCACCCAAATTATTTCATAAAGGCCTGCATAAATTAATGTTCCAGCATCACCATTGCACTACAACTTTATGGCACTAGGTACAAAAGAAAAAGTTGCAAAGTTCTAAAATCATGGCAAAATCTGTCAAATGCCCTCTATTTTGATTTTCATAGAGAACCTGTCTTGTTTATGCTTTATTGAGATGTAAAAATGGGATAATTCCCTGGGGCATTTGGTGCTTAAGATCTCGCTTTTTTAAATTTTCTGTTTTACGACACCTAATTGCAGTGCAGTCTTATTTAATGTCCATACTGCATTGTCCAACAGCCATGAGTGTTGTCATGACACCATTTAAGAGTTGAAAAGACTTACTTCTTTGTGATATACTGCATAACGTTATTAACTGCACTTGTATGATACAAAATATACAACGATTCAGCATAAGTGAGCTTGTTTGTTTCTGCCTGCCACATCACTACTCAAGGCTGTGTAATTCATGCAAGCAGTAAAACTTTATTATATGCTATTAATTGATTATAATAAAAAGCTAGAGCCAGCTATTTGCCTGCACATAGATCATATGCTCAACATCTGGCCTTCATTGGCCTAATTATTGCAAGTAATGAGATGCTAATTTCAGCACTCATACTGCATGCATGAACTGCAAGATTCATGTGAAACAGAGCTTTATGACAAAACTAATAAATAAAACATCTTACTGGTGGTAAACATTAAGCAAGAGAGGGAAAGAAAACAAAATGGGGAGGAACACAGGGCAAGATGATTAACAGTTCTTTTACATAATCATGCCTGTTCCTGAAGGATGGTTTCTTTTGCCCCAGTGTTCACTGGTTTATGAGGAGAGTGATGGGCCATTTCATTACCTCAGCAGTAAATAATGCGCAAAATTAAGCAGCCTTTGATCAATTGTAGGGGCCAGCTATTGCCAAAGATTTCATTATTTAAAAACTAAATGTCTTCTGAAGTCAGAATCTGAATCAGAATGCCTTTTATTGTCATTATACGCAGTACAATGAGATTAAAACCACCCATATCAGTGCAAGACATTATAAAAAGATTGATAAAAAATATAGAAAAATATGAAACTAGATTAATATGAAGTATATACAATGTAAACATGTGGACCTGAGATTCTTTTGACAGGATAAATATGGTACCGATTTGCATAGGTGTAATATGTAGCAGTATAAAATATAAAGTTCACAGTTCTGAGATCCTAATTAACGGAATAAATATTGTAAATATACAGAAATAACATAAATGTACTGTGCCAATGAGTCTATATTGTCCTGAAAAAGTGATGTTTCATTACTGATTGAAACGCAAACAATAGTAATTTGATGGTAGTACCAAAGTAGTTGCAAGATGTCTTCAAGGTATAACCTAAAATTCAAATGGATATATGTTCTGTCCTTCTCTTCGGCCCCACCACATCAGCAGAGCAGATAGGTTTCACTTAAGTCCCTGTGTATGCTCCCACTGGCTCAGCTGCAGTATATTTCAGCTCTGTTCCAGCTCTGGTATTCTTAGCCCTTCACAGCCGATATGAACTGCTTCTATTTTTACCAAACACCAGAGCATGATGCATCAATCAGTGCGAGGCAGGTTGTGGGAGACAGGAAGCCAGGCACAGAAACAACAATAAAACATTTAGTTGATTTTCAAAATGAAACACTTCAAATTGGTATCAGGCTGTTTTTCACTTAACCAACAACAAACTGCCATAGTAAGCAGAGAGCCAGGTCTGGAGTTTAAAGACTTTCGAGCTGCCATAGATGAAGTGACAAGTACTGTTTTTGGCCTATGCTATTGTGGTAACAAGTACACTTAAAAGATCCTCAAATAACTTCCGCCTTGTGTGAACTCATGTTTAATAGGCTTTTTTGAATTAGCATATTTTCCAACAGGAGACCAGCAGCCAGCTCTGGTCACCAGCATAGGGTATGGAGGTATACTTTCTTAAGATGACTCACTGTTATCATAGGTAGTGGGCATGCTGCGGCAGAGGCATTGCTTTTCTCACACTCAAAAGAAGCAGAAGCTGATACAGTGTCATTGTAAATGACTGACAGGTGCGTGTACGTCTCACTGAGCATTGATGGTCTGCCGCCTTGTGAAGATGAAGGTAGTAATATTTATGTCTTCTCAGTCTGGGGCTGCTGCTTTCTCGATCACTTAACAGAGAGGCACATTGAGCAATTTAAACTAGTTAGTGCCAGTAGCAAATATTAGGAAATTCTGATATGATACCACACCTTTAAGAGTAGAATGTATTAGAAAAGTACCATGCAGCTCTTCTACCTTGTTTGATTCCGTGTCCTATGTGGGGACTGTGCCAAATCTGCCTAGAAAATTATTTAGTTCAGCGCGGCATTGTTACAATTGCCTCTTGTCTCTCCTGCAGTAAGACCCCAGTCTGTGTAAGAATATATCTCTAGAGGCCATCCTTAACGGCAGGATAAATGAGTAAAGCAGTTAAGTGTCATTTGTCAACATAGATACTAATGCTATAGCTTTTCTGAGTTCGCTTCACTATTGATAAGGCACTGCTAGTCACCCATTATTGTGTAATGGCTGCCATCTATAATGGCTCACAGACAAGATGTAAAAGACTGAGTGGTGATAAAGATAAATGTGATCAAACACAGAGAGACAAAACCACCTCGTAACAATCCAGCATAGCTTAATGAACAGGTTCATAAACACAGTCCTTATAGTGTATAGCAATTTTCATTTGACACAAAAGAGGTAAAGCATATTTGATAAGTTTTCTTCCTGGCTTACAAAAAGTTGTAGAGCATGAAGAGGTTATGAAGCAAAGAATTTGGTATTGGCTTTTCTTTCCATCTTAGCCATTGAAAACTTTTTCAGCAGTTTAAGCACCAATGGCCCTTCCAACCCATGACCCTGTCACCAGTTTACTGGTTTCACCATTTTGTGTCTTGAACCACTTTTTGAAGGCACTGCCTGCTACAGACTGGTAATACCCCTTAAGAGCAGCGTTTTTAGAGTAACTCTGAACTGGTCTTCCTACTACTGTTGGGACTTGCATCCTTAAAGATCTTCTTTTTTTGTGGTGTATATACAAAAAAAATTGTAATATCAGTCAATAGCTATTAGTTATTGATGACATTTGATAAAATAACAATATCGCTGTGTTTTGTTGTCTGTGTAGTCAACATTTTTAAATTTTTGCACGCTCCGCTCTTTCTGACTGTAAACAAAGCCGTTCCCCACCTCCCCCAACCTGATTGGTTGTGAGGGAGAGGCTGCTCCCCCGTGTCATTCACGAGACCCTGTAACTTTTCTGCTGAACAGGTAAACTGCTTTAGCAAAGTAAGCCAAGTGTCTGTAACAGAAGTGTGTCTTGTCAATCGGGACCTGCTGCATGTCGTAGCCAAACTGTTTACCTCAGGTCCTGGAGTTTGTCACTTTCACCTAGTTGTAGAAGTCCTGCAAAATTTGTTTGCTGGTAGTCTGTTGGCATCTACAGTAGCACCAATGCTGTTTACTTTCACGTTGACTAGGTCCTATTTGTAATTATCTGAAGTATTTATCTGCATTATATCTGGATTTAATTGAAACGATACGAGCGAGCAGGAGCGTCTGTTTGTGGGAGGGGCTTTCTGGAGCAGAGAGGAGCTGAGGGGAAAACTGGTTGGGAGGGGTAGTGTTTACATTCAAGATTTCTCCCCAAAAACTGGCACTTCCTCAGATCCTGCCTACCCCACCTTTAACCTTGCCTGTATTTCTTTTTCTACTTCCAACACATCCATGTTCACTTCCTGTGAGAAATATCACCTGCTGACAAATGTCACTGGAAGAGATAATCAATGGTACTCACTTCGCCTGTCAGTGGTAATGTTATGGCCAAAGTGTACATTTTATACTCAAACACTTACACAAAGCAGCCGTTCTAGCCTAAAGGGTAAAAGGGACTGGTTGCAGTAAAGTTATCATTATCCACTTTATGGTTTGGACACATTAAAAGGAATGTAAACTGCAGAATCGAATGTGGGCTCCAGTGTATGTTCATCTGTGCTGAGTAAAAATGAGTGGAAAGAGTCTTAAGATAATATCGTAGCCGTAATTAGTGATGCAGCACAGATAAAGGCTCACATCCTTTTAGTGTTTATTCTTTTTATACTATCCATCTACCTCTGCTTCTGCATTCTGAATTCACTAATCAGCAGGGAATCAGGCTGTATACAAACAGTCCATTGCTGCCAACTGATGCTTCAGCTTTATTTGCCAAGATTATAGATGTGTGCTGCTACGGCTTACTCCATACACATCTAAAACTTGGCAAATAAAACCGAAACCATCTACACGACTTGGTACTGTCATAGATACAAGAGAAAACATGTTGTTTTCTCGTTTGGATGAACCACTTTCCCTCTTTATAAGATACAGGGTTTACACTCGGTAAATGTGAAATTACTCCTGACAGGGTAATACTTCACAAGAGCAGCTGCAAAGCATTTAAAAAAAATCAAAGTAGTCTTCGACTCATGAATTATTTCCCTGGGTTACTGAAGTCTTTGGCACTTGATCTCTACTCTGTGGAGAGAGGGGATTTGAATTGATGTGACTAATGTAAAACAAGGCCAACTGTCAGATGTAAGCCAGTCACTGGAAGTGCACTTTTGCACCCTCCATTTCCAAGGCATAATGATGCATAGCCATCACACTTAAGCCCAGTCTAGTGCCTGCATGTAGAAAAGGTGTCAGTTGCAGCAAAGAAAATTATGCAGTCCACTAGTTCCTTGTCTAGCATGACATCTCAGCTGCTCTGTGATTTCCCTGAAGAAGAGATGACATGTTTATGAGTTATTCCCCTGATGGGGCCTACACCTAGGAATACATGCTTGTCCTTTCTCCCTGACTTGCCACTCTATTGTGAATAACTGAATAAAGAAGGATTTTGAAATATTCTCTTCATTTAATAGCCGATCTAAGAAACCATTGTGTCATAGGGATCCTGAAAGTGTAATTTGAAACTGAGGAACGATATTCACCAGCTCATTACTGTTAAAATCAACTTAACCCTGGTGGTTTGAGCATTTTGATCCTTTTTCATGCATATGGATTGTGAGATCGAGGCGGCTTTTCGCAAAATTTTTATAATGATCCCCCCCCAAATCACCTCATTTTTGGAACAGGCACACAGAATTAATGCTAAGTGCTCAGGAATGGCATGCACACATAAAGAGTTAATTTTTAAGAGTCACTTGAATAAGAAAACCAGACTATGAGTGATAATTCTCATCTGTGACTAGTTATAGAGTTTTATAGAGCTCCCATGTTCAGCTTGATATTGTGCCTTCCTTTAGTGGCCACCAGTTGAATTTTGTATTTTGTATTGTAAAGGCAAAACTCACCACTGGTTATCAGCCGCCTTCAGAATTATTTAAAGAATAGATTTTAAGGAGACGTAATTATTTGGAAATATTGAGCAGTAAAGGTGAGCTAACAATTCTATAAACTGACATAAAACATTTAAGAATGAAAGCCTTCATATATTCTGCAGTCTCACATGAATAAGCATGGCTTTTGAAAAGAGGAGGAAAATAACCTGTAATAATTTGTCCCTCCAGTCGTGTGGAGATACTGCTGCGGTGTTCCTCTATTTGTCACTGTCAGCCCCCAGACTGAGGATATGAGAAGACGGCAGAAAGAATGGGAGCAGTGAGGGGGGTGAGAGCAGTGGTGAGAGGAAGGGGAGTGTGAAGAAAACGCTGAAGTATGTGATTAAGAATAATGAGTAAAAAATTGCATAAAGCCTTCTCCCAAATCACACATCAACTCCACGCCTGGCATTATCCCTGAAGCATCTCATCAGTCCTGGACCAAGTCCCCATCGTTGTGCAATGCGCCCACCCACACACACATACACAAACTCAGCAGTCCATTAGCAGCTAACACATGAGCCAACGTCTCGCTGTCTCCTTCTCCTCCTGCTTCTTTTTCTCTCTTTGTATCTATCTCGCTCAGTGGATTTACATTGTCTTGAATAGTGAAAGCAGAGGGAGGAACAGGACCTGTCAAGTCTCCTATCAATTGGGTGACCCTCTGTCCCTTTGCTGCTGTTCCACCACCCAGGCAAACATAGCACCGGCCTGCCCGTTATCTCCAAACCACTGTTTGGAGAAGCATCTCTATCTGAACAGTGAGAAAACATCCAATGCATATCAATTGGAAGACTCTGATTTTTATTTGTTCTGCATTTGCCCTGTCTTGCTATAGTACACAGAAATGACAGCAGGGTCTACTGTATAAACTCTCAAACCACTTGAATCTTGTTGGACTTTGGTGGACAAATTCAATCTGAAAATGTTAAACATGTGAGTCGGTTCTCATTTTGCCTCCTACTTTGACCTTTGTTACATATTTGCAACTACAAGGAGTTGAAAAAGAGCTTTTAAATATTCAGGAATAGTAGCATATTAAGTATGTGTTTATTTGTTTATTTGTTCATTTGGAAGTATTTTGAAATACACCCAAAGAACAGGCTGTTGAATGACTGATATGAACACAGGAAATGATTTATTTATGAAGCTGAAAATAGTCCTTTATATGCTCATGGTGTACTTATCAGCCTACTTACAGGCTGCATTAATGTTAAACTTAACATGTTCATTCACATTGAAATGTTAACATTAGCACACCCCACTGCTGTGATTCACTTATTTCCATTTATGGGAAAGTCAAAGCATAAGTGCTTGGTAGTTGGTATTCTTAGCAAATGGCTTCATATTATAGCAGCACTCATATAAAGTCCTTTCTTGAGTAACTTTTTTTTTAAGTCTGTTGGTATTTTACTCTCTTCCAACCAGTCTCAAAGCCCATACAGAGATTTGTTTGGTAGTTGTCTTGTGTCTGCTTTCTTCAGTTTGGTTGATGTCTCTTGAACTCAGCGTCTTGCGTGTTTCTTTCTCTGCTGGTTACTGCTCATTCATTAATCACAAATATTAATAATAAAGCTGGTTCTCAATTCATATTCATGTAAAACAAAGGTGTATTTCTATTATTGTACAACACATTGGCACCTCAATCACAGCAAAATACTTTTGTAAACCAAATGAAGTCAAAATAAATACCACCTCAGCATGATCTGCAGAAAGTATCCACGTAAAGTGAATCAACAAACCCATCAATAAACCCATAACTCAGTTTACACTGTTACTCTTGATCCAACAATGTTTCCTATTACTTTCGCAAGCAATTTTGAGCCAAACAGTTTGAACTTAATATGCAACTTGGTGTCAGGGTACACAAAGCAAAATAGTGAGATACATTGAAGTGATTTTCCTATTTCCAAATATCAGATCTAAAAATTCCTTAACAGTCAGTCAATATCTAGAAAATATAAAAGCAATTTATTTCAAACTGCATGTGATTGGCTGGTAGATCTGCTGAGGATAGACTCTTTGTGTTTGTCATTGAAGCCTAAATGTGAAATGATTTTTAAATTTGCTTCCTCATGCCAATGTTAGGACAATATTTTACATTATTGTAATGCAAATAGTGTGATGTTAAAGAAGTACAAACTTAAGCTGTGGTCATGGCTGGTGAAACGTTACAGCGTTTTTAGGAGTACCAGTCATCTGCTAATCGACAACTCTTTTTCCTGAGACAGTCAGAACAACTCAAATGTCTGCATCCTGAGACCTAACTAAAGTTGCCATATAAAGGGCGAAGTGGCTAAAAAGTGTACTGATTTTTTAATTAAGCTGCCATCACACACCATCTCCAACACCAGCCAACTCATACTAACATGCAGGAAATGCAAAAATGAATGCCCACACTCATTGTTCAATAATAGTAATGTGTTGAAATTCATCATTTTAATGCTAATGTTTAAAAAAAATTGTATTGAGAGTGATTAAAAGCAGAATTTGTCTTTATAGCAATTTATATTCTTGGATCATTGCAGAAATGTCTATTCCTTATCCAGTCCTCAAGTGTTTTGCTCTGTATTTCCTCTGCCAAACCAATCACCTAAGCAGGACATCAGGTATTAAAAGTGCCAAGAGGATGGCAAAACATCTGTCAACTTCATCATCTTACTCATCCAGTGAACAGTGTCCCCTCTTCAGCCCTGTTAAAGCTCCTTCACCTTCTGCTTCCATCAATTTCAGTTTTTCTTTTTGGTTTTTCAGTTGAATTTTCTCATCTAAAAGAGATGATCAAAATCTTCTCTCTGCTGCCATCAAAGTCAAGTCAAGTCAACTCTGTGTAAAAGACTTCTGCACATAAGTCAGAATATGTAAGCTAAAATTGGTAATTCAACATTCAACCTCAGTAACACTGAATTGAGTGGATTTTAAAAGGAGGATAAAGTTTTGTGCAGGATGGATTGCTGCTTATGTGTGACTCCAATTCAAATGTTAATAAAATGCTAAGTTGTGTTTACTAATTGACAGTTACATCTTATTTATCCTAGATAGAATATGTCTTTCCATTTTTACTGAAAAAAACTATTTTTACAAATCCGATATCCACAAGTAAGTCTAGGTGCAGCATGTATGAACTGTGTAGCAGTTCTGTCCTTGGTCTGCATAGAGTTAAACATATGCATTTCAATCTAAAATTCACAGCAATGAGTCTGAGCAATGTGACCTTTCCTCAGTTAGGGAACAATATAACTCCCTTCAGCTTCCACAGATCACACACTTTACATACTCATTTAGGGGAGATATTTCAAGTCATCAATGCAGACATCTGAGACCCCACACTCAGCAGTATGTCAGAACCAGGCCTTGTCATCCCAGTCTTGATGTATCACCCATATTGGCGAATTTAAAAAATACATAAACAAGCAACGGCCTGTGTTAAAACATCATGCATGCAATCAGAAACAGATAAACAGATACACTAGTCAACATTAATTGTACCAAATGGTTTGTGCTTGTTAACACTCTAAAAACAGTCTGTTGGTAAGTTAATCTCAATTAGAATCAATTAGCAAGTTTTTTTTTTTTTTTTTTTTTAATGGATTGATGTATAACTCAATTTCTAATCGTTTATTTCAGTGACAGAAATTCAATGTCACAAATCATGCCAGTATCTGACATTTTCTCAGACCTCCTTTTCTGTCTCAGCTCAGAGGCTGAATATTTTTTCAGCCAGCTCATAAAACTGTTTTAAAGTTCAGTTAATCCACCAGAAGCTGTCAAAATAAAATGTAATCTCCTGCTTGTGGTTTTCAAGCAGTTTATGGTCAAGCTTCTTCTTCCCAAAGATGAACTATTTAACCGCCTTATGTCCCTTTTATTGAAGCAATATTTAACTTTATGAACATGGATCCAAATTAGAAAAAGAGTATGTACATAAAGCTTTGAAATTAAATGTAGAAAAATCCAAACACAAGTAGAATAGTATTACAGATGCCTAGAAAGTTCAGACCCAAAGAAATTGAAATGAACAGAAACAATGGTCCGTGTAGTAGCTACTGAATAAATGTAAATTTTATTTTTTTGTTTTTATCAATAGGAGTTTCTCAGCTACAGCACAGGATCATTAGCACCATGCCTGACATGACAGAACAGTGGGGCCTGAATTGTTCTTGCACAGAGCGACTGCGTTGTAGATTTTATGTTTTGATGTGCGTCTGCGTGTGTCTGTGTGTGTATTCAAATCTGTGTATGCGAGGAAGCAAGGAATAAATGTCAGAATCTGAGTCACTTTGAGGGTCCCACGGAGTGTCAAGGCGCTCACTGCTGTTGGTATAATTGACTGGAAGGATTTCATTTTTCTGTAACAGGCAGCAGGACAAGCTTGAAATACCTTGAGGGGGTCAAATTTAGCTTGAACAGCTTTTCTTCATATTTATCATGACCTAAATAGAAAACACAAAGTCATTTTTATGCCTGGATGTATTTTTGGAAACCTCCATGGTTGTCTGCCTGGAAATGATAGTTTAGAGCTATAATGGCCCGAAAGGTATAAGTATTCTAATCATGAGGTCTGGAAATATTGGGCCCAGGGGAAGTCAAAAATATGAGAGTGACATTGTGCCCCGACATGCAGAAGAAAGGAACAAAAAGAAAGTTTCCGGCAGGTACTATCAGCCCCCTGGGGAGAAACCATTGTGAGGTGTCCTTATAGGCACTATCTATCAGATGCTGCTTCTGGTGCTAGAGGCAGACTGTAGGGAGAGCTGAAAAAATCCTAAACAATTCAGGTGAAGAATTTTCCCTCATGTCTTCTCTCTTTGTTTTGAACTCTTTTTTTCCCTTTTGAATGAAATATTGAAAAAAGAAAATGCGGTCTTATAAATAATGCTTGGTTCTTTTGAAAACTTTTAATGATTCAACATTGTTTGCTGAGGTTTTTGAGATAGCCACTAGCCTATTATTTGTACTTATTTTTCAGCTGCATTTATATTTTACCCAGTTGTGTGTGTGTGTGTGTGTGTGTGTGTGTGTGTGTGTGTGTGTGTGTGTGTGTGTGTGTGTGTGTGTGTGTGTGTGTGTGTGTGTGAGAGAGAGAGAGAGAGAGAGAGAGAGAGAGAGAGAGAGAGAGAGAGAGAGAGAGAGAGAGAGAGAGAGAGAGAGAGAGAGAGAGAGAGAGAGAGAGAGAGAGAGAGAGAGAGAGAGAGAGAGAGAGTACATATCCTTGTGGTGTAAAACACAAACAGTTTAATCATGCCTGCAAACCCTAATGCAGCGTTTCAGAGCACTAAGGCCCGTCTGGGGAGCCCGGACTCCCAACTGCGTCTCACATGAGCAGTCCAGTAAAATTAGTTGATGATTGATCCCACTCTAGTGGGAGTGGGATGTTTTTTTTTCTTCCTTTCTCTTACTTCTAAATAGATATTGTATTCAAATAGAAGAACAACCATTGACTCTGTAATCCCTGTGCAACTGTAGCTGACGAGCAGCAAAAGTCAAGTGTTGTATTTGTCTGTGTGCCACGCTTATCTCCTCTGGTCCCCACAGGCCTGGCTTGTCAATGTCTGTAGCTTGGAGCTACGCTTAGCTGTCTCTGATATTAAAGAGCACTATCTCTGAGGTGGCCATTTGGGGAGACAGGTTTCTTTTCATTCCAACAAAGACACTCCGCCATAATATTGTGACTATTTTTGCCTTGTCATCCTGAATGCTCTTCTCACTGAATACAGGCCGAACATTTGTAGTCTTTATCTGGAGGTATGGATTTTGCACTCAGTCTGCCTTTTGTGTAACTTCCTTTTTATATTGCTCATGGCATTTTAGAACATTACCTTTAAAATCTTTCTTCAATACTTAACAAATTAAAACACAATAAATGTACAAGTAAGACCAGGGTATAAATTTAACAACTACGTTTTCAGCATAATCTCCTAATTATATTTTTGCAATATTATAGTGAATACCTCTGATAATTCTGAAGAAATGCTATGGTTGTTTCATCCTTTTGAAATTCTCCATAAAAATCAGCTGCCCTGCGTGAACCAATTAAGCAGTAATTACAAAAGCATCTAGTTTTATCTCTACTTGTGTGAGTCCAGTGGTCTGTTATGTACTTATTAAAGTGAATTATCTCTGATAATCAGTCTAATCGGGTTTCAGCTCATGTTAGCAGGCTTCCTGCTGGGTGCTAATGTCTAATTACACTGGAGCACGTCTTGATGGGAAGGGTGCCCCGCAGCCCCTCGGTGTTTCTGCTATGCTGCTCTCTATCCTTGTCTGATCACACTGGACTGTCAAGTACACATCACGGCCAATCACTGATGATGAGGAGTGGATCAAAGCAGCCAGAGAGAACCCGATCAAAAAGATGGCGAGTTTGGGGAGCATGTTCCTGTGAGATCATATTTTAACCCTGAAGTTGACCTTGACGCCCTGAAGATGAGTCATTCATACACTTTGCTGCTCCTGCTCATATAGAGTGAGTGTGTCCAATGTCAGGAATAATTCCCACCATTTTTTGTGTGTGTGGCTGTTCCTATGTGAGCACATGTATGGAATACTGAGGGACTACATTAGTCTGTGTGTTTGGTCAGGACTCGTGTGTGGGTGTACTCTCTCCACGGGCAATCAATAAGCTCTGTAGCTATAAAGAGACATGCAGAGAAGTTGTTAAATAGTCACATTAACTTTAACAGCTGCAGACGGGAATAAAATGCAACTCTAGACAAGAAAAGAAAACTTTATCTACATGCTCCTAAAAGTAATGAGGGCTACAAAAAGGATGCATTTACTTTTATATTTAAGGCAATCCATCTTACCTAGACAGGCACAAGAACTATAGTCTGCATATTAAAGAATATTAAAAATAGAAAAAAAATAGTATGAAAAAATAACTCCTTGTCCAGGACAGAGATTTGTGTTTCACCTACTGTTGTCTTTCAGCAAAATAAATTGAGTGGAAATCCGCTTTCAAGGCTGGTCATTACAGAGGTAGGTAGAGTGATTTCATGGCAGCAGATTGGAAAATGGCCTTTTGTAGCAACTCCATTTACATAGAGAAATGCTGATGGTTCACAATAACAAATGTGCCGTAGTCGACAGAGAGCCGCTCTGCCCGTTGTCTTTCACTGACACTTGATAGTAGTGCACGTACAATTATGCATAATGCACTAATGGCGGTTTCTCATAACTGTCAGTGAAGCTGTGGGTAAAGTGTTTCCTTTGCAGACAACTTGATGCTAGGACTACCGCCGGCACGTTTTGATTTTGCTGACGCCAGTACCCTTGACAACAAAATAGCATTGTATCAGCTGAACGTCTGCCTTGGCTATCCTTGCAAAGTTATTGAAAAAAGTTTAAAATTACTTTTTGAGACTGGAGTGTTGGAGTTTTCTGTGCTTACTGGACTGAAAAGATTGTTTCAGTGTTACAAAAATGAACACAGTGTCATATCTGGCTTTTAAGTGGTTGAAGTTATTGAACAGTATTTTTTTTTTTAAGGTAGATGAGGGTCGAAATCCTTGTTTGACTATCTTTAAGTGTGATGTTTCTACAACTGTAAGGAGCCATGCACACATCAGCACACCATTAAAGTATTCATGGAGATATATATTTCATGCTGACTGGTCCTTAAGGACTTGAGCAGGACACGTTAATGGGGAGAAGCAACCATTACAACAACAAGCTGATGAAAAATTGATCATGTTTTCTTGCTTAACCCTGTTAACTGTGTCAGAAGGTAATTAGCAGCAACAACTGTTAAAATACAAATTATACTGAATTGCTCAAAACAAAACAAAAACATGGGCTCTCTGTTCACAATTTTCCTGCACAGCACACTTGAAACTTAGAAAAATCAGAGGCTCATATTCTTTCTGGAGCAATGCCCACAAGCTAGTTCAGGCGCGCAACCCGAGCTGCGCTGATCTCTCATTTTCCTGTGCTGTTCTCAATCACCTGACAAGTACCCTCTCAATTAGGTGGTGTATTTAAGGTTTTGTATTTGTTGTCCAGAAAAATGAATCCAAAAATCTTCTCTGTCCTGTTTCACACTTTTAAAACATCACTGGGGAACTTCTCACTTCTTTGCATTACAGCTGACATTAAATACTAAATATTGTTTTCCCTGTTTTTTCCCTTTAATTTGTTTGTATTTGTGATATTTATGATTTTTGCACTTACTGCAAGTTGTTGGGTTGTTGGTGCAACAAGTCTAAGATGTGATCAACTTCAACCATGCAACCTTCTTTGCCTCTGCCATAAGGTGACAGCTTTGTTACCACATGATAGACATAATAGCCAAAGGATAATATCAGTCAGATTATTTGTTCTTTGCCAATGCAGTAATTTTATCCAGCACAGTCAGTTATATACTAGAGCTCTTGTGAAAAACCTTCAGTTTGCATCTAATTAAGTGCCTTTTATGAATGAAGTGTCGTAACCAATTGTGAATCTTGAAATTTGTAAGCTGTACGTGTTAACACAGAATCTCACCCAACTTTCTGATATCAGTCGAATGTGTCATTCATTCAGAAGGTTTCAGAAAACCATCAAGAAAATAACTCAGTGTGATTGGAGGGAAACTTCATTTAAGAGCAGAGAATAGACTTAAAGGCCAAATATAAAGAATATACTTTATACTTTATTAATTTTAAATAATTTTCCTAAGCACTTCAAATACACTGCATTTATTTGGTAAACATTTCTGAATTGTTCATATCCCAAAATATAATGCAGAAGAAAGAGATAAATGACAATGTCAGTATTTTTTTATCATGCAGCCTTAATATTTATTTTAAACAGATATGTAAAAAAACAGATAAAAAAACATCCTCATAGCAGCTTTAAAATGACAGTCAGAGATACAATGACACAGTAAAGGGCATGTGAATGATAAATAGCAAGTGTACATTAGTACGATATAAAATGTGATATGATGTAAAAGATTAAGTATACCATTGGGTGCACTGTGAAGCGCAAATACCATTAGCTGCAATGTAAGGTACTGCAAATTAAATTACAAAGGTTAAATAGTATTTGACAGTGTATATATATATATATAATGCAGCAAGATATTAAATAGTAAAAGTATTCAAAAGTATGCTATAAATGCCTACACTATTTTTAAAATAATGTAAGTAGCACAAGACTTAAATATAAAATCATACAATTTTTTAATCATGCCTATATTTTTTTTATTCATTTATTTTTTATTTCGTAATCCATTTTTTTTGGTGCCCTAAAAAAGTAAAGTTTTTTTTCTTTTTTTTTCAAACTTGTTTCTCATTTCTGATGTACAGTAAGTCCAACTAACATTACTGAAGCTTTTGTTGTATCAAACATAATCAAAAAGAAAATTTCAAAAATCCTCTTTGTCTTGTTGGAACCAATCCATGTGGCGACCCCAGTATTTTAATCACGGCCAGAGGAATGTTGTCGCCTGTGTGTCATGAAGTCAGCCGTCGAGCAAAGAGCACTCTCAGCCTCAAAGTCACTGAATTAGAAATCCACACACTGCCGTCCTTAGAAGAAAATGTTATTTATTTATTCTGGGCCTCCCTTCGAGTCCATCTCCAAAATCACACAGCCCAACTCTGGGGGTGCGATGTCTCTCAATAGTTTCCACTCCACTGTTCACAGTTCAAATGAGTTTCTCTGAAGATTTATTCTTCACAGCTAATCACTTGTAACTTGGACTGAATTTGTACAGTAAGTCACTCTCACTTGCAATTTACAGAAAAGAGAACAAAAAAAACACGACTGAATCATTGCCTTGTGTGAGGTGATCGCTTCGAAGTGATTGGATTTCTCAGACATCTCCCCCCAAATGTATAAGCCCCTCACTGCTTTTTAATTTAAAATTAACTTCAGGTTTTCTGTCTGTAACAAAAACAGGAGCAGTAGTGTGTGCTCCCTTTGCGGGCAGGGTGTCTCTGTCTCTCCCCTTCCTTCTAATATGTTTAGCTTGTTCAGTGCCATCAGTTACATGTCTGCCAAGCATCACACGTCGTCAACTTGCTCCCAATGACGTCCCACTGTTCTGACCATTGATTGGCAGGTCAAGCAGCGAGCGCGAGCAGGAAATCAATAGCAGAGGACCTCTAGACAGTACAGGGGTAGTCTTCAAGGAACTGGCCTGCTGGACACTGCCAATCACCAAGCACAAAATGTAAGGCCAGCCAGCCATGAACAAAAGCTATCTGCAGGCTGAAACACAGAAGAAGAAGAAACAAAGAAGTTTCTCTATTACAGGAACAAGGACAAAGGACTGCTAAGGTTTTAGAAATATATTAGCATCACATTTGCTCATTTATATGCTAAAACATAAGTGGGACCTTGGACCTTTGGGATTCAGCATTGCCAAATGTAGGCTTTTTATCTTAACATGCAGTTGCACCAGGTCTGACAGTCTAAGCATGACAGAGCAAGCTTATTAGCATCTAGTCAGCCATTTCGACCAAGTGGGAGACACAGGAGTCACAAGCGGAGTGTACACAGCTATATTCACCCTCCAGCCTCCTTAAAAGATGGCCTGAGGGACCCTTAAGGCTTAGTGGAGTTATGCTTTGTCCTCCTTGGTGATGCTTTCCATTTTTTTCTCAGACACGCTTTTGGATACTGTTGGCGAATCACCAAAACAAACACTCAACTGACACCACTGACAATAATTCTGGAGCAGATTCCAAAATAAAACCTGAAAAGGAAATGGCAGCGCTGTGAATTTAGCACTGACACTCTCATCTGCCTCCCTGACAGAAACAGTGTCGGAGAATCGGCTCTCGGACCCAAAGGATCTTTTTTTTCTTCTTCTTCTTTTCACAGACAGCATGCAGTTCTCTTGGACAGACATATTTTAATAACAGTGCACTGCCAGAGCCAAGAACACTTTGTTCTCGTTCTTCCTCTTGTCCTCAAGCAGCTGAGTGTTGGTTGTGTTCTACGACCCGTGCAGTTTTATCCTCTCTGCCTACCTCAAAGCCAGTGACCTTTGACCCCGGTCATTTATTTCTCTCGTCAAAACAGTTTGAGATGATTCATTGTGCACAAGCTCAAGGTTGTGAAGCTGATATAATAGTGGAAGCAGGCCCAAGTGTGAATTCAGTTTTTGTCGAATGTAGAGCACATGTTGTTTAAATATTCACTACAGCCATTAATTTACACTAATTTAAGATTAATGGTTAATGCCCCACAGACTGTAACGTCAAGCTTTTCTTTGAAACTACTGCTATATCTAAGCATTTATACATGTAGGGGCTTTTTCATGGACTTACTGTATGTTTGAAGGAAAACACAATTAAAAGTAATTTCCCTGAAAACGAGGTATAATTTTGAAATTGGCAAATATCTCAGAATTTTGTTTGTTAGGTTGATTCACTTGTTCAGAATAAAAATAGAAATACTGTGACCTTGCTTGCCGTCCCTGGTAGTTGGCAACACATTTGCATGTTTTTTTTTTTTCAACTGTCACCTTGGGTTCCTGCCATACACCTGCCTTTCTCCATGCCACTGACACACACACAAACACAAACACACACAATGCATTTCAATGGTAGCTACTGGAATTCAAAATGCATCTGAACTTGCCTTTGCAAAAGAAAAACCACAGCAGAATAAAAAATACAAAAGGTTGTAGAATACATTTGGCATAAACATTACACCCATGTACATAACCTTTCCCTCAAACACCTTCAGCAATGTATCGACGATCAAGTACAAATCATAACCCTCACCTCACCTCTGTGCACACAGAAGAATGGTGCTGCACTCACGTTGATTCTAGTGTCCCTGACAATGGCTTCTTGTCATCCTCTGCCCATCTTTTTACGATCTCTTGTTTCTAGAGTTAATTCCTAATGCTGTGTGGATGGATGTTGCACCGAGCTCTTGCCTTCACTCCACATTTCAAATGTGGATGTTTGTGAAATGGACTGGAATGAAATGGAAAAAGAGCCTGTGTCTTATTTCCCCTTCTCACCAGCTCCCTTCTCTCACTTCAGTTTCATTTTCTCCCCGGTTCACTCTCTAGCTGGCGATTAATGATAAAATGTCCAGCATTTGAAACGGTGTCTTCCTTTGCCTTCAGTGACTGCTCAAGACAGGGTGATAATAACAGCAGCTGAAATGGGTAAATTATACCAAGGACTGTGACAAAGTGGTCTCACTTAGCTGTTAAAGCCGGTACTCAGGCCACTCACAAGTCACATAGTTAAGAGGCTTTGAGGCTCAATCTGTCCCTTGACTATTTCGGATACTTTGAGTTTTTGCTTTCTTTCTTTGGTATTCTCTGGCATATATATATAACCTGGAGGAGTTCAGTAAAAATTTTGCATCCTCTAAGGGGCAACACACCTGGGCAGCATGTGACATGTGTCAAAACATCTGCATGTTCTGTTATTTTCCTGGCTTCATGACGTGTCACACCAAGTTGATGCATGTCACACACGTCAGGATTTGACACTCTTATTTCCCAACACCACCATGCATCAGCTCTCCACAAAAGTAGTCATTTTATCACACACAGCTCCCTAGAAACTCGCATCTACTTATTATACAGCTGCTATTATTCTGTCTGTATGCCGTGTCCACTGTTTGCTACAGGCATCTAATGACACAACAGTGCGTGACACAGCCTGAGTGTATGGCCCTTATGAATTGTCAAACTGTGACATCGCTGGTTGCTGCACAAAGTCCCGCCGATGCAGACATGCCTATTACAGTACAGTTACAAGCTTGACATACAGCATGCTTATTCACCTCATAAGCTTTCCATACCTCTGAAAAGATTCCTGCTATACTGAAAAGAGCCTTGAGGACTTTTGTAGTTACATGTAAGGTTGACCTGTAGCTTTCGATTACAACAGGGGAAGCAGAAAAATAAGAAAAAAAATATCTTTGTGCATGTTTGTGTCTTAATTTAGAGATGTTTTGGTGCTCTTTAGGCATAAGATAAGATATTCCTTTATTAGTCCCACAGGGGGAAATTCCAAATTTACAGCAATGATGAATACAAAAGAGAAATTAAAAGATGAAGAAATGTAGGAGTTAAATATAAGATATATGTACATGTTTAAATATCACAGTTGGAAAATTTTAGATATGACTATATACATGGAATATGCATCCTGTCCCTTATGGAGCTCCTTAGTGCAGTAAAATGAATTAGAGAAAAAAGACGCAAAAGAAATAGAAAAAAGAGGATAAAACTCCTTAGAGTTCGCAGAGTTGCTGTAAAAGGCTGTCGTTTGTCCAGCGCCGGAAGTCGCCAGGCGTCCTTATATTCCTATTCTGTGTGAAGCTGCATGCAATTTTAGAATCATTCTCAGTATCATCTATTATCATGGATTTAGCTTTTTGAATAATATCAGTGAGTAAGAAAAGCTCTACATTCAAGAACAATTCCAGGAATCATTGTAGTTAGCCAAATCTCATGAGGGTACAGTGTCACATTAAAACAGCATCTTTATTCCTCTGTTATGAATAATGGCTATGAGCTCCAGCGTGTATGTGTGTTTTCTGTTTCTTTATTTCTCTGGCCACTGCTATTTGAAACAATTAAGGCATTTGTCATGAATTCCTGTGGGGTGATTTGTTTGTAATGTGTGGGAGTATCTGTAACACTGCCTGAAATAATACTTAGAGCATTAAACCAGAAATGCTTATAAACAGGCTTATTGATTCCAAATGCTGATTCTGTCCTCATGTTTTTGTTTAGGAAATAATTTGATTGTTTCCACTGCTCATATAAATAAAAATGTAGTTATAAAAGACTGTGACATGCTGTAACAATTATGTTCGGAGAATTAATCATAACCATGTTGGTTACAGATTTCACACTTTGGAAAAACATTACACAGCAATGATTTGCTTCATTTATCTCAGATTGGTGTTCTTATTCTGTGAGTGAAAGTGGCAGCTGTGAAATCAAACCATCTCATATACAATGACACAATGTTAAAGAACTTACCTTTATCTTTGTAAATCCAACATCTTCAGCAATGGGTCCATTTGGGGGTTTTAAAGCAGTATTTTAGTGTAAAAGATGATATTGTTAAGGTTTGCAGAGAGGGGCACTCAGTTATTTAAAACTCAGCAATCACAGACGACGGTTAAAGATCTCAGTTGAATCTTAATTGCGGTAATAATCACCAGCCTTACCCTGTGCTTCTTTATCTAATGCAACAAAAACCAAAATCTTTTCACACATCTTAAATCACCGAACAGTTTTTTCCAGATGACAGACAAAAGAAACAGTGTCTGCCCACAGATCAGGGTCAGGAGATCACCAGACAAAAAGAAAAAAAAGAGAAAGAAAACAGTCAATCTTTATCTCCTTTTTAAAGTGGAAGCCAAAAAACATCAGCTCCCAAACTCCTTGCTGACAAGCCAGGGACTCCTCAGACAAGCAGTGTGCTGACAGGACAATGTTTTGGTGCTCCGGCCTGGAGATTTCCCTCTTCTTTGGCTTCATTTCAGCCTGGGAGCCACATGTCATGGGTCAAACAGAAGAAAATACTTAGCCGCTTGTTATTCCTCTCTGCTGGCACTCGGAAAGGGATCTGGTGAGAGACAGATGAGCCTGTCTCTCTGAGCAGAAAGACAGACAGTTGATGAAACACCCGGCCTTTTGTTATTCTTTTTTTTTATGATATCCGTGTGTGTAAATCGCTACAGGGACACTTCTAAGAATTATTAAATGATTGAGTTTGAAGTAGCAGCTTGGAGACAAACATTTCCAGGAATAAGACAGAATGAAGAACTAACATTTCTCTTGCTGACTGTGCCAGCCTGAAAGGCTTTGAGCACATTACCAATAAATGTACCAAAGTGTCAGAGCAGTTACACAACATTCAAATCATGAAATATCAAGTATTACATTTTTTATTGTTTTTTAACAACAAGATATAAAATGATGAGCTTTGACACTGAAACCCAAATTCAACTGCAAAACTGGGTTTCGTAACTTCACTTGATTCTTCAGCGAGTTGTTGTAAAAACAGGGGAAGTATTGCGTGATGTTAATCTGTGATTATTTAATGTGTTAAGATGTGTCACAACAACTGTAGTGTTGGTGCACTATTAAAGAGCAACTTGATTCAGAATGTTGGCAAATAGTTTCTGCACCGTAATTGGCCATATTTATTAATAAGTAAGTCTAAAAGCATTGATTTTGACAGTGGAGGGGGAGCATCTCGCTGTGCAGTAGCAGGACCTCATGCTGCTCCCTGCGAGCAGGACTCTCGCTGTGTAGCAGTGATTGCAACATATCCCTCTGATTACTGTCAGTGAATGTTATGAGGTGTTTTCTGATTGGGCTGGCTCCGGCTCCAGGGTTCACTCTAAGGGCTTCATGGGAATATGCAAAGTGCTCTGCAAAGTAAACCTCCATCTTAAATACAATGCCGACGCAGCCACTTCTGCTTAGATTTTGTGGGCATAATTTGACACAGATGCTGGGTCCGTCACAAAAGGCAGAGGAAAACACATTAGCAAGAAAGAGGCCAGCGTGTCCTGCCAGCCGGAGACAAAGATGTTTGAGGATTGTGGTGAGACCAACAAAGGATACCTCTTGATTTTTCTCAGTATTATTGCCTTGTTTTCTTCTCACTGGTGTGAGTCTTACCAGTATAGTTGCTCCATCAAGGTATAGTTCCAGAAAACCCCATTCATTAGTTGTTTTGTCTTGGTTTTGATCAACTTGTCCAGCTCTGGGAGTTTCCTCCGCTACCAAAACAGTCACATCTAAGAGGGCAAATTCCAGCTCTCTTTATTTTTCTGCCCATTTCCGAGGGTTCAAATACCACCATACACTGTTACACTTGTAGTTTTCATCTCACGGTATCTTCAAAAACAAGGCAAAGTCAAGGAGTGGGGATATACAGTATCATCTTAGCCTCCTTATGATGTTGTTCCACCTCCACAGGCAATTGTCAGAGGATTACATACATGCTGGTATACATAGAGCCCTCGGATGATATTTTCATTCCTTTGTACTGTGTGTGTTTCTGTAAGTGTGTTTCCAATTATTTAAAATGTAGTCAGTATTCCCTTTTCTTAAGCCAGGGACATTCACACATTAAAGAGAGTAGGTCGCCACATGTTGGTGTTATCAGTTACTGGTAAACAACTTGAGTTTAACCTGTATAATGTTATTAAATGGGTAACTGTAGTGCAGACAAATTCAAATACACGTCTCCACCATCATCTCATCTAGCTATTTTTTTTTTCTTTTCACTTCCTCAGCCGAAGCTGGTCATTCAATCTGAAAGCAATTTAGCCCATTAGCCTGATGTTTAGGAGGCCAGTTAAACCATGCGCATCTACTTTGCAGCCTTCGTACTGAACTGTAGGGCAATTTGTTTGTTGATAATACAGGCAGTGTTTCTCTGAGTTGGAAACGAAGCATTTCTGACAATAATGCAAACAACAACAGGATGTATGGACGGATTGTGCAAGAGCTCGTTGAGCAGCAGGAAACATTTACAGAGATCTCTGCAAGGTTAATTGGCTGGGGTTACATTGAATGTTGTAAGCTCTGTAATTAGTTCAGTACTTATTCTGTTCTGCTATTGTTTAAGTTACCAATAACTACGGCGGTGTTTACAGTTACTCCAACACAAGCTTTGCAATGCCTGTTCTTATTGTTTGCACAGTCTTCTCTTAAAGCTCTTGTGTTGGCCTACACAAGTAAACAAGGCCATCCCATAAAGAGAGATTATTTCTATCATTTTCAATGTCTGTATCGAGTGGTGTGGGTTGGTGTCGGCTTACGTGGTAAATTGCATACCTCAGAAATAGCGGTCTTCCTTTTACATTCCCCAAGGCAAAGATTTTAAATGAGTCATACATAAATGTGTTAAATGAAGCAGGGTTTCTTTCTGTCTTTCTTTCTTTTTCTTTTCTTTTCTTTTTTTTTTTAACAAGATATCATTAAAAAACGCACAGGGAAAAATAAGGAAAGAACTGAGAGCTATAACTTTGTCCACAGGGGGCGCCAAAATCAACCCAAACTGACAGCAAGTGTTTTAGAAATGGACAGTTCAGTAAGTGTGACTGTCATGTGTTGACACTTAAGGGCAAAAAAATACCTAATTTGAGTAAAAGCTGCATATGTGTTTCATTCTGAGATATATTCTATGATTTTCTTTATTCTTGCAAAATTCATATATATTTTTCAAGGGGGAGATATATTTAAGGCATGAATGGCAATAAAATGAGAAACATCTGCATCAACATTAGACATTTCCAATACAATCGTATTCTTTTTTTTTCTTCGAGTGCTTGAAAGAGTCAGTGTTCAAAACAAGAAAAGGATTAAATTAACTTTTGAATCTTTATCAAGTGACTGTCACAGATGCTGGAAGTCTTTTTATTTCATTAGTGAAACTTATCAAAAATATTTTTACCAACCGCTGCCTACCTCACCACCAGTGAACATTTTAATGACTTCATGCTAGCTTATGGAAACTCTTGCTAATTATTGCACTTTTGATTTGAGACTTCTCTCACTCAGGGGTTATTAAACTGAAGTGTTTTCTGCCACTTTATCCACTTAACAGGGGCACTGAACTAGTGTATATGGATGAGATGTTCATCTCTATTAAATGAGCGTTGTGATGAAGTAGAAAAAAGAAGTTCTTCAAAAAGACAACATTTTTTTGTCATTATTGCATATGAATGAATGAATGTACATTTAGAGGATAAAGATCCTTTACATTCTTAGCTGAGATTCCTCTGGCTCAATTGACCCACAGTACAACATGAAAACCATTTATCCCTGCTATCCGATTGCGTTCTATGTACTCTGTTCTCCATGTGAGGGGTGTTTCATTGCTTTAGACACACTCCCAGCTTTCAGGTAGAGAGTCATCAATCACTGGCCTTCTTCTGACATTAACTTTTTTGTCAATGCCACTGTCTCCAGTTTGTCTGCAGACTGAAAGATTTGAGAGGCACTTTTTATTTGCACGCTTTTAACTCCGCCCAGCTGGGGTAATGGAGCTGGTTGTGTGCAAGCAATTAATGCAACCACAATGCCAAAAGTGGTGATTTGTCATACCCTGCTGATACCTAATCATTATATGGAATGTAACGCTGCTAAATGTGCCCAGACTCAATTGATGTTATGATTCTGTCTGTCCTCAGGTTTCTAGGGTTTTTCCTAGCGCTCCCATTCCCACGTGTGCCAACAAACACAAGATGCAGGCAATAAATGCACAACATGCAGGCCTGTTTCCAGTAATATGCATCTCGATTTTTCTCGTTAACTGTTTTGTGTTTTGATCCGTGGTCATGTTTTTGTAAAGCAATATGAAAGCCCACACTTGTCCTTGTAAATTCATGGGTGTATAATGAAACAGTATGCAAAATGCACCTATTGCAAGTTGTGTTGTTCCTGACATTGATTTGTTTTGACTTTTTAAGCAACACTGCTGCAAATTTATCCTACCTCTTATTTTAACTCCCTGGACACTCTACCTCCTGTCTGTTCTTGCCCTTAATATGAAGGCATTTCAATTGCAGTGAAGCCCCTAGGCTGACAGCCATGAGATTAGTATGAATGTATTACCCCCTTGGGTGCCATAGCCTGTAATAAGTTCCCCATTAATCGTATCCTTTGGGGAAAATTTGTTTAGGCCTTAATTACATATCATTAAAATTGGTCTTGATTCTCTCAGATTCAAGCTCAGAATTAGACTGCACATTTTCTGCCTCCTTCGCCTTCGGCCATTCTGCAAAATTATGTTACTTTGCCTCTGCACCCGTGCGATTTCTCATGGCCTCGATGATTCCTCTTATGTATTCCAGTTCACTAAAAAACTCGCTTGCTCTCCCTGGTATGTTTATTAATAATTTCATACCTTTTGTTTATGTCTGTGTTTTGCGCAAACTTGTCTATTTTTCATTCTTCTTTTGCCTCACTTTACAAAGGTCTTTGAAATATGCTTATACTTTATTTATTTACTCAGAGCAGATAAAAAAGACCCTCCGAACAGCATAAGCTGAATCGTTTGAAATGCAACACCCTCTTTCACTGTAGGTAAAGCTTGTAGAGCCCAGTAAGTCCATATTGCAACAAACAAATCTTTAATGGAGGCTTAAATTTCTTTCTGCTTTCTTCAGAGGGACTTTATATTTACACTCATGAAGCTTGAAGCGAAGTCATGGTTGTCTTTAAATCCCTCTCCATCATTTCGAAAAACACTTTAAACTTCACTGCAGCATTATATTTTTGCGTGTGCAGACAATGGACTTGTAACCGTAAAAATGGCCTGGATCACATCTATTCCTACCATGTTTTCAGTACAGTAAATACTCATAGTATTTAATGCCAAAATGTTAAATCTCTAGACAATAATGATCAAATAATATTTGCAGACCTCAAAGTTAGTCACTTGACCTGGTTAAAAACCCTCTGGCTCTTCATGCACAGGGTATTTAGTCTCTGCAGAGCCAAAGAACATTGCAGTCAACTGCGAATAAAAAGCTGTCATATCGCCCGCTATCTCTTGGCATTGGGAGCTGATTCATGGTCTGTCTACATGAAAGTCCTTCAGTTTCAGAGTCGTCTTTGCCACCTCACAATAAGATGATTTGGCACTGACACTGCCGCATTTGGAAAGCAAGCATTTCTTGGATTATAAGTCCCTGAAAGTAATCACGAAGAAACTTAGCATCTAAATATGGTGATTCAGTGTTTTGCTGATGAATCATAACTCATGTAAATCCATTAAACTTAAACCATGCACCCCAAGCTGCCATGCTCATTCACAAGCCCCACATCCATTTGTTGGTTAGTTTTTTCTCTTTGTGTGTCTAATTAAGATCAGATTTGAATCAAAGGGAAAATCTGAATTTTCGGTACTTGCTTCCAGTTAATCAAGCCAGTTTAGCCCTTGTTTTTATCGCAGCATTTTCACTCCACAGAATGTGTGTGAGTGTGTGTATGTGTGTGTGTTCATATACATAAATATTATTCAAACTGTTACATTTATCTTTAAAGTTTGAGCTCTAGCTACACTGTAAAATGTAATCAAAGCTTTTGACACATATCAAATTTCTATTCTGCTATTGCATCAAATCTACAAAGGCACAGCACCATTGCTTTAAACGCTTACTCTTAGTTTACACATTATAATCTGCAGTGGATTTGGTGGTCCCCTGATATACAAATAAAATTAAGCGACTGACTTAATGAAATTGCTATAAAATCTCAAATGAACAGAACAGGATAATATTCATAAGAATATTGGATTTTTAACAGATCTCGTTTGAAAGCTGCATGTTAAGTTCATATTTGGCATTTTTTGGTTATTATTATAGCAGTTTTTAAACTTTTATTCTAGCCTGGGGAATACCTATAGAGAGTATGTTTCAAAGCTACATGTATGAAGTTTAAATGATCAAATGAGGCCTGAAAGAGAAGGCGGTCAAGGGCTAAGTAACACCATCTACTTAAATGAAGCCAATGAAAATACCTGCCGCAGAACATGTTTACATTTCCTGATAGCATTTAGCATGAGAGGGGTGCTCAGACAGGAAGACTGTTCACATAAAGAGCTGTGTGCAGAGCTGTCAGCGGTAACCTTTTCACAGCTTCATTCCCCCACACAGACCACCTGTAGAGCACTCGACGTTTTCTTGGCAATGCATTGTGCTGGAAAAAAAAAAAAAAACACAGTCTGAGCAGAGCTGTACTGTTTTTTATTTTTTTATTTCTTTTTTTCCCCCTTCTGTTTTGATACCCTGTCCCCAGCATCAAAAGATAGGATTTCAAGCTAAGAACAATGTTTCACAAAGCTCACCATAATAAAAGAAAGAGGCAAAAATAGTCTTTTAAAAAATGTGACCATTACAGGAAGAGGGGTATTTATATTGGCCTGCTGTATGTCAGTTAGGAACCTGGGAATGGCAACAGTTCATTGGAGCAGTTTGACTCGATATGCCGATGATTTATCAGACCACTGGGACCATTTGGGCTTGTAAAACATGAGGTGAAGCCAAGACCATTAAGCTATGTAATCAGCCATGGTGAGCCTGATACCACTCTCACTACCCCAATACATTTACGGTCTAAGGGCTAAAGCACATACTTCTTGGTTGTTACTGCTGCTTTTTGGATGTTTTTTTCCTTCTCTTTGTTTGGGCAATTATTTCTTCTTTTCGGGAGCTTAGTGTATGCCTCATTTGTGCAAATTGAGCATGTGTGGGAACCGAAAAGTTCCTCAGAAAGTGTACTTAGTTTCATGCCTTTCCTCTGATTGGATTTAATGGTGATTTTTTTAGTATAGTGAGGCAACATGAGATACTTTGTTGTGAATCCAAGAAGCAGTAATTTTACTACCTGATAGTTTACACACCTAAAACATCTTCCTTAATAATAATAACAGTTAAATAGGCCTTTTAAATGACTAGTTTAAGCTTCCCTTTGAGTGGAAACAGGTTCCCTGGTTTTTAGATGTTTTTATTATTCACATGGACTGGTTCAACAGCATGTGAGACTGTTCCCCAAACTACTCTCCAAGCATTTTAATGACTAATTTTACCGCTCAGGGAGACTGCTGTGTTTATGAGCAACTCTGATTTTTTTTTTAGGTTCAGCGCAGTGACATGACGGGTAAACTTTTTAAATAGATATCAGGGCAATAGTAATTTGTCACAGGCGTCCTGCCATACAAGATTAATTTCCATATGTCAGAGTATTTCCCTAAAGACTATTCTTCTTTGTGAGCCTGCTGTAGGTCAGACAAGGAAAATCTAAAAATGTAAAGCAAGAAAAGTATGATGACTGCATGAGACACTCAGATTATGTCTGTCCTACTGCCCTGATGAGAACTCCCTTAACACTCTCCAAAGAAACACACAAAAAGTCCCACTGTTTTGGTCTTTTAGTTCAGTAAATCTACAACATCAAAGTATCATGATACAAACATTTGATTCTTTTACTTGGATTTATAAAGTTTAAGGAGTTGAAGACCTTGGCATCTATTAAGTTTGATGGTTTTACTGTTATTCATAGCATTACTTTCTGAAAACCAATGCAGAGAAAACACTTCAGGACTGTTCAATAGAAAAAAACTGAAGTACCCTGCTGTTGAAGGTAAAAAATATTCAAGAGCAGTTTACAACAATATTCTCTCCAAGTTTTAAAATTCAAGTCAAGCATGTTGTAACCTTTAAGTAACGTAACACACACAATAAAAGTAGTTCCTAGTTTCTAGGTGTTTTCATGTTGGTTAAATAAAACACAGCAATTGTGTCTTTGTCCGTCTGTCCTTAGTCATTGTGTGAGATGGTGGTGCTGGTTTTCACCCATGCACTTTTGAAAATCCTCCCAAATTTCCTGGTGGGCTGCATGTACGGAAAGAGCAGATTTTCCTATTATCAAGAATTTGACATTTTTACACATATCTGCAATGAAGGTATGGGGGACGAAAAGCTCACTCTTTGGCTTGTAGACATATCAGCGAACTGTTGAGCTGCCATCAGACATTTAAAATATAAATCTTAGCTCTGGGCCTGAAGAGGAGAGCTTAAATATCAACAGCACACTGTAATAATTCAGATTAAGGAGTAGAGGATGTAGCAAAAATATCTTCCCACCGTTTTTGTGCAGCTGAATTACGATCTTGATTTTTATCACCATTCTTTATCATGTTCATTATTGAAATTATTTTGCCAAGTTCTGACTAAAATTGACTACTACCCAATTAAAGAAAAATTTGCTCAAAGAAAAAAGAAAGACTGTTTATACTTTTTTGGATAGAATTTATGTGTGTGTGTGCTGCTTGTGCCATGTAGAACTGACATTGAACAAGGATGTTGACATAGATCAGACTTCTAGTCATCTGATCACTATATGTTGTTTCCAAGGTTGCATTCAGTTTGTAATCAGATGACTAAAGATGAATTTCACTTTACAGTTAGATTGAAGAGTGACATTCTTTAAAGTGAAAACACAGTTGAACAAAGAGATGAAGAAATCATCAACTAATCGAGCCTTAACTGAACGTTTAAACATACATCATTGTACTCATGCAGGCTGATTCTGCTGTAAAAATGTCATCACCTTACTTACTGTTAACCATTCATGTGCAACGCAGATGTGAGGTGCAGTGTGTATAAAAACAGCAGAGGCAGTGTAGCGGCTGAGCCAGTATGACAGAGTGATCAGCAGTGAGGACAACAAACAAGGGATCCCAGCGATGTTTCAGTCGCTGTTGCTGTCAGTCTTGATCGAAGCATTAAAACAAGAGTAACCTCAGAGAGTGCCACAATGTCTAGGTGTGTAATCTAGCACATCTGGCATGATGAGAAAACATCACACATTGTTTAATAATTGGCTTTAGCGTAAGTGAGGTCGCCCATAAAGCAGAGTTTTGAAGCCTATTGGCGGCAGTTGCCATGTTTGCATTGCTGACTCAACCTATCTTGCATATAGGAACGATTTGTCCACCTGTTAGTCGCATCAGCTGTGCCTCTGATTCACCAATCTTGTAACCTTAATAACTTGGAAACCAATGGGTCACTAAATACTAATTCTCTTTACAGTGGGTCTGTGAGATCCTTGAGTTATTCAAACCAAGGTTTATCATACACATTTTATCTCAAAACACTGTGAACTCAGGATCCCTTTTGAATTATACTATTGTCTTTCCAAGACAGCTGAGTAATGCAGTTCATTCATGGTGCAGTGTGGACGGGCCGGTTGTTGCCTGTAGTCTGCATCCAAGGACTTGGCCTGTGCATTATGTACAGTGTTACCATGCATCCATTTGTGGGCATACAATGGATGTCAAGAGAATGTGCTGATACGATGATCCCTCTGGGTTGCAGAGTCCTCTTTAATCTAACACACCCCTATTCTGAGTCTGTAGATATGACAAGTAAAAGGCTAACAATTTATATCAACTTGGTAAAGCACATGTCAGATCTAAGTTCATTCCTCTAAACTGCCGACAGGACACCTCCTTTTTCCTTCAGACTGATTCAAGTAGGATTCCTCGCCCAAAGGCCATATTCATTTCTGAGAAAGACTAACCTTTGACAAGTAACAAAAATGGCTAACAGACATCCAGTAAGAAGACAAGGTGCAGCCTCTGGGTGAACTTTAAAGCATTCTCTCTGTGACAAATAACCAGATAAACCTCGCTAACCAAGGCCTGTTTAAAGACCCACATTTGTTGGCTTTAAGTTTTAGCAGCCTCAGGAATGAGATTTATTAAATAATTAGATTAAAGGTATGATAGAAAGTAAACGTGTGGATAACTGTGTATTTTCAAGGTATGCATGAGAGTTGTAAATTTATACTCGGATGGATTTTCTCTGACCCTTTCCCTTTGCTGTTTGCACTTTTAATACACTAATGCCCATGCATTAAAAGGCTCACGGATATAAGAATGACTCAGCGACTACAAATCGACTTGATGTCTCCTTGCCTTTATCCTCTTAGAGAGAGCTTTCAGGGGGAGGAGGGGGCTGAAAATGACTATTCCATGCCCGTCCATAAAAGAGGTGTTTTCTTTTGATGATGAGGATAAGAAGAGTACAGGTAGAAGCTGTTAGGGAAATATATATATGTCAAGACATCCGTATGGGAAGAGCATTCACTCGACCACCTATTCACATGAATACTGCAGATTTTATGAACCCCAAGGTACAACACTTATGGAGAGGAGAAGATTTAAGGTCATGTTCTTCACATCTGTACAATACATCACTGTTAAAGTCAATACTGTACTGAGCTGTGTAAATAGTGCGGGGGCGGGAATGTGAACTTTGCAGTTGTTTGAAAAGGCCAGACATCGCTTTTTTTTTTGACTCTGAACATTGACGTAAATCTTAGTCAATCTGCACCTTTGTCAAAAAGCTTATTGTTTCTGTCATTTTCCCATAAAATAAGAAAAACAACCAGAGTGAATCTCTGATGTTAAGATTAGCTGGTTTTTAATTTTTAATTATAGTAGAATCCCCGATATTTAGGGTGCCAGTTTTACCTTGTGGTTCAGTCATGCACCCCATGTACAGACGAGTACTAAAGCAAGTTGACCTAATTATTTTACAACCTTTGGCTTCTTTCCTGTCCCGTTTGTCACTTCACATTCTCTAGTCTGGTTTCATGATCTTAAAACTGTCTTTTCTTCTCTGAATAAAGGCCTAAAAGGAGCCTATAAAATCTTTTAACTTTATAAAGATAACTCTAGATTGTTTTTCCTGTGTTAGACTGCAGGAAAGCCAATATAAGGACTCGAGGTTATCAGACATGACCTCTTGTAAATTGTCAGAGGCACATATTTGATATTCTAAGGCATCGAAAGTAACTCGCAAAAAATTTAATTCCTCATGTATCCCAAAACTGTTGCCCTGAGATCGAGGATTTGTAAACCTCTCGAAAAATGAAAGCAGTTTAGAAACAAATACTGTATAATAGTCAGAATAGACCAGCTGCTATATGCCTGCATCAATCTGGTACACCCCCAAGTTGTAGGTTCATCCAATGAGACTCTTTCCAGCCTTCCCCTCTGGTTTTTCCATTTCTCTGTGGGAGGTTGGAGAGCAAAGGAAGGAAGCCTTTCGTGGTTCACTTGAACTTGAGTGCAATCCAAGACCTTATCAGCGTGCAGCTGCCTCAGACAACTGAAGTACATGTGTTTGAGAACGTGCTACAAGCCAGTTCATGTTGGTCATCAGTGCCCTATAACCATTAAACTCATGCTTGTTGAGTAATGATGTCGAAGTAGGACGAAAATTAATTTCATCTTTATGCACTACCATAACTTTTGTATCTGAGAAATAGCCTGTGCACTTAAATTCGCACTGAAAAAACAGGAATTAATTCACTTTTCTTATTTTATTTGGAAATAACTCACAAAAATTTGAGGGTTTTTAGTTTTTGTTAAATAAAGAAATTCATATAAGCTTGTTCTACTGAGTTATAGTGATATTAAGACATGGCAGATGCACATTGTGCAGCACTGACCCTGTGGAAGAGACTTTTCTCTATCCGCGAGGCTTTGAACAGTGGCCAGATAGCCTGCTGTGACCGAGTGCAGCAGGAGACTTTGCTGCTGTGGAAGTCAATGGCCTCTGCTGGGAGAAGAAACAAGAGAGCTGCCGAGACAGGAATCAGGATCCACCTACCCTCTCCAAGATGTGTCAGTAAAGGTGCCAGACTGGAAATGTGTAAGCCCTGGCTTTAATGCCACATGACAACAAAGTGCAAAGATTTATGGGTCTGTGTGCAAACGGATGTGTCCCAAGAGAAAAAAGATTACTTGGGACATGATACGAGGCAAATGTATTTATAAATGTTTAGCTTTTTGGATCTGTCAGTAGTGGGTCCTGAAATCAAGAAATTAGTTATTTTTGGAGCATAATTTCCCTCCTCAGTGAAACGCTTGTCACAGTTGAATATTTTGCAAGTCCAGGGAGTGTGAATTCGATCTTTATATCCTGTCAGTGCATATTAGTATTCACAATCTGTGGCTTAAAGTTCAGGGTCACTGGAAACTAGAAGCATTCCCAAATATGTGTTTTAGGAATTTGCACCTGATACATTAAATAACTTTCTCATGGTTAACATTTAAAAATATGTCAGTAGTGCAGTCTGATGTTATTTGGTCTGTTATTCATGGAGAGAACATCTTGATAATAAGGTGTGTTACCTTCATATGCAAAGGTAGCATGAAGGCCAAGTCAATACAAACAGCATCGCATAGAAACTGTTTTGGTTGGTGTTGCTAGGCAACACTGGCAGCCAAACAATAGCACACAGCCATATATTTGGAGCCAGGGGTGCTGAACGCCACAGCACAACATGAAGTCTGTATTTAGCTGTATTAGCTTATCCTTTTTACTGGAGTGAGGTTGAACAGTGAAGCACGAGCCAAAATCACAATGAAAACATCTTCACCGCTTAATCAAACAAACATGCTTCATGGCCCTACTATGTAGTTTTTCTATCTTGACTCCTATGTTTGTGCTTTTACATAACAATAGGGCTGCAGCTATCGATTATTTTAGTAATCGAGTACTCTATCGATTAATCTGTCGATTAATCGAGTAATCGGATAAGAAATGTTTTGCTCTCACTGTAATACTTTGCATTGAATCACGTTTGCCTCATTAAAAACCATCAGTAACACACAAAACTGAAATAGGCCAGGTCTTTCAAATGAATATTTTTACTGCATAAATCAGGAACCAAAAGTTTTACATTTTACCATGTAGTTCACATGAAACTACTGAAGGCAAGGTCTGCAGATGGTCTTTTAATTGCTATGGTAATGATCTTTGCAGTTTTCACTAAACCAGTCACAACTATTTCCAGGCTTTGGATCTAATTTTACTTGTTTAATTAATAGGCTGAAATAATATAATTCTTGGATACTAACATAATTTGACAAGCAAATGTACATTTATTCAATATATAAAAGTGTTACATTTTTATTTACATGTTGTTGTGTGTTGGTCATTTTGCAGCCCTCTGCTGCTCATCACACGCCTAGCAGGTGGTGTATAGCATTATCACCATGGATACACGGATGTTTGTGTGATTTTTTTCATCCACTGCCGCCCGGTTTGTGTCGTGTAGATGTTGATTATGAAAACACTTCGCAATAATTTGGAAACGTGAAGGGGGAGCTGCTGCTGCCCGGTGTTTACGGTAAATAGACGCAAACACCGACCAAGTGGACGCTTCGGTCTCCGAAAACGCCGAGACAAATTTACAAACAGCCACTATTTCAAACAACTGGGCTCATAATCGTGATGTAAACACTTACTTTCTCGCTAGAAAAAATATTATTATTGAATGAATTTATATAATTTGTCCGGTATGCAGTCGTTCTTTGTAGCTTGTGGTAGGACTATTTAAATTTTCCCGGCGCTGCGTCCGGCCGGCACGAAATGCATTCTGGGGTATTTAGTATGTATGTGTGTAAACGCTCGGGCAGCCGCGGCATACTCAAATCATCTTTGAGTAGTCAGTAGGCAGTAGCTACTGCTTGAGTAGGTAAGTAGATAGCAGGCAGTATGCCATTTCGGACACAGCTTCTGTCTGTCCTCGTTTCCCTCCATGATTGAACCAAACGCGCGGCAGCGGAAGGAGCGGAAAGAGCACGCTTCTGCGCAACAGAAATAACCGTCCGTGTCAAACACCGTGCGCTGCACATGGTTCCGGATTTAAACGATTCCTCGAGGCATATAATTTGCCTCGAGGAATTTTATTAATCGAGTTACTCGAGTTACTCGAGTAATCGTTTCAGCCCTACATAACAATGAAAACTTTGTTTTTGTTGTCATGTAAATTCTGGGTTAGCGTTTCTGCAGTTTGTTCCATACAAAGTCATGCTGTTGCTTGGTGGACTTTGCATGACAAGAGGACGCATATGTCTCAGGTTATTTATTTTTTTAATTCAAGTAGATGGCACACTGAACTCCAACAGATACAAGGAAGCACAACATATAAAGGGACTCTTGTACCTTGAATATATAATGCAAGATCAAAGTAAAGAAAGTGTGATTTTGTTTTTTGAACTTAAGAAAACTGATGATTGAAAACCAATGATAGATTTATCTGCTAGTACAATAACACCCTTTTGATTTAGTTAAATTAGAATAAGTGAAAGCTGAGGTTTCTGCTGTTTAATGCTGTCATTTAGGGCTGGGCGATAAACCGAAGATTTACAGATACTGAAATTTATGAAAACGACCAACGTCATTTTGCCCAAGTCAATATGTTGGGTGTCAAAATAAAAAATTATTGATAAAGGTTGGTTTTGGATGTGTGTAGGTAGGCTATGGTCTCATTTAAGATGTTGTCCTACGTCGGAGATGTTACTCCACCCCATCCCATCCAGTCCGTAACAAAGAGGGAAAGACGGGTGAGGAGATGGAGGACGGTTCAAAAGTTGTAGTGGCTGGAGTGGTGGCTGAAGTAGACGAAGTTAATGTGGGAGGGGGGAACAGCTTGTCGAGTAGTTATCATCCCTTTATCGCAATCGAGGTGAACTGCTCAATATATCCTGATATTGGTTTGTGGCCATATTGCTCAGCCCTACTGCCATTGCTTGGTTCACAAAAACAAGAAAATATACTCTTTTTAAACTCAACAATCTTACTGATAATCACAAAAGATACAAGAATTACAAATTTAATTCAAACTAGGAAGTGAGTTTACAGTGATCTTTTAAAGGTGTCAACTCAGGGATGAATGGATGATGAGTGAAGAGTTTTCCATTAAAAAAATATAAAGACAGATATTTCGAGACAATGGAAGAACAGCATGGTACCAGGAGACTGGAGCGCAAAAAAGAGTGTGTTGTAGCCTGGTCTTAAAATATACCAGCCATGTGCTCTCAGTTTGCCCTAAAGAAACCATGAAACCCACCCACTACCAATCTCCAAAAGAGACCAACACAGAAACTGAAAGGGGGGATGCAGTGAAGAAAGGGCTGCAAAAGAGGGAATGCTATCACAAACAGAAAACCTTGTTTTCATATGTGAGGTTTTATGTTGGCTGTGATTTTCAAAGCTAAGCCATGGCAGTAGAAACAGACATTTTTCAAAAGGTATTGTAAGATTTGATGCTCTGATTCTGGTGCCTTCCTGTTTAGAAGGAGAACTTGTGGGCCTTTCTAGTGAGATACAGTTTTACTATCTTGACAAGACAAAAGTCACACTCACTGTATTATGGTCATCAGGATCTCTGTGCACATTCTCGCCGTCTCTGTGAATGCAAATGTGATAATGAGTGAAATCACACAGATGGACACTCATTGTTAAATGCTTAGTCAGACAAACGAAGGCTTCAACCCCGACTTTACACATGACACCAGTAGTAATTTCTTCAGGGGTTACTGCAAAAGTAAAATAAGGGTCTCTCGGAAGTCAGAGCAAAAGAAAGGTCCATTGTTCTGGACAAAGTTGCAATGACCACCAGATCCCCTCTCTGTAGGGGGAATGACTGACGCCCTCAATGGCTCACTAACTAAAAGAATATTAGTCTTGGACAATGCTTAATGCACGGGTGGATTTCATATTGTGATACATTAACCACTCTGCAAACCTTTGATTTAGCTCCTTTGTCAGATGTGTTTGCAGTATTCAGTGGAAATGACTTCAGTTCATCCTCTGTTTGCTGTTCTGGTAGTTAATGATGTAGTAGCAGAGGGAATAATGCTGGGTCCACACACTGCTTTATTCATCTTTTTACCTCAGTCTAACTCACTTTCAAAGGCAAGATGTGCAAAACATGGTAGCTGATGAAAGGAGAGAAAAAAGAATAGCTAGCAGGTTTTATTTATGGATACACCAAGGCTCTTTTTTTTTCTCTTTTGACCAGCCCCAGCTATGGGCATTGTGGCCACCAGTGAATTATTCTACACTCTCTAAAATGATGATATACACCAGGCTTTGTTGTGGGGGGTCGGGGGTTCTGTGATGGTGTAAGCTTCCCTCTGCAGTTGTTTGGTCTGACCTCTCCTCCCCATCAGTGACATACCATTAACTACTACACATGCTCCTCTGTACACTAACATCCCTCGTCAGCGCAGGCAATATATTTTGTTTGTCTTTTTCAAAGGTGGCACTACCTGCACCGTTCTGCAAGCTGCTCGTCAGGCTCCCCTGCTTACCATACAGTATGGTAATGGGACTTACAGATGTCCTTTAAAGGATGAGAAGGAAGGAGTTTATTTTGTAGTCATGTCACATTACTGTTCCTTCACAACTGATGTTAGCTGCTGACAGTTGCAATTAAGTGTAAAATAACATGCTGTTCCTTTGCCGTCAAAGTAAAGGGCTCGGGCAGAATGCCTTCACCCCAGAATGGCCGGAGGGATAACTCTTGTGCACAGTCCCATTTAATAGAGATGGTGGAGTGTGCCATTGTGCTGGCAAAGAGGAAAAAAAAGAGTTGCTAGTTTCACTTTTATTTCACTTTTTTTTCTTCTGTTTTGACACTTATGCAGTCTCTCTCACTCCCTCTCTCTCATTCTTCTCTGCACAATGTCTCTCTGTGTCAGTAGAGGGCTGGAAACTCATCTGACACTCAAGCTGAGATTTAATGTAAAAGTGTAATAAGAGCTTTGAAGAGAGTCAGCTCTCTTCTAAAACGCCGTCCCCTCAGAATTCACTGTTTTTTGGAGAGTATTGTTATGAGGTTGTTGAGGCAAGGCTGCGTCTCTCCAGTGAGAGTGGCGTCCAACATATTGGCCTGTCGTCCTCAGTGATGATAGGGCTCATATTTTACAGGAGTTGCGCTCTGAGCAAAACTGAAAGGTGTTTGTGCACAATGGGAGAGCAAGGGGGGCATGGAGTCATGGTGATGGCCCCTTTATTCTCAGCTGTCAATTTAAACGTTGATATAAGTGTTTGGGTTCCCATGGCATCAAGAATAAATTGACTTTTTAGTATCCAAGAGGGGGGCACATGTTTTTCTTATACCTGAAGTTACAAATCTAAATCCCCTTTTTGATCAAACATCCGCCTCACAAAGGTGTCTTTACTCTGTTTTGCATAACCAGCTGCAAACTATAGCCTACGTTACCATACTAATTTTCCAGCTATTGCAGATGAATGTGGGTCATTTTGACCAAGTTATGGAAGTTTGTGGTTAGGATTTAGGATTAAGGATTTTTCTTTCTTTTCAAATCTTTTTAAATACAATATGCATCAGGGTTAAGGAACATTTACATGTAAAGGCATAGGATTAGCCAGGTGGCTAATTTCCATCCTCAGTCCCATTCACAGGTTGGTGTCAATATATAAAAACAAAAACAAACATCAATAATAGGAGTGAAACACACAGAGCATATCACATATGACACATGAACTGCTGCTTCTTGAAATGTGTAAAAGTTAGACAAGTTTTTTGAGGAATAACTGGAATATTAAACAACTTACTGTTGTGAAGATATTGCAAGAAAACAACCTGACCAAATCATGTTTGATTATTGACATCACTGCGCTCACAGTTACATACCATTTAAAAAATCCTTTGGCGCAAATATCCTTGCCTAGACTTTTGTGCCCACATATAACATGCATGCATCAAAGTGCAAATTAATGGATTTAGCTATCTTAATTATTTTCTTTTTGCATTCCGCTATCATTTCAAGCTTACAAAACAGAAGGGTCAAGGTCAGAAACAAAGTGCATTTTTGTATCAAGACAAGGAAGAAAATGTGTGTCTGGATTTTTCGTGTAGAGAGGGAGTCACAGTTGTGAAAGCACAGAACTCTTCAGAATTCTGTTTCTCTTAAGTATTTAAGTATACCTTATCCTGGGGTATCAAGAAATTTGTGTTTGTCATATCTGCGTTGATAAATCTTGAAAATCCTGCCATGAGTGAAATCTCTTTAAGTACTCTTCAGGGTTTGTTCCAAGGCTGTTGTATTTAATGATATTTTTCACAGATAATCCTGTTTATAACTGAAAGTTGTTTGTCAGTCATCTCTACGCATAAATTTGTAATCACAATGGATGGCATTGAGCAGATATACACTGTGATTTTCTTTGAGTTTGTTGTAAATCCCTATAAGAATGTGGTTGTGTGTTGTGCATGATCAATTGTGCGCCCACAACAAGCCAAGTGAGAAGGGATAGCTGAGCGGCGCCAAGCTGCGTCAGCCCTAATCTGTCTCTTGACAGTCCAACCTTATTTCGCAGCAGAATACCCTTATTGATCTCCCAGCCTGTTACACAAATAAATAAATAAGTCAACTACACTGCACCTGAGTTCACAACCTGCCCTTGACGATACTATGAGCATGTGTGTGTAGAGGTGGAGGGGTTGCAGTTGTGCAGCAGGGGAGCAGAGAGTCAGGAAGGGTTCTGCATTGTTGATCCAGTATGACATTGATAGACAGCAGCTGAAGGAAAGCTGATAGCCATGTTTGGCTTGCTGTTTTTTAAAGGACGGACGTGACTGCTGATCCAAAGTTGACCGAGCATGAATTCAGCAGGTGATCGCCCCAAGTGGTTGTGCCGAATAGAGGTGAGGAAGGAAACTTTTCACATATGACTTGCTTGACTTTCCATCTTTTCCACCATTATTATTCTCCCCTTGAACTTCTTGTTTCTGGCAGAGTTATTTTTACATGTTTCAGTTTCTCTTTGTTGAACACAGCCATACATGTTGCTTATTCTTTCTGCACCAACTCTTGGGCAAATGCCAAGCTCCCATTATAAAAACTGTTTCTTTTTACTCACAAATAGAGTCAAAATATAGAGTAGATGTAACTGTATTCTCACACCAATAGTTCACCTAACTGGACAAAATAAAATATCTGCTTTGATGGGCTCTGTTAATTTATTTAGTTGTTTGTATTTTCTTAACTTATCACTTCAAACAAATTAAAAGAAATAAATAAAGTAAATTAAATACATTAAAACATCCTCTGTACTTTTGTGTCCGTAGGTGCAAAAATGTTTGGGAAATACAATCAAGTGTCTCTGACAGAAACTGTCTCAAGTTTCTCTTTCTGCCCAGTGCTAGAAACTTTACCCTGGGACCCCAAGGGTCTCAGAGAGTACTTAGCGTTGTGTCAAATCCTAACAAAAATAATATCACAAGCTGTCAGCTATCTTGCTACAAAAGGTCTCTGGTTAGCCTCACTTTTCACAGTGTCACTTGACACTCTTACATGGGGCCTACAGCAGCTGCTGTTTTTCCAAGCAAAACAACATAAGCCAGCTTAAAAAAAAACAAGTAAAAGCCCCTGACAAATTAATCTTAAACGGGTACTTAAGTACAAAAAAATTGCACTGTTTTGAGACTGCTTTTTCCATGGCTTCTTCTATTCCCAGTTACGTCTACAGACACTGAAGCTTCATGGGTAGGCATAAGAAAATAAACAGTGGTAAGAGGTTTCCAGTGCAAGGGTTAATGTAAGAAGGTTACTGAATAGAACCACTCCAAGTTGATCCAGGTCCTTCAATGTGTTGTATTAGGGTCACCTGACCATGTCAAGGTTCAATTTAGCAAAATGACCCACTTGGGTGAACTTTATAGTATCTTGTTTCACACCCAGCTAATGATACAAGCAAGTTCATCATTAATTTGAGGATGATTTTAAAATTGAGTCAGTTTGCACGTTGGCCTATATTACTGTTATGAATATAAATTAATTAGTATTTCCAATTACAGTAGAGCCTTTATCTCAGGCTGCTTTACTGTTATATATATATATATAACATTAAACAGGTTCGGACTTAATTCTATGGCAGACTGTCTGCTGAGAATTATAGAAGACTTTAAAATGTCCTATCAAAACATTAAGCAAGAGCATGTGATAAATATTTTAGAAAAATGGACAGATGGCAACTATTTCCAAAAGGAATCCATTCATGTGTACATTCCCCACTATAATTTACTTTATTCATTAGTCTGTTTCTGTCAATTTCAGCCATGAAAAACTAAACTCTATATTTGAGCTGCTTTAGAAGATTGATGGAAAGTAAAGAAACAGTATAAAATAAGAGACAGGCCATCATGCTTTGCTAAGTGAGTTGTATTCCCTCAAACTGGCTGAGCCCTGAGTTGTTAAAGACTAATTAATTCAAGAACAAACGTCCCCAAAGGCTGCAATTAATGATAAACTTATTAGACATGATGGTGCCCATGAGGTCTGGCTCTCATCGTGGCGTCCACGCTCCTGGTGGTGTTACTTACGCAGCTGTCATAGAAATATATTAAGAAAAGGAACAAAATCTATACGTGTTGGTGTGTCTGTTCGGACACATGTATAAGTCTGTTCGATTTATAAAGGCAGTCCCAGCCCTCAAATACCCCTTAACTCTGGCCTATCACTTGACATTTGGCACGATGCTTAGAAGTCCTCATTGACATCATGGCCGTCTGTGGTAAAAGAATATAAATGTTACATATCGACAAGTGTTGTGTGTGCGCTTTCTAATGAGTCTGTCAAAACTGAAGTCTCACGAGACATCCTTCACGCTGCCTGACGGAGACTGTCAATGCTGAAAAATGAGGGCTGATTTCCTGACCTCCTTTCTTGCTTAACTCTTTCAGACTCAAACAGCTGCACCCGGGCCATTTACAAATTAGTGTAAATGTCCCCCTGAGCACAGTCACCAAAACTTTCCACACTAAACAAGGAAGTGTGTGAGTGTATGTGGAGGAAAGAGGGAAAGAAAGGACTGCCAAAGAAAAATAAGATATGACTCTCACTTCACGCCGAGTTGCCTGACACCTCACCAGTTTCACTTCAGTTTTACATCCCCTCACATACCCTTCACCGCTCTGGCCAGCTGTGCTCTAATGACACCTGACAACACCAGAGATGCAGAGTCAGTGACAACAGATGTGTACAATTTTTGTGCAGTACGTAGCACTGATGCTAATGTTACATCTGAGACTTACATACTTTTAACAAGCAATTACAGCTTTATTTCATTTCCTTATGTATCCCCATATCCCCATAATTGTGTAGCAATTTATTGAAAGGATTGCTATACTACATTTAAATAAGAACGTTTTACAAGAAAATGTAGGTCAAAATGAAGACACTTTGAGTACGAATAAAGGAGATGGTCTTATGCTGTGTTCCAGTTGTACTCAGAAGTCAGAGTTTCCGAGCTCTGAGTCGGAAATTAATCTGGAACGCCCCCCTGAAGTTGGATCTCCGACTCAGGAAATTCGGAAGATCCTCACCTACCCCGACTTGACAACAATGTCATTATCGAAGGTGGCAGCACAGTGCATCAACAGTAAAGTGTAACTGTTAAAGCTCTTGTAATGTCTTATTCATTAGCACTTCTGTTTTGTTTTTTTGTGTAATTAAACAAGTGGTATATGTTGTACTGCCCAACGTCTAACTGTGAACACGGTGCTATGGTGTTTGGTAGAGTCAAATACTGTGTTATGCGTTATTTACAACCGGTATCGCTAACAACAACAACTAACTACAGCTGAGAATGGCTAACAACAACTTAGAATCCATCGTGTTTTTTTGACTTGTTAACTGGAACGCCGTCAACTCTGGTGTAGTGTCATTCCCAGCTCCAACATCCAACTTCTGAGGTAACTGGAACGCAGCATTAATTGGTAAACGTCCACATTTGCAGGTAATAATGTAAGGTATGCCTTAATAGTCAGCCGCTTGACCAAACTCCCAAAAATATGTTTTTTTTAAAAAAGGCCCCTTTCCTAAATTCTTTTGTAGATTCATAGCTTCCCAGAGTCTCTTATTAATCTCCTCAGTCCAATAAGTATTGTAACTTTCCAACACGAGGAAAAACACAGTCATGCCCAATTTAAGGTGAGGTGCAGAGAGATATCAGAAGTAAGGCTGAGATTGAACTCATACTCTGCTTTTCATTCATCTACTAGATTCTTTCATCACTTTTGGTCTGTACAACTGAGTGCAATACAATGAATTCCTTTGGGGACAATCTGCCCAAGAGTGTGTGCCCAAATCTCCATCTGTATTAAACATTGCATCAAGATTACAAAGAATTGCAAAATAATATGGATTTCTTTTCAGAGGTCAGGAGAGCTATAAGTAACACTGCTGAGCTTTGATCGTACAAATATCTCAGCGTGGACAACTGCAGCCTTGCACACAGAAAGCTGATGTGCATGTGCCTATGGTCTTCTGTGTGTTTGTATTTCACACATGCATGTGCAACCATGAGATGCAGATTTTTTTAGCTAGGGACAGCCTCTTCTCTGTTTTTTCTGTTGTTTTTAATTAAAAAAAAGGTGGAGGTTACAAAAATTAGGACACAGTGTGTGAAATGTAGCACATGCACAAAATATTCTCCTGTAATAGACTGTGTGGAATAGCGTAAGTCGACACGGACATATGTGGACAACAAGGAGCATCTCTCCTGGCTGTTTGATTTGAATGCATACCATGTCAGGTGAGCACATTTGTAAATACTTCCCTTTATTATTACCTTGAAACGCAACATTTTCCTGTCAGTGGTTGTACTTGGACTGACAGTGGTATTTCACAACTAATACTTACCAATTGCTAAACACTAAATGTTGAAATAAGCAGTGCTCTTGCCTTTATAGAAGGCAGGTTGAACCATCACTTGAAAACAGATATCAAGTCTGTACTGATAATTACATGCTTTTAGTCCCCACTGTGTCCAGTCCGTGTGTGCCCATCTTTGCGTGAGACATCCTCCAGCCACTCTCTGAGCCTCTCAGTAGTTCAAGAAAAATAATCTCTCTGAAAGTGCAAAAAGTTTAATCCAACTTCCAGTTTATTGAAACGCCTCTGTATGACATCCACCTTCACTTCCCAGCCCCTTGCTTCCTGCCTTGGAAATTGAGTGTGCATGGGAGAGTCCATGTCTCACTGTGAAACCCAGCTAAATTAGGAGTCAGACTGGTTGTGGGCGAGGGGGATGTGGTTGTGGTGGGTTGTGCTGCTGCCGCCAAAGGGTGTGTCAGGGCAATTTATTAGCTTGCTATGCATGCATGTGTGCGAGTGTGTGCAGGCGTGTGCGCTCTCAGCCCTTGGCAGCATAGCAAACTCAATGGCTGAAGCACAGCTGTACCACTATTCTAATATGGAGTCATTATAGCTATTCACGGGGTGCCTCCAGTTAATTCACAAATTTGACCATAACAGCCAACTTTTCGGGATGAGTATCTTGTGGTCAATACTATTTTTCTGATACAGTGACCTGAAGCAATTGTGTAATTTTAGTACTTTGCCTGGTTCAAGTGTACCACTTAGACTTTGCATTGCATGCAGTAGCTAACAGGTGTTCAACATAAAAACATAGATTGGTCCCTGTGGGAGGGAGACTTTGAGCACATGCTGAAGTGCTGTGGTGCTGCCAGTGATGTAGTTTCTCTGTGTTTGTGTATGTATGCGACTACTTGGGTATGTGTAATTACATGTTAATGACCCCTCCCTCGTATTCAGCTGTGTGAGAGCACAGTCGCAGTAATCTAATCGATGCTTAAACAGGAGAAACTTAGTAATAAGGTTTATTTAAGACACCTGCTTTGCTCCAAACCCCCCTTTAGCTTTCTTCAGAGGCAAAAACAGATGCTGGGGGACACTTAGCCTGCAAAATGCCAACTGCAAGAGATGTTCATTTAGGTTGCAGAGCACAAAAACAAACCAAAACCACAAAAGTACAAACAACATCGCTATCAGAGTCTGTGAGCACCTGCAGGTCTTGCTCATGCTGGAACATTTTAATTGACCAAGGAAAAAAAAGGAAAAAAAAAAAAAAAAGCTGCGGAGACAGTGTAGAGCTTGTACAGGCACCCCCACCTTGTCTGAACCAACGGTTGCTTCCAAAGCCCCATCAGCAATCCTTTGCTGTAATGAGGGAGTTTTGGGGTAAAATTGGGAGATGGTGTCAGTTTATCGTCTCCGAGTCGAGGGTCCTGCTGTCCAAAATGTGGAATAGTGGGAGAGAGGTGCTGTCAAAACATGATAGGCACAGACATCAGCACAAAGTTAGAGAGAGAGGGGATCCAAGTCACTATGGAAAGACACACAGTTTCTTTAAACACCCCACAAATGAAGTCTCTGTAGACTATTATGAGGCATAAAGCGACACTTTTGACACACTTCCGAATCAGTAGCTTTAGCAACACAAGCAATTTTGATTGCTTAGGCTACACCGACGGAAGAACCAAAGCCCCTTGTTTGTCATTTACTTTGAAAGTAATCATGGCTAACCCAGGCACAGCGGAGGTAATAAATATTTATACCCCTTTTTTTTTTTTTTTGGAAATGTAAACCATATAAATTTTTACCCACCTTTACTTTTAGAGCAACTTGCCCTTGTTGATAACAGTATCATTTAAATGTATTTTCTCTCCATTTTCGTTGTTTTCCCTCTCCCATTATCTCTCTCCCATTCCTCCCCCCTAACACAATGTTAACAAGCTCCTTTCTGCCCTATCTGGTACGGGTGAGACAGCTCCACAAAATGACAAGGTGAGAGGGTGCTGTGTGTGTTTTTCTGTAATCTATATCTATCCTCCAGCATCTATGCGTGGATGTGTTTCTTGCACTGTGGGTCGTATGTGACCACCGGCCTGCTGTCAGGGCTCATGTTGCCCCCAACGGTAACAATAATCATGGGATTTGATTGCCAGCTCCCTCAGCCTGTGTAATTGATGAGTCCAATATTTACTCTGTTACCTGTGTGTTGTAAACATTCATTACAGGGTTCCTTCCCAGATAGGTGTGCAGCACAGGAGAATGGGACGTATCCAGCCTGCAGGGACCAGCTGTCAGTTTGACTAATGACAGAAATGAATAAAACCTCATAATTACTTTAGAAAAAACGACAGTCTCCACCTTATCTCAGGCCAATATGCATTTTAAAAATTTTTGGCGGGTTTATTAAATTCTGCCCCCACCTCCACCTCCACCCCCATATCCCCCCATTCCCACCCCCTCCACGGTAATACATTACAGACAGAGGCAAGTTCTCAAATTTCAAATTTAATTTTCTACTCGCCATACACACAAGCTCCATAATCAGATTGGGACATTATTGTGTTTCTATTGACATTAGCATTGTTATTATTTTGTACTGTGTAAATATCAGTAACCAGAGCACGCCTGGTTGCTTTGCCAGGAAGGGATTATTTTGTATATTTATTTTGTTCTAACGCTCCCCAAAAAAATATCCTTTCAAGATTACATCTGATGCATTACATTATCAAGAGATACTGTCTCTGTATGCTATGATGTGGTATCATTTTGATGTAGAGCTGCACAAATTAAATTGGATACCTGACGTTTTCATGTCTGCTTTATTGTGACACCCTATACAGGTGACTCTGCAACCGGGGACCTACAGAGCCACAAAATGAGGTAGCAGTGAGACACATCGCATTTGCTATTATACAGAAGGCCACCGCAGGTCAGTCCATGCTTTTAGAGCGCCTTCTTGTGTGCGTTTTTGCGGGTGTGTGTGTGCATAATTGGATAAGTCTCCAATAATGCGTATGTGTTTTTAAGTTGGTGCACTGTGAACTGCATGCACTAAGTCTCAGGAACAGGCAGCGGTGCAGTGAAGTGCAAAGCTCTCAGCCAAATCAGGTATTCAAGATAGAGGGATGGAGAGATAGATTAATGGCAGCAGGGGTGGAGGGTGAGTAGAGGGAAGGGGTGGGGGGGGGACTGATATGAGGAGAGACAGTGCAGTGATATACAGTAGGCCCTACTTAGACAAGTCGACTCCTCTATGCCATTAGGGCCTAACAGGGGGCAGACTGTGGGGGAGCCATGGTGGGAGTAAAAAAGAGAGAGCTGCTTTCAAATAAACAGGAACATCGGCCTCAGAGTGTGCATGTGCATGTTTTTACACGACCCTTGCTCACTCGCACCATCCCTATTTCTGTGCTGCTTTTCCAAACACACATGATACACTGAATATCATACGAAACTCGACTCAACTTGATTCCATTTGAGTAGCTATTCTCTAATGTCTTTTTTGCCGGGTGGAATCCCACATAGAAGCGTGTAATACGCCATATTTGTGTCCTATGGAGGCAGACAGCTGATCGTGTCCATTCGTCATGCTGTCAAGTTAATTACTAGATTGAAAAGGAGAATGAGATTACCCCCTCCCCTTTCCAACGGACACTCACACCTCCACACTGCCAACACACACACAGATACACACACACTCACACTGAAGTGTCAGAAGGAAATTTTCACTGTGCCATAATCATAACTTACCAGAGAAGAGTGAGCTGCAGAGGAGGTAAGGGGAAGAAATTGCACAAGGTCAGGCTGCTTATTTTCTTCAACTGTATTTGTGTGTGAGTGTGAGTGTGAGTGTGTGTGGGTGTGTGTGTGTGTTGAAATAAGTGATGCAGCAGGTTACATTTACATATTTTACCTCATAAGAGCACTTCTTTTGGTTCCTTTGAAGGTATTTTAAAGACTGTTCTTTAGTTTCATTCCTGCTCTCCTGCCCACTGAGAAAGCAGCTCTTTGTCACAGGTGAAAAGTTACTCTTCTGCTCTTGAACTGTGTGCTCTGTGAAGAAGTTTGCGTCTGTACTTGTGCTATCAAAGGGGACACTTTGAAAAAGCAGACAGATCATTAGTGCATAATGAGCTGAAGGACTTTGGGCAGTGAGTAGGATATCCTCAATAAGCGATAGCTTAAGAAGATAATAGAAGCGGCTGAAAATCAGATTGTCTCAGCTGCAGACAACCTTTTTTCTCCCCAGGTGAGTCCTCTTTCTCTGTGTATGTTTGAAGTAAAGCACAGCTCAAACAAACTGGCTAAAAGATTTTATAACGCCCTGTGGCACCCTGACAGTTACATCTCTGAGTCTTGATAGTTTTCATATTCTGCAGATTTCCTCCATTATGAGGATGCATGCTGGAGATCAGAGCTATATGTTCACCAGGCTGCAGACATGTGAGAACAGCTCCTACAAAGCGTCTCAGCCCTGACAATAATTCCAAGATGAAAAGCCCCATTTTTTTTTTTTGTCAGCCACTGACAAACACAAGTATCATAGGAAAGAGAGAGAGAGACTTTGATGTGCTTTAGTGGTACTGAATGAATTACAACAGAGGACAGAAGCAGGCTTGTTGCAAACTTGGAAGACAACCCAAGACCCTTGGGAGCCAAGACAAAGAGTACGGTGTTATCAAACAAGCGATAAAAGGGAGGTGATTCACTCTTGTGCATGTGTGGAACGTACTTATTCATTACAACCTTGATTATACGCCAACTTTCCTCCCTTTCTGTCTCATCCTGACAGCGAGCAGTTTTATCTGAGCGCCTGGTGTAATTTGTTTACCTGTTCTGAGCAGAGTCTCAAATGCAACTATTTTTTCAATATCCTCTGTGATCATGTAACTATACAGCTCTATTAATAACTCTGCCCCGGCAGGGTGTTAAAAAAGTCATGGACTGCTTAGTTGAGACGTGATGAGGCTCTGTGACGGCACCCAGCTGGCTAAAGTTCTGCAAGGGTGGCCTCAGTGACATCACAGCAAGTGGCGCATGACAAACTGCCAGCACGCCAGTCGCGACCCACAAAATAATCTCCGACAGACGAGGACAAGGGCCATCTTGGCTCGCACTCCCACCCGATGCCCTTTTTACCCCATCCTCTGCCATCACAAGAGGCAGGCTGGGCTTTCAGAAAGGTGTCAAATGCACAGCATGTATCGCCAAAATGGAAAGTTGCTTCCTGTCAGGTAATGACAAGTAAGTGGCAGGGCAGGAAAAAAATTACACACATCAACCCGGATATTTTCTCACCACTACTTTCTCGTGCTGTCAATTAGTCTCAATCAATCCTGTCGTTTCTGTTTAGAGTTGTTATAAAAACTCCAGTCTGTCTTCCTATCCATCAATGCATAATAAATACGCTCCTCAATATATGTTATCTCAACACTTCTGTCAATTGCTGGCAGCAGCCCTCCTAATTGTGCTGCCACACTGGACAAAATGAGCACTGCTTCATTTGAACACAACTGGGGGGAATATGAAACAAGTATAATCCTGGGCTTGTTTTGGTTTGGCAGGAAGTGTTGCTCCCTCTTGCCTCTCCAAAACTCAACCCTTTCAGTGTCTTCTGATTGAAGATATGAGACAGAACTGGAAAAAAAAGTGACAGTGAAAGTCATCTCCTCAAATGAGGGGACGTGATTGGCTTCTAACGACTCTCCTCTCGGCTGTGTTTGACTAAAGTGCGAGGTGCAGCGGCTCTTATCAGAAAAGTAAGTCAGCCACGATGTATTATTAACAGGTGAAGGCGGGCAGGGTTTGCTTGGCTAAAAAGGACTTAAGTGATGTGGGAGCGACACTGTCAATCTCAGCCTTCCTCTGAGAGTCAATTAGGTGATAAACAGGACTACATGTCTTTGGCAGAAGGGAGACGGCTGATAGGCTGTCCCATGGATGTCCTGGGGCAAGGTAAACTGACAGTGCAGCTTTGCCGTCAGGGATGGATGCCGAGAGTACACTGCGCAGCTGGTCCTGCCACATAAGAGAGGAACTATGTGTGTTTTTTAAATGTTCGCAAGCATGAGTGCGTGCGTGAGCGCTGCATTATGAGCTGGCTTTCTGGCGTTTCTCAGCTGAGCGAGCTTGAAGACACTGAATGTGGTAATGATGCTCTTCAGAGAAGTAACAGTCTGGACAGTAACAGTGTTGAAGGCCGTAATGGAGATGATGATAGTGATGGTGATAACTAGAATGGTCCTAGCTGTGAATATAATTAGTGAGTGCTTTATTTAAACACAGTTGTTCATACCACCATAAATGTAATTGGATGTGTGCTGCTAATAGTGTGCTGACATACAGTGGGCAGACTTGAGTTTGTGATGTTATGTTCATTCTACTGTTCTGTGAATGTTTATGAACCGTAGCAGATATTGCTGTGCTTTCTTTAACATCAATAAAAAAAAGAAGAGGGTAAAAATGAGGATAAATAAATATAATTACTTCCAGGATACAACATTTCAAGAGGGAGCGAGAAAGAAAAAAAACCTTTATTGTTTATATTAAGTTTGCATTGCTGTGTTACAAAGTAGGCCCGTGGAAAGCTTGATTACACACTAATTAAGTATTTAGAATCTCAGGTCATCCATAACAACCCGTTTCATAAGAATAGATTAAATGTACAGAGTTAGTGCGCTGCACATTATCTGTATTGCATTAGGAGTTTTTCTAGTTTATAACATTGTTTTTCACCAATGTTTATGAAGCCAGCGTAGTAAAAACACAATGTTGCTCAGCAGAGGGAATTATTAAGTGCTTATTTTTAATGTGGATATTCAGGTCATACACCAACAGCAGCTTTTTTACATATTTAATTAAGTGTGTCTATATAATTAGATAATATCCTGATATTGTTCCCCATATTTTTTTTTACTCATGTTCAATACCGAGCTGTAACCAAAAAGGCTCAACAGATGAATTTTAATGAGTGGTTAGCCATTATTACCCTCATTATTTTCCAATTAGTAAACTGTACTGTGCATCAGCTCAACACAGGAACATCCACGACTGTACCGTAACATAAATACATCCCAAGGCTTATCTGTGAACAACAAAAAAGCAATATCAGGCTATAAAAGAGCCTGTGAAGGACACATGACTGCAAGTGTGTTGCGAGACAAACAGTGTAGGAGAATTGAGATACAATGCATTGCAGAGAGTAGTAGCGTTGGTTTTTGACACTAAAAGCAATCAGAGGCTGCAAATATGACAAGAAATTAACTCCGTTAATACTGAAGAGTGATGAATGGTGCAAATGTCATTTATAAAAATTAAAAAAAATTACCCTGCATGCTTTTATTCTTAAAATGATCTCTGCATAAACTGTAATGCAACTCCCCAAGTCTATCAGATAGACATCTTCAGGTACTGGGTTGTGTATTTCTATTTATTCAGTTCAAGGGAGAAATCAGCAACTTCTTTATCCTCAAGAAGGAGGTTGTACATTATGATGAGTAGATGTGCTGTTTCCTATGTACAGTAGGAGCGCCACCCATCCTCGCCTTATGCTACTGCAACCCCCCATTCCAATAAACACGCCTTCCATGGCAGCCATTTTCAGTTGAACCACATCTGCGTGGCGTTTGACCTATTTTCTGCAAGCTTGCCTTGAACGTGCAAAAGGAAAAAAACTACAAACGGTGTCACTGTATTTCAGCCAACTCAGTTATTTTGGGGGCGAAAAGAGCCGTCTTCGGGTGCATATCTAGCGTGAAATGCAAGTGGCGGAGGAGTGACATTGTCAGCTCGTTTTCTCCACCTTGTCTGTTGGTCGCCCAGCATAAGAGCTGGTTGGCTAGACAGGCGGGGGCTGTGGGGTCATTGTGTGTGTATGGAGAGATGCGCTGGGTGAATAACCTTCCCCGGTAACAGCTGTCAAATCCAGCAGAGCAGAGCAGAGGACAGAGAAGCAGGCCTGACTAGACCGAGCTCAGACACAGGACTGATAGCCAAGGATGGCATAGGGGGTGGGCGTGGGCTGGACTGTCTGCCAGCATCAAGTGTTGGGCTCAAGAGCTTTTGATGGGTGGCCACACCGAGTCTCTTTACGGGGGTCTCGGCACCCAGGCAGCTTATTGTTAAACACACTGCTCATCTCTTTTATTCCCCCCAATGCAGATTCCATGCACAGCAGTGCAGAGCACACAGGCCCAACAGTTTCCCGGGACGCCGCCTTTGTCGAAGTGTCAGTCGCCAACGCAGCATCTCAGCATGGTTCACCGCTGGGCATGACAGGGGATGCAGACCACATGAAGAGGGATTAGCACCGCACCTATTGTCTGGAGGCACAGTGCTGTTGGATTTGGCTGCATGGCTATTCAATGACTGTATTTCTATTCTCTGGCACTTGACAGGGACGCTCAGTGGCCCCACTTTTGTTCCGCTGCAGTATCAGAATGTGTTCATGTCATGCCCCCAGCCGGGCCCCTTATTATCCCAGTTGACACGACGAGGAAAGGTGCGATGGTAGATTCTGTTAGTGCTGTCTGCTGCCTGACCTGCAGGTTAGGTTGTTTTTTAACGGGTTAGGAAGAAGCTTGCTCCTCATGTATAATTTACTGTTGATTCTGTTAACGCTGAAAGGAGAACATGTTGACCGAGACTTAACCTATGAGGGTTTGGTCAGATTTGATGTTATGAATACAGAATTAAGGGATCTTCGGGGGTTTGTTGGGTTTTTTTTTCCTTCATTCATTCTCTTTTATCATTCAAACCATATCTTGTCCATTTTGTTCAACTTTGACCTCTTAAAATCAATCCGAAAATCTTAAACCGACACGTCTCTGCTGTTGGTTGGATTTTATATAAAGGTGAGTTTAGTTTATATTTTATAATAGAACGTGGAAGCCTCATTTTAGACGTACATTCATATTGTCTTTATTATCATTATTATTATTTTAATTTTTAAATATTTGGTCAAGATATCATTTTTAATTTTTGATAAATTTCTTTTGGATCAATAAAACAATAACTATAATTTTTATTCCATCTGGCTGGGAATAATTTGGTTATAGATCTTAAGTGAAGCTCACTCTGTTCAGTTTTCAGAGGCCAAAAATCCTCTGCCATGCTGCACGGCATTTTTTCAGCGTGCAGTTTGGGTGGTAAAGCACTGTGGAAAATAGTGATGGATGGCTCCATGGGCTCTTATACAATAGAAAGGTAGTGAAAGTTTTTTTCTTTTTTTTTTTTTCTTTTTTTTTTTAGATCAAGGCAGCAGCTCCAGAAGATTCAGATTTACAATGAATGTGTTTTTCCTCGCTGTGTGCACTGAGAAAGCATTTTTATGCTTTCTTTCACCTCAGAGTTTTTTTTTTTTCCTTTTTGCGCTGTCATACTAAATCTTGGGACTTACTTCTTTCGGCTTGATCTTTTCATCTTCAAAGATTATACAAGTAGAGGTTGTCATAAATTTCCCTCAGCTCTTATCTCAATATTTCAGAAAAAAACAATGAGCTGTTTAGAAAATCCCTCCTACAAAGTCACAGAAAAACACTTCCACATGCAAACAAATTATGTGATCACTCAGCAGTGGTGCCAGCATTACTAAAGCATGCTGCAATGTTGATGAAACAGTAAACAAACATCTACTGTGACTTCATTTGGACTTAAGGCTGAATTGCAGACATATGCTTCTCTGTCCTGGTCTGAATTTGAGTTTCCCTCTCAGCGCTGTTTACTGAAAGATTTTCCTCCTACCTCTGCAGGAGATGTTGAAATAAAGAGATGAGAAAATCCCACAAAGCTTACCTTATTGGTCCTTTGCCAAAGAGCAATCCCCAGACAAAGGAAGCCCCATACCTCAGAGGTACCACCAGCACTGAAATTGATATTACTATTACCTGCTATTACAAACACAGTTGTCTTACAACTGTTTCTCATTTTTTGAGGATTAAGACAAAGTACTTATACAAGAGCATTGAACGCAATCTTTATTTTCATTTTTCCTGCCTCGTGGTAAAGTCGTTGATGTCACTGGAAGGTGAGCAACTGGGCCATGGATAGTTTAGAGGTTGTGGACGTTTCACTGTCTTGCTCAGACAGCCATTATGAGGAGGTTCTGCTTCCCCCATCAGCTGGGAGTAATGGCCACCATAAAGGCCTTGATTGCAGCTGCTGCAGAGCACTACTCCACATAGCAGAGCCACTTTTGGACTTCTTCAATCATCTGTCTAGCTCATGTACAACCTTCCATCTCAGACCACTTTTTATGTGCATTACATTGGTACCTGCTACTACTCAAACAAAATAAAACTATAATATAAAGTTCTGGAAATGAAAAAAGAAATGTTCTCACATGACGCAAAAAAAGTAACTTGAAAAAGTAAAATTTTTATGCTACTATTTGGCAAACAAACGAAGTGCAGAGTAAAAAAAACAGAAATTCTCCTTCCAAATCATGCAAAGTGAGGCTTAAATAAACAGGCTTAAATATGTGCACTGTGAATGTGACCTAGGCCGAATGTCTTTTTAAAGCCCTTGGCCTTGGACAGCAGGCATGATCCTCCCACTGAAACTGTGTCACTCCATCACAGCTTGTGCTTTCAAAGAGATTTTCAGGGTAACAAATGAGAGTTTTATGATTGACTTTGAGATATTTTTTAGCTTTCTGCTTATTGTTTATGGTTTTATACAAATGACAATATCTTTCTGCAGAACCTTACTCACACACATGTCGCTGGATAATGTTACTTCATCAAAAGACTGATAAAATGTGAAAAAAAGCATAGTATATCTTCAACATAAATATTTATATATAAAGTTAGGCTTAAAAAAAATCCAGCTTACTCTGCGTCTCTAACAGGGTAATATAAGTGTGATGAAGGGGGGCAAGGCGGGGGAAATTTTTTAGCACCATTTGAGGAGCAGCAACAGAGTGTGTGTGTTGACCAGTCATGGCAGAAATCTGGAGGAGGTGTTCCACATTGTGTCAGTTGCTTCCAATTCACTGGATCACCACATTCATGTACAATCAGCCCCGTAATTAAGGGAAACCAACCCAGAAATTATCAATCAGTTAATTACGGGGATGCTGCAAAACAAACCCAGCTCCTGATTGAAACCCACTGGCTGCCCTTACAAGACGCTTCCCTCATCCAAATGCAACCAGGAACTGACCAACAAAAACACTCATGCTCATGTGCTATGCAGTGTTGCAAAACTGTGTGCAGCAGTGGTTTTATAACTTTTTTAGCTTCATGTTCTCTATTTTTACAGTATCTGTAAAATACAACATAATTTAAAGCAGCTCAGATTTCCTTCTCCATATTTCCCTTTCAAACTCCTAAATTATTTTTAGGTTAATTCACCTTTAATTTACAGTGCTGTGCTTGCGGTCTGGCGGCTCTCCAGGTTTAAAGCACTTTTAAGCTGCCATGCAGCCAGTTGCACAATAAATATTTCACATAACATGTAACAGCAACATGTAACCAGCTATTAACTCCCCAATGACTGGGAAACAGAGAGGTAATTCAATTGTGGAACGCCGTGTTTAGTGGTTTCCTTGTGCTTGAAAATTGTACGGAAGGAAAATGCTTGTGCTGTAGAAAAGCACCGTAAAATCTGTACGCTTGGTTGGCAGACATTGGTATTTCATTTCACTCAAGTGGTCGGTGGAGGAAGAGACGGCACAAAAAGAAAACGCACTGGTTACATAAATTGACAGATACAAATTGCAAAGAGCTATGAACTTCTGACACAAAAAAATCATTCTTTTATTCTATTTATGCATTAAAAACTACACATGTACATTAAATTTAGATGCAGTGCAGCGAGTATTATCCCCGAGCATTCGACACAAAGCTTTGTAAACTTTCTCCCTGCTGAAAACTCTGCACACCACACACGCACACGTTTAATGTGATTCACTCAACTTCTTTGTTCCCACATAAGACCAAGAAGGACCTATAAATTGCCCGACTCAGGACCTCTATTTCCCATCAATAAATTCCCTCTGCCTCCTCTAGGCATCAAAGCATCAAAATGCATAACAATCCCTTGATAGTGTCAGTAACCTACAGCTCATCTTTAAAGTAAACACTGGTCAGATGGAATTAAAGGGGAGGTTCTGTGTTTTTCTTGGCAGGAAATAAGACACAGAAACAAAAACGCAGCGATCATGCATCTGCTGTACTGTACATGAAGTCATTAAGAGAGGGGCTTGAGTAGTGTTGCGCCACAATCCAAGTCTATCTGGCCTTCACATGAATAGTATAACAGCATTTTTACTAAGTACTAACAGGAGAAGTTTTCCTCACATTGGCTCTTGTTTGCTTTGATTACGTCTTTTTTTCCCCCTGTTTTTTGTTCAGTTTCTCTTCCATCATGTCTTGTAATTGGTTTCCTCGTGGCGTCTCTGCACATGATGCAAATTGCACAGCGCCACAGATCTGAGCATGTTCTGACTTGTTTGAAGTGACCCCGTAGCCAGTGACTCCAAGATGTTTTTTTTTTTGTTTTTTTATTCTGAGAGCTGCATCCAAAACAGGGATGCTGAACGAACAAGGTCCTCTGCTGGTGGCATGCGAGGGGGAAGATTGGAAAGAGACTTGAGAGGCCAAATCACCGAATCTGGGCCCAGGGTTTTTTGGCAGGCAGCAGAGTGTGAAATTTACAGAATTTCTTATGTTGCTCGTGCAGCTGCCTCTGAGCCTGTATCACAGTATTGTCAGACAGTAGCTCTGAGAGGAGACCAGAGGGCTGGATGGAAGGAGTGCAAGAATCCAGACTTGATGTTTGGCCAGCTTTTGTACAAATACTACAGTGCAGATGAAATAGCAGAATTGGTGTATGATATTCATTTTTCCCTGAATGATAGTGCTTCAGTGGCAACATTTGGCCGCTTAAATTGTTCTTCCTCTTTTTAGCCTTTTACTTACTTCTGAAATCCCCCCGGTGTATCTAGTCAACAAAGCAGCAGTTCAAAACATCCTCAAAAGCTGTGATGTCTGAAATATTTGGTGGAACATGAATCAAAGAGAGTCACAACAGGAAAATAAAGAAAATTCCTCACTTTTCTCCCCTTTTGCTCCTCTTTAGCCTGTTTTCATTTTCTTTCTTCTTGCCATAACCAAGAGCCTCTTGAATGTGCATAGCAAAGAGGTGGAAGTACTGCAGCATGCCTAATTTGCAGGAGGCCCCATGTTTTCGTTACAAATTGCAGTCACATATCATTTAGTTTCCCTGTATTACTGCAAAGAAAGACAATCAGAAAACCTCAAAGAGGGCCACCGTACACTGATCTCATCCCTGGCTCCGGCCTCGCTCCCAGTTCGTCTCACTAACTGTCTCTCTGCCTCAGCCAGCATGTCTGGAACAGATGCCTTCTTATTTTGACGGCCTGCTGCTTGCCTCAGTCAGTTGGGCAGCAGGTCACAAATGCTCACATACCCATGAGGACACATAGACACACACACGCACCCGCACAAACCCCTACACAGCGATGGCTGTGAAGCATGTGTGTTTAACTTACTGGTTGTTTAAGTAAGCTGAGAAGAATCCCCTCAGGTGATTAGTTCATTTGCAAGTCCCCGGCTGTGGAGGCGAGTACAGGCCCACTGCCCTGCTCTCTACTTCTCTCTGTTTAGCCCTCACACTCTCTCTGTCTTATGCCTTCACAACCAGCCTGAGCTGCCCTATCCTTTCTGCTTTATTCCCCCCTCTGTTCTGCTGTTTGTTTGTATTTCTGTGGACTCTTACAGAGGAGAGAGAGAGAGAGAGAGAAAAGAGGAAAAAAGCTAAGGGAGAGAAATGTTAAGCCAGCTAGAGTAATAGTGCCGGCCTTTGTCCTGCACTCATTATTTTCGCTTTGATTACAATCTGGCTCAGCTCGAGTTACCCTAATTCGTCCGACTGAGGCTTTGGCTGAAATTGTGCTGTGCTGAGTGATGGTTGAATTGAAGCATCTGGGGAGTTCAGCACAGGATTGGGTGTGTAAAGGGGGAAAAAATCATAATAAAAAGATAAATGCAAAACAAAGGCAAAATCTGTGGTAATAATGTGACAAATGTGCAGCATCATAATAAAGCCAATCTCCGAGTAAATTTTAGACTCATCCAGCATGGAGGAGATGTAAACGATGAGACCAAGCGTGTAATTCCTCCAGGGACAGTTTCATGCCAACGGGATGTCTTGTTTATGCCAGAACGAGAATGTTGAGAAATGGTCTTGTTTTTTTTTTCTTGTCTTTTTTTTTTTTTTCATGTGCAGCGCTGAGTGGATGGGATAGCAAGCAAGCATGCTGGGATTCTCTGGCCAGTGACGGTAGTACCATGGGAGGGGAATGAGAGCGGAGGAAGGCGCCTCAGGGCCAACCACTACTAGACACTGAGCACTACAGAGACCTGGTCCCCATGTAGCGCTAATCACAACCCCCTGCTCTTTCCATCTGTTCTCCATCAGCGGGCCTTACAGTACCACTCCACCGCTTTACCTCCATCCAGTCTCCATCCTCAAACCTTCTGGCTATTGCTCTCGTAGTCTCTTAACCTCCTTTAGCTAGAGTCTTTGTTAAGTTTTCATTTTTCCGTTGCTTCCCTGAACTTCTGAGGATGATGGATTTGTCACAACAAGTCGAGGGGCAGAGGCTTTTAACCTCTACGCCCAGATTATTAGCCTTTGTTTCTGAATATTTTGCTCCTACAGCCAAACCAAAGCAAACGTAGAAAACTTGACATGTTAATCCTGATTACTTTCTTCATGCACTCTATCATTGCCACACTTCTATTTCCCCTCCCACACAATATTTCCCAATTAAGGTCCCCTTTGCCTTCTGGTCACAGCACGTAATCTGGTAGAAATGGCTCAAAGTGTCGTCAGACAGATGTGACTATTCCAACTACGACGCCTTTGTCACTTCAATTACTAGCCCTGCTCACAGTTGTACTATAGCTGTGCTGGTTTCTGCTGCCCCTAATGATCAGATTAGAGTTACTAATTAAAAAAAAAAAGAAAGAAAAAAACAATATTACGAGCTGCCCTAACGCTTCTCTGGGTGGTGATGAGTGAGGGCAAAGTTATTATTCTTTTGAACTCCTGCCGTGTGGGGGAAAGACGGCAGACATTCAAAGCAGCATGACGTTTGGTGTTTGTTATTTCTTTTTTACTTTTTTTAATTCCTGGGCTGGAGATTTATAGCTTGATAAGTGCTTCCAACTTTCTATTTTTTTCGAATGGGGATAATTTAAATGCACCTCACAGGCTGAGAGCCTCTCTCTCTCTCTCTCTTTCTCTCTCTCTCTCTTCCTTCTATTCCCCTGTTTCTCTCTGTCTGACTTCGTTGCTGTGGTCTTTTCTATTCTCATATATTTCCTTTTATTGTATTTGTTTTAAATCTGCTCTTTCTCCTGTAGCACAGATCATCAGTCTTTTATACTATTTGGGTTTGTGTTTCCCTTATATCTTGATGCAAATCAACCTGTAATCTTGAAGAAAGATGTGATACGACCGCTGCGTTTCTTTCTCTAATTGATTTAAGCTGTTTAAGTCATCTCCATGAGCTCATGTTTTTCGCTCCTGAATCAAAAATGTCTTACACAGCATTATAGCATCAGTGCACAAGTGTTGTGTGTAGAGAGGACTGTAAATAAAACATGCTTGAGGCCGAGAAAATGACCCACATACACAGACATGCTTCCTGCTGTGCATTTTATCCATTTCACCCACTTGCCTTCGATTTGAACAGCTCAGCCAGAACTTTTGGCCTTTCCTTTCTTTTACTAAGAACAGGCAAAAACAAAATGAATCTTTTCCTTGTATTTGGGTCAAATATATACAACAGAATATTGTTTGTTGAAGATTTTATAAACTCGCCCCTGACAGTCAGGAGCTTCTTGTGGTTGTGCCCACCAAACTCTTCCTCATTCAGCCATTACATCATTTGTTTCTATACTCTGTCAAGCATGACTGCTCGACAGCTCATCCGTATAATTAAAAAAACCTTTAAGCAATTTGCTGGCGAGTGTCTAATATTTTTAGCCCTGTCATTATTCCCAATGCATAGATTGGCATGTCATGGAGGGAACGCAGTCCTGACAGCATCTCACTCCCCGTTGTTCATTTGGGGAAAATTTGGGTATAGGTAGCCAGGTTGGTGATGGAGCTTTTGCCCAATTTATTCCTTCAAGTGTCAGTTATACAGACAAATATGTGTAGCATCAGTGTGGGGCGAGATTTTGAGCCGTTACAGCCTGTCAACATAGTGAGAGCGCGGTCATTAATCACCATACATTTGATCAGAATGCAGCAAACCTCTACTGTTTCCTGTGATGGAAGGACAATGGAAGGCTGTGTTAGATCTTGTTCCACTAATTAGGTTAGTCCAGCTAATGGCCATTTAGATGGAGGATAACAGGGAGGCATTTTACTCCACAAATGTGGGGATGGAAGCTGAAGCTCTCGTGTATTAAAATATACTCAAGATAAAGAAGAAAGCTTACAGTTTTAGGTGACGCTTGCTTTGAACTTCTTAAAAGGTTAAAAGGTACCGGTAAAATATTTTTCTCTGCAACTGTGCACTCAACCGGGACAAAAAAAGAAACACTCAGCAGGTGTTTTCTTCTCTTTATTGTCAAAGTCCACATGTGATAAGCCTGAATTTGAATGTTGAGTTGAATGTGGAGTGGAAACAGCGAATGTGCTACAAGTGGTCCATAATTTAAGTAAAAAAGCTTTTCTGCCTTGCTGTACACCTCATAGTTTCAGCACATAGAGCTCTTTTCAGAGAAATGTTACCTACATTCCTTTGAAAGGAACAACAGCCCACTGTACAGGGCGTGGGAATAGAGAAGGGAATTAAAATTACAATACCTGCATGCCCAGCTGCCCAACTCAAATTGCTCGGCTGTTATATGCTTCTCTATGCAATATCCTGCCATTGAGCTCTGTGCAAGGCGCGCTAATAATGAAGCTGTCTCCTGCGTAAGGATTTCCGTGGTCATGAAAATTGGAATAGAGGGAATATATTTGTGACTGTACCGGCCCAAATGGGCTAAGGGGCTTGCTATTCCCCCATCCAAAGGCACTGTTTTTGTGTCGCATCCACTGAAAATGGCTTCCCAGTTGCCTTGGCTTGATATTACCAAAAGCACTGGAAAAGTAGAATTACTCAAGTGATATTGCAGAAAATCTTCAAGGAAAATAAAATTTAAAAACAAAGATGGTCCTTTGGAGTAACTCTGGGTGCAGTTCCTGTTTGGCTGCCATTACAGACCTTTTATGTCCTTCTAAATGTGAATAAAATGTCTTTTGTCCTTACCATGAGTGAGCAGCCACTGACATGAGGAATAGGCCCACTGCTTTATACAGTCTTACATGACAGGCTTTGTGACTTAGTCAAAATGGATTGCTACTTCAGCTCTGTCTGTGTTTGCGGGGCTCTCACAGGAAGAAAATGATTGACCCTGAAACATATTCAGTATTTTCATTTAGTTGAAGCCCTGGCAGTAGCATTGTGTTTTAGTGGGCGGCAGAGACTCTTTGGTAGCATTTGGCATCTTCACTGCGAGATATGTTTTGGAAAAGTGAATTAAAGAAGAGAATTAAAGCTCCCTAATTAAAGCCGATAGTTGTATTTCATGGCATCCTATGGTGTGTTTAATAACTTCTGTTCATCTGTATTTCCCAGGTATAACATTTAAGCGGTGAAGATTTCCCTGCGATCTTCCACAGACTGAATTTAGGGGAATCATAGTGGTTAAAAATTATAAATATTACGGATTCTGTGGAGGTGAATAGAAAAAATTATGATGGGAGGAAAACTGTCAGAGTTGGATTTTTATATTCATACTCATTCACAGTGTACGCATGAATGTTTCCCAATATATAATCATATAGAAATGTTTAGTTTTCTGAAATGACAAGAATTTTCCCCCAACTTTCACGACGTAGAGAAGGTCTGGGTTTGATTTGCTGTGGTTTTTAGATATTTGCTGCTTGGGATTCTGCCGTCACACTATTGAAATGCTATTATATTTGAAAGCCTCATCAGCAATATGTCTGTCTGGAAACAATAGCCTGGTTACTTCATGCAATCCACAGACCCTGCTGGCCCCAGTTTTCATTAGGGACTGTTTTCTAGTGGCTCTCTCAGCGCATGACATCTGAAAAATTGTTGGCAAATGAAACTGAAAATATCTGCAAGTCTGGATGACTCTTGGGAAAGTGGAGCAATATGTTGTTTTCTTATTTGTTTTTTGGTAGTTGTTTTTGTTGGGAAGCAAATCTCATAAAATATAAAAGCGTCTATAAAAAGAAGTCTAAGAATTTGGGAGGTTTCATATCAGATGAGTTCTGAACACTCAAAAAAAGTAAACTACACACAATTACACCAGTATGTTTGGATATGTCTTTAGGTGTCTGGGGTCCTCAAACCCCAGATCCCCCTTTTTTTAGAGGTGACCTGTGCACCATGAGTGTCCTGTGGGCCTCAGTCACTCCCACACAGACACACACACAGCCTGATGTGCAGCTCCAAAACACTCTGTATATTGCTGTATCCACTGCCTATAAGCATGTACACAAACACACATATTCTCACAGCGTGGGCACATCTGGTTTCCAGGACGGCTCTCATGAATGCAGACCTTTCAGCTGCCAGAACAGGGAGGCTAGTGGTGTTAATGACTGGGGCATACGAGGCTCCCAGGATGAAAACGGTGAGAGGATGCAAAACAGAGGCAGCCATCACATCTAAGAGGTAACACAATCCATCCAACAGGAGCAACCTGTGTGTGTGTGTGTGTTCATGTGAATAAATGGCCGAAAGGGTTTCGGCCAGCTAAAGGTCCTTGGGGTCAGAGGAGGCTGCCCCAGCACCCCGGCACGTATGTGCCAGGTCTGGCTTCCTCCCAAAAATGCAGAGAGGTCAGAGCAATTTCCCAGAGTCAGGAGTAGGTCAGGGTCCCACTTCCCTTACGTATCAGTCAGCGAAGGATGAGGAGGCGAGAGCAAGGCCTGGTCTTTGTAGAATTACCTCCCCTAATCCCGTAAGGGCTGCAGGGAAAGTATGCTGTTGTTTTGTAGGGCATGAGGTTACGTGAGGGGAAATGTGGAAACCACAGACAATGAATTCTTTCAAGTCTGCAACTTAAAATGCAATTACTCCATCCAGAATAGGGCGGGGAATATGCTCACAGGTGTCATTATCTCTCTGGTTTTTGGCCCAGTCCCTTCATGCTTTTTGTAGAAGTTGTTCTTTAGTGTCAGTGTGGCATGTCACCTCACTTGGCAGCAGAAATTGAACTTTCTCAGGAACTGAAGAGAATACATTAAGAGAGGAAGAGAAAACCAAATAAGAGCTCAGTGGTGGTTTTAAGTAGTGAGCTTGCAGTTGAAGGGATTATTTTACAGATTTGCTCATTTTGCAGCAAGGTTTCTTCTTGACCCAGTTTACAACTTTCTCTCCCTCTCTCTCTCTCTCTGCTCCCTCTCTGTACAGTCAGCTTTGATTTCCCACAGAAAGGTAGCAGTCCAAATATACCACATTTTCATTGCAGTTAGGTTACTTAGCAGGCTGCATTAAAGCCCTCCTTGTGAAAATAACACCTGTGAACACAATGGTAATGGATAGTGCAGCTCGCTCCAACTACTCATTAGCAATATCAAACCTGATAGGAATCTAAATCCCTCTGTCTCTTGGTAAATGTGACTCTGACTGTGGGTCAACAAACCTAAAATGTTGCATAAGAGCAAAGGGAGACAGCCTGAATCCGCTTATTAAAATGGGAAAGTAATTGGTGGTCCTACAGTGATAAGTGTAATGAATTTAAAAACCTATTGGAGACGGTTTTTAATACCTCTGGAAGAAGGGAAACTCAGTTTGAGCGTCGACATGTCCCACTTTTTTGCCCTTTTTTGAAAACTCTACTTATATGCTGCAGCTGTATTAAGGGATGTGGAAAATCATCCTACTCTTTCATATTTATTTTTGTTTATTTATAATTTTGCTAAACATCGTTTCATGTCTGCAACCTCATGATTCTGCCAAGCTAACATCCAGCTCATGTCATTAGGAATTAATGAGTATTTAGTGCCACATATAAAAAGCATGTATCCAGGGATAGTTATGTGTTCTGCCGCCTTGGGAGCCTTCTTCCTCGCTAAGATCGAAACCCATCAGCGCTCTGATTTTTCCAGCTGCCGGAATAAGTCTTTCACTGCCTACTCTTTTAGAAACCTTATCCAAGTGACGACAGGAAAAAAGGAACAAGAGAGAAAAATGTAAATGCTTTTAGATAATTCCAATACTAGATTAAATTGTGAAAAAAAAAAAAAAGCCAACAAAAATTGGAAAAATAATTCCACTGCTGCTTTTGGTGTTGTGCTAACACATTTCACTTGATGCATGATTAGCTCCACATCTGAAATCACGACCCGGCAAGTCTGATGCTACAACAAACAGGCAACCTGCGAGCGCCACTCGAGCTGTTGATAACAAAAGCCATCACCCTGTGCACCGCTAAGCAGTTACCACATGATTTTATGAGAGCCACGCTCATTTACGAGTGCAATCAGTTGCAACCCAATGCCCCATAGGATGTCAGTGTTAGCGCCCCTCTTTGTCCTATGATGATGGACTGTCGGTTCAATGGCGTTATTGTAGCTGTAGTGGCCATCCAGGGAGTAATACATTGATAACAATATCAGCTCATAAAGACGGGCTGTTGGAGAAAAGGTCACTCTTTTCTTCTGCCTACTATATCTCTCTCTCTCTCCTTCCCTCCCTCCCTCCCCACGTCTTATGATGTCTCTACGGATTCTCCGTCACTCCCGCCCTCTCTCCTCTCTTCTTTCTCTGTATGTGTCTCTCTATCTTGCTCACTCGGGGTGACGACGGCTGCCCCTCGGTGTGTAAAGAAGCTGGAATGTCATGTTTTAACTGGAGTTAGAGGTATGTTGACAGGCCAGACAGAGGGAACAGATGGCAGTGTGACATGCCCAAGGTCATCTGGCATGCTACTGTCGGGAGCGCTGGATTTGAAACCCAACACTTTTCTTTTTTTTTTTCTTCTTCTTTTTTTTTTTTGCCTGCTTCCTTTTTTCTTTCCCTTGGATTTCTCCTCTCCTGCTCCCTTCTCCCTCTATTTACCTTTCGTTTTTCTTTCACCTCTATCTCTGGCCGCTTTGTCCCCTACTTTTTTCCCTGCTTCTTATTTTCCTTCTCCTCTTTCCTCTGCTTGCCCTGTCTCTAACTCCTTTTCTCTTTTTATCAGCCCTTCCCACCTCAATGTAGGTCACAAAGCCTCCTGTACAGGCTGCTGCCTATCTCTGCTTAAACACACTGCCCCCTAAACTCTCCTGACTTCTCCATTCACACACACACACACACACTTCTTCCACATCCGAGTTTTGTCCAACTTCCTTTCCTCTTTCTCTCCTCTTCCTGTCTTTCTCGGTTGGAGTCACATCAGCCCCAGAGCCAAATAAAAATCTGCCAAACTACTTTTGTCTCCTAAAGTCTTGCCCCAAACAGCGCTGTCAGCAGAGATGTAGAAAGAATCCAAATGAGCTTTAATTACCTGTGCAGCCATGCCCAGAAGGTCGTGCACCGGAAATCCCAACCACACCGGTACAGTAAGCATGCCCTGTCACAACACATGGCTTCTTTGTCTTCCAGCTAATTTCCAACAGAAGCATAAAGTAGACAGAGAAGGAAAAAACACACACATAGAGGAAGAGAGAGGGAGGGAGGGAGGGTGGGTAGCAAAGGGAGAGAAGTGCTGTCTCTCCTCGCTGCCTTACCCTCTTCGTTGAATGTTTTTGAGAGCGTGTGGAAAAAAAACCCCAAGAAGAAAAATGTCCTCACTTTACCCGAACTCTTGTCAGAAGTGGACGTTTCAGCTCAGCAGGCAGAGCCGTTTGTCCCTAAACAACATTCCCTTTTTTTTTTTGGGCGTGATAAAGAAAACATGGTGATACAAAAAGGAAAGTTGGGAGCTTAAAAACCTTTTCATTCATGTGATTAACATTTTGGGAGCACCCAGCTTCATACAGTACAGCATGTTTTTTTGATTTGCATGTTTATCAAGCATGTCAGACAGTGCATGTCCACCCCGCACAGAACGCTGTAGCCTCTCGTTATAATTTTAATGTTCCCTTGTGGGACTCCTACGGTGCTTTAGCTCCATTCGTAGCTTTCACTGGCTGCTCCCAGCGACACAAAGAGTGGCCTGAACAAATCCTAACAAGCTGAGAAGGACACCATGACAACAGCAGCCGCTTGAGGTGACATTTCCTCCAACAAATAAACACACAAATTTGTTTTTTAAGGGACTTGGTTCAACTAGATCTGCCTTCCCCCCTCTGATCAGTGACTCAAAACACACTGTGTTGTGTTTATTAGCATGTGTGTGCACTTGGTATTTGTAGATGTTGTGTTTGTTGTTGCTGTAGCTCAGGCCCTGTGATTATGCCTGTCGTTTTTTGGCAGAGGGTTGTCTGAATATTAACAACATAACAATGCTAGGGCTGATTAGCCTTGAACGCAGCATAGACGGCAGATCTCTATCTGGGTTGATACAGCAGTAAAATCACGCTGGGAGTGGGAGAGAGAGAGAGAAAGCACACACAGAAAGAGGAAGAAGGGAGGAAGGGAGGAAAAACTGTTTCAAATCTTCTCATCTACAAAGGTTATTTTCTGAATAGTAAGTCTTTCAGCATAAAACCGCATGTTTTTCCTTGAATAGAAATATGCGCAGCCACAAACAGAGAGCATATGGATGTATTTATGGCACTGCTTTGTTCTTGCAGTGTTGAATGTGTAATGCTGAGTCTTTAAAAAAGCCTCTTTTCATCTCTTGTTTTTTACTACGTTGCCCTGCTTTTTTACAAAGGCGTTAAACTTAGAGTAAATAGAATTACAAGGTAAATTACTAGTAGACGCTGATATCAATTGTTGCAATTACACTTCATAAACCTACTCGTTGCTTGGCACTCGCAGCTTTTTGCAGTCATGGGAATACAGGACATTTTCTGTTTAGAGGAAAAAAAGAAGTTAAGAGCAAGTATAAAAAGTCACGTCCAACAAAAGTTGATGGCAGTCAAAGTCAGGGTCCAGATTGACATCTCGGTGAGCAATTTGATTTTGTGGACAACTCCAAAGTTGTTGCTTCGGCCATTAATCACCCGCCTCTGGAGAGGGGAGCCCAGTGGAGCACAGGGCCCTCTCTGTGCTTCTACTACCGACTGAAAGCCAAACCCAGCGTTCTTGAACAATAGATGCCCCAACGTGACACCATTTTGTTACAGTGTGTGTGTGTCTGTGTGTGTGTGTGAGGGGGCAGGACGGATTCTTGAAAGTACAGTGACACCTAAAGGCCTGATCCTATAGGCCGTCTCTGTCTCTCTACTTCTCTCTCTCTCTCACCAGCTCTTGACTCAAGGACATGGTGAAATCTGGCCCGAAAAAAAAAAACTGATGAGTTTTCACTTTTACTGCACTTGATAGTTCCAAGCGCTTTTACAGGGCATCAAATTCCTCTCCTAATGACATGCCTGGGGCTGCCTGCAGGAAAAGTGGCATTTTCATCTTGCAGCCTGAGCATCTGATTGGACATTGGGTTTAGGAGCTGAAAAAATGGATGCTGTGCGATTTTAAAATGTTTTCTGCTATTGGGACTGTGGTGTGGGTCCTGTTTTTGTGCCCTTAAACCAGTTATTTTTCTTTTTCTTTCCTTACTTTGTTGTCTTTTTGGGGGGTTGTACACTGCAAAGGACGACCTTGTGTTGAAAAAGGAATTACAAAAGTTTTTTTTTTCCTTTTTTTGTGCCTTCGAACCTACTATTTTAAAATGTCTCTAATTTTCATGGTAATATTTGGATTTTTGGTCTAATATGGACGTGAAGTCCTATCTTGTATGAGTATCTTGTCACTTTTTTTTTTTTCATTTCTTTTTTTTTATTTTATTTTTTTTATTTATTTATTTTTTGTCATTTTTTCCCCCACAAACCATCCAGTTTTTTCCCCCTGTGGTTGATTTTTGTTGTATTTGACAGTTTGCTATTGGTATTCAGCTTCTTTTCCAAAATGAATATCAGATTTTTTTTTCCTCATTGAAAATTCAACTTTTTTTTCTATATTTATTTTTCTGGATTTTTTTTTCTTTCTCTCCTCCAACTATCCGTTCTGCCCAAAGTGGAGGTTAGTTTCTGCCTTTATTAATATTTATACAGTTTTTTTCTCACAACCAAGACAGTAAGGGTTTAAAGATTCAAACTGTTAATTATATATTTAAAGGTTGTATGTTAAATTTACTTATGTTTACATTCACGGTTCCTGAAAACAACGAATCATCTGCGATTTCGTTTCCCATCACACCACTGTGTTAGACTCGTTTACAGTACAGATCCTCTCTGTCTCTGGCTGTTTTTCTGTTTCTCACACGCACGCACTCACACACACACATTCCCCAGCTGAAAAGCACCACTGTAGTGGTGAGATCCTCACTGGGCAGCTCTTTGATCTCCCTTGTCTCTTGTGTCCGCTTTCACGGCCAGCGCTGCATGCAAAGCCAGTTTTTAATATGGCAACGCACCCTGGGTCCCAGAGTAACAATAAACTTTACCTTCAACTGTCAGCAGGTCTTAATCACTGGGATTACTGCAGCACTAAATGTTGGATTCCTGTTCATTTTCCTGCCGTTGAAAAAGGTAAACAGACCCAAAGAGATAAATATCCTTTGGAGTTCGCAATCACATTTTCATCACTTGCAAATATGGCACGGAAGTCAAAAATGGGGAAAGAATAAGCCTCAGTTTGCATGAATGTAGAGGTTCACAATGGAATTCTTTTTAGCTGGTGGGCTTTCAACCACAAATGTACAATCAGTCGTTCTCATAGAGCCTTCAGCGGGGCTTTTATTGGCTGACCTGTGAACAGCAGAGCTGGAGCTCAACAGGCTCACTAATGGAGCTTTAGAGGCCTGCACACGCTGCAAATGGCTGCAAGATATAGTGAGCATGGGATTGCTTCTGCGGTCTATACCGATGGATGGAGTTATCCATTCAGGGTAGTTTCTCTGTAGGAGCAATAAGATGGCTATGTAAGGAATATATATATATACTTATTGTTATTATTACTATTTTTATTATCACTCTGTAAAGGCAACAGTGTTCAGACAGTATTCATAGCCATGAGTAGTAAATAACATGTTTAAATGTTAATAAATAAATGCTGTTTTAAAGAAAACTTAAGTGTTTTTCATTATAAAGTATTAAGATAATATATGGAGACCAGTGTTATAATTTGCTGTCGTGTTGCATTTTAAATATATCCACTTATTCTTCGGCTCTTCATATTTTTATTTATAAAAACCGGTAGGTCTTGTGCTTTATGTGCCAACAGCTCTTCTAGTGTCAAAATTGTATCTCATTGTCTCAACATTTCCTCTAACAGGCAAAATATTTGAAATAAGTACCAATTCACACAACCTAAAAATGGCGTCTAGTGGAGTGAAGTGTGCCGTTTCAGAAAGTGAGTCCGTGCTCGGCTGGATCCAAATATTTTACCATAGCTTAGCTGCTCCACTAAAATGTGCACTCCATTGCCCCTTCATCTTGCTTTGAAAACACCACTGGATTACGGGCCATTGTCTCAGGAGTCAGGCGCCTTGACTCCCTGGCGACACGGGTCTGGTGCTTGTGTCATGTGGTGAGGAGAGAGAGAGAGAGAGAGAGAGGCTTAAACAATTCAAGAGTACAGACTCTTCTGCAGGCTCTGAAAGATTGGGCCTGCAAACAAGTGTTCATGCATTTTCAACAGTGATATCACTCACAGGGAATGCAATTCAGGTTGCTTCAGATGAATACATTAAGTAACGAGGAGCAGCCATTTATTTAGATTGTGCTGTATAGTCAAAGTTTAGGCTAAGCATGCCTGCACTTTGGTTAGACCAGAAAAAAATAGCTTTGTGGGTTTTTTTGTTTTAGTTTTATTCTTATTCAGACAATTGCAATCCATGGAAGTGACCCCACTTCGTATTTTTAGCACTTTAAAACAGATTTGAATGTATGAATAAACTCATGCAATCACAAATATTCCGGATCCCTACATGAATATTTTCGGAGAGAATTTGTGTTTTCCTCAGACAGCAGGGATTTCTCACACATTTGTCTTTGGTTTTCCATCGCAGCCCAGCAGTTAAGCGAGTGTTATCCGGCAGACATGTTCCCATCACCCCTTTTCCCTTTTACTTAATTGACTCGCAATGATTCCAGCTATCAGAGTGTAAGCACCACGGATATATGATGGCCGTCTTTATTGAAATGATTTCCATGGATGTTTGTCTCACTCCTGGCTCCATGTCAGACTTTTAGGAGGAGAGACAGAGAAGGGGTAAAGACAGAAGGGGGATGTGGGGAAAGGAGAATATGAAATTGATTAGTTAGCTGGATGGAAAATAAAGACTTCATCAAGATCACTTTGTGCAGTCTTCCCAATCAGCTGTGAAACAATACAGCCTTCTTAATGAGGACAGAGAAGGTGACTGTGTGTGTGTGTGTGTGTGTGTGTGTGTGTGTGTGTGTGTGTGTGTGTGTGTGTGTGTGTGTGTGTGTGTGTGTGTGTGTGTGTGTGTGTGTGTTTACTTCTGTTGTTTCACTCAAATGAAAGTGAAAGTGATCAGAAAGAGAGAACAAACTGAAGTGTGTGTTGTCCCAGATCCTTTACATCTGCTTCATTTTTTTTATTTTTTAAATTAAAATCTGCATTGCTGTTTTTTCTTTCTTCCCTCTGGCAAAGAACAAAATGAATTCCTTTTTAAATTCTCAATTGAGTGCTGTTGGATTTAATTTCTCAAGTCTCATCAAACATTAGAAGTTTAATTATGACCAACATCTGAGGTGCCCCTTTTTTTTAACTCTGTAAAAAAAAACACAACTGTTTGGACTGCAGCAAATTGAATTATAAGTAACTGTATCAAAAAGTCTGGCAACAATAATTATCCCTACAAAGACAGAACATCATACTTTTATACAAAATTCTGTCAATTTTAATCCCATTCAAATGTTTTAAAAATGATATTATATTGAATATTTATTGACATTCAAAATGTGTTTCTTCGAGCAATTACAATCCCATCAAGAAATTCTTTTAAAGTATTTATTTAATTCGGGGGGGTTAAGAAAACTCTAAAAATGACATAAAAAAAAGTCAATACCTGTAGTTAGTTGGATTCACTAAACTTAGAAAATTGATGCAATATTTCTTTTAAATCCAAGGATAGAATTTAATCTTAAATGAAGTATTTTTTTTAATTGAACAAAGTTTGTATTTGAAAATATAAAAAAAACAAAAAAAAAAACAGATATGTCTATATTTTTTCGACCAAACAGTCCTCGTAAGATTTCTTTATCTCCTTTTTTATACACAAAATTGAAACTGGCTCTTACAACTTCATTGACGTGGCCGCTTGTGAGCTTTTGCTGCATTTGATTTGATATATGTTACTTAATACAGTGGTACTGTGTTTGACTTTGATAATCTGTTTTTAAGTATCACAGTGTTTATAAAGCTATTGGAATGTTGATTAAATCAGATTTTCACATTAAAAACAGTTTAATCGATGCCGCTAAGAGAAAACAAACCATCTGTATATCAGTCTGTTGGTGATTCATGGTCTTCATCAGAGTCACGACGCTCCCATCATGAATTCACATCATGTATTCAGCTATATAATCTCTACCACAGGATCATTAGCACCAGACCTGCACTATATACCTGAAAACACTGAAATTAATCTAATGATGCTGCAGTCGAGGCACGAAAAAGATACAAAACATTAGACACTAAAGTAATAATAATTTTCGGGGCAAAATAAAATGTCCCTGTGGTGACGATGCTAATAAATTAAAATAAATTTACAGAGCAATCATAGCCAAACAAAAGAATATAATATTCTCAATTTTCTAAATTTGCCTCTCTTTTAGAGCCTCTTTAGCTCATCATCAGGGTGCCAATAACTCTGCCAGGCACTGTATTTATAACACTTCAATACACAAGACCACCATTTAAAGGCTAATTGTGAAGTTCTTATTATCAACACCACGGACAGTTGTGAGATTCATTAAACTCAAGTCTCCAACTGAGAGAGGGGAGATATGCACCAAACTGGGGCATGATGCAACAGCCAATCCCAATACAGCCCAGTCAAATGAGCAACCAATCAGGAGCCTGCTCCAGGTCATGCTGACGAATCCCTACGAACTTTTTTTTTGTGTGTTGGTTCCCCCTCTCCTGACTTATCTCTATGCTGATCGAGTATTCTGACTCAATGTGAGAATGGCTGTATTGCCATAGTGTTGCTGTAACACTCTCCCCTCCCCTACTTATTTTGGTACGACAGAGAAACTGCGGCCGACTCCTGGAAGAAACCCTGTGGCGACTGCTATTTATAGGGAAGGGACCAGAGTCATATTTGCATCTGGAGCTTATGAGACAGAGAGAGAGAGGGGGAGAGAGAGAAGCGTGACGGAAACAGTTAATTTAAAAAATATAATATATCCTGTTACCCAAGTCATTTCTTTTCAGGACAAATACAGACAGAAAGAGGAGAAGTAGGCAGGAGTGTTAGACTTTGTCCAGATTCTCTTTTCTTGCCCGTAAGGGAAAAAAACCCACCTTGAAATAAGACAGGCTGACCTAAATTGAATTAAATCGATTTGGATTCTCCTGAGCCTGCTTTTTCCACAGTGTACACAGTATTATCCTCGATTTCCTGTGACAGCGTCATGAGCAGTATGCATTACTCAGCTCCTCATAAAAAAATACTCCGGAGCTACCGCATCGATTCTCCTACTTCAATAATTGAGCCACCAATGCAGAGCAATGACGTCCCCATTGTTCCCGTTTGTTCCGTTGAAAGTGCATCTCCCTCAAGGCCTGCCAATGGTGGGGAAAATCTGAGGCCTGTTTGCTCAGAGTGAGTGACGTTTGCCATTAGATCAGCAAAATATGAATAGCTTCTGATTCAGAGGACAATCCCCAGATCTACTCATGCAAACCACAAAGCCTATGTGCTGATTAAAACCTGGATAGTCCAAGGATTCAGGTTTGAATTCTTATTCAACAAAGTGAAAAAAAATAAAAGAAAAATAAAGCTGCTCTGATGGCTTTCACACATTTCAGCCTATGTTCGTTCACCCTGTTTGAAGTTGCATCCAGAGCTCGTACGTGATCTGCGTGAGGCTGAAAATGTGAAGCGGTCTCCACGAGAAGGGGCGCAAAATACACACCGCTGGCTACGTCACTGTGAGCATCACAGAGGAGTGTATTAGATCACTGCACCTCGCTGGCATGCACAAAAAACCTGGATTGTCCAAGGAGGGTTACTTCTTAGAGAGTGGACATCCACATTACGACCACTGCAGCCAAAATATCCAAGCAACGATCGCAGGAGCAGACTTTGAGCATGTTAGGGTTCATCGACACATTAAGACAGCATAACCGAGGAGTGAAAGGAGTTGTGTTTCAAGGCTGTCAAATGAGACCATTTACACCACTGTTGTCACATTTTTTTTCTTCTTTTTGTATAGGAGGGGGTAAAGATATAAATATGTTAATGCATGTTTACCCCTATTCACCACAAGGGCACGGGTGCATTGAGTGTGGTGCAGCCCATAGTTGTGTGGTGGTAGAGGGGGGCTGAATGGAGAAGGAGTTAAGAGAGGAGAGGCAGAGGGAGAAGTGGGGATAAAAAAGATGGAGGGAGTGAGAAAGGGGGATGGGGAGGGGGGAGGCGTATACATTATTAACTACGACTTCATCACATGTTCCCAGTTTCTTGGGGACTTATTATTCTGAGGCGCTTTAATGAATAACAAGAACAGAGGGCAGAGGGAGAGAAAGCAAAAGGGAGTGATTGATGAAGCAAGTGCAGACACCGCCACCAGCTGGCTGACTCCAGTACTTCTCCACAAACAGGACTAACAAGGAGGTATACAGTTTATGAAAATAGTCACACAGGGCAACAACTTTTAAAGTGTCACTGGCATTAACATTTGACAAGGTCTCAGCCTGCCCCGCCGCATATAGATTGGGATTTGCTTTGTCAAGGATACTTGTCAAGCAGATGCATGACAACCAGATTTCATGAGCTCTGCGCTACAGAGAGGTTAGACGTCGAGGCCGGCACTTTGCAAAGCATCCTGGTGAATGTTTGTGTGTGAGTAAGAAAGAAAGAAAGTGTATTTGAGTTGAAAAATAGTCTTTGAGCTTGTGTATGTCTGTGTTTGCAGGTGTGTGTCTGCCTGTGTTTGTGCGATTGCAAAAGAAAATTGAAGGGTAAGATTTGCTGTATCCAAGGTGACCGCTCTATTTTTTTATTTCTTTGTCAGTGTTGGTGGGGGCGTACCAGATCACAGGCGTCCTACTTTCCACGAGTTTATCCTCTCACATAAGAGAAATGGACTTTATTGTGTAATTCCCTGACATATTACTCAATGTCTGCCGGTCTGTACAAACACATCAAAAGAGAGAGAAAGAAAAAAAAAGAGTGACAAAAAGAGACTCTATTCTTAAATGTCCATTAGTTCTTGTAACCTTTGGCCAAATCAATAGGTTGAGCTTTAAACTTGTCTCATAGAGTCAGCAATGTAATTTTGTGAACGCTCCCTGTGTTTGAATTGTATTAACACCGTGCACATTTTGTGAGCCTCTCCTCACTGTCGGGCCCCAGGAAGAAGAAAAGAGAAGGAGCTAGTGCCGGAGAAAGCGTGAGGACCTTCGGTAAAGGAAAAAAGGAGGATGTGATATCAGAGGTTGTCAGGTCTGTTTACAGAGTGGCATGATTCAGCACTGTGCGCTCACTGCTGCTGGCTTTCATTTGGACTCAGGAGAAAAAGCACAGCATGTGTTAGAAGAGCAGCGAAGGACTGAGAGGAGAACAGATTTGATGTGTTTACCTTAAGTCTTCATCTGCATCCGTGTCCAGATTGCTGTCTGCTCTTGGTTACCTCTGCTCCTTTTAACTCTTTCCAAACATTTGAACAAGTTGATGCATTTAACACATAAATACAGTCTCTGTTTTTTTTCCACACCAGTTTTTAAAATGATTTTTCATTGAAATCTAATAACTAGTAAGTCGCTCCAAGTTCAAGTTTCAATTGATGTCATGATTTAGTTATTCATTGCTTCCAACAAGCCTTTACCCTTGACTTGATCATTTTTCAATATTAATTCACAGCTCCTAATGATTAAATACACAATGCACTATAATTCTTTACAAGTAGGTTACTTTGGCATACAATGATCAAAAAGTCTGTTCTCACTCCAAGTTATGATAAAACAGCTAAAATATATTAAAAAGGACATTTTTAAACTCATTTCATGAGAGCAAAGCATAAGAGCATTTTTTTAACCTCACAATTATTGTGGCCTTAAAAAAATCACAATAACCTTATGATCCCAAAATTTGTGGTAACTCAAATTAAGAGACGTGAGAGGGAAGCAGGGTGGAGCAACACATTACTTCACAAACATAACTTTTTTGCCTCTATTAGTCGGAAATGCAGGAAGACGCGCACAAATGATCGTGGCTGTGAGTTAAACTAGCAACCGCTGCAACGGGGACAGTGACCACCACACAAAATATGAACACACCAGCTCATAGGCCAACCACAAGTCCACTTCATAAACTTCGCTGATAAACCTGTCTCCTTTACATATCATTATCTACTTCTAATGATGTTCAGTTACGTCATTTACATCACTAGCCCTGTAACAGTTCCATCTAATTTAACAAAAACTCACAGTGAATGTTTGTGACTGTTCACGCTACAGAAATCCAAAACACACAAGTTCACACAAGTATCGCGGTTTTTTTTTTTTTACAATTTTTGAATCGATTTTAATGTTCAAGAACTGATATTTTCTTTCAAATTTAAGAATAAATATAAAAAACTGACTTACATGTGATGTTTATTTTTTGGGTAAATATGGTTCCTGGAATAGCCAGTAGACAATCACAATCATTCAACTGTTTCACTGGTGTTAAAAATGCAGATTAAGAATCGAGAAAATTGACAATATCGTAGAATCCGAGTTTAAATGGAATCGACATCCAAAAAATCGTTGAAAAAATTGAATCAGGAGAAAAGCATATCGTCCCAGCCCTACTGGAAATGATTATGGAGTATGCCATATGTGCTTTCATTTATCATCTCTCACGATCAAAGAGGTGGGTCACCCACAATGAGGCTCGGCTGGTGCATTTGTATTATGCCTATTATTCCCTAGTTTCACCATCTAAGTTGGAGAGATTTTCTACTTCACTTTAAATGAGATTTATTTTTATTTTATTTTGGACTTACAGTCAGACCAAACAAACAATCCAAATATATCAAATATATCAGCTTCACATGGTCTGAGCCTTTTATCAAACATTTAAGAGACTGCATCATTTATCTCTTAGAAGTAAGAGCAGAATAATTGTTAAATAAAATACAAGTTTCAGACACACAGAGAGAAAAAAGTTATAAATGTTAAAGCCAAGCTGTGTATCAAAACATCTCAAATTGGCATTGGGACCTGTTGCCCTCGGTGACACCACAGGAAGTGAAAACAGCAGGAATGTTTGCATTGAAGAAAGACAGGGGCGCATTAATAAGGTTTCAGTGTGTTCTCAGTCAGCGCCTCGGCTTTGATGCCCCTCCATATCAGAAGCAACATGGATGGCAAAAGTTAGTGAAAGATGACATCTTGTCAAAGCTTGAATACCAGCCGCTCAGTAATGGCTTTAAAACTTGGACAGTCAGTCTCCCACAAATGACCACAGTCTGGCCTGGTCCTTGTCAGCTTTATTTTGTAACTCTAACCCCAGCTGCAGCTGTTTTTCGCAGCCCTTTGATTCCCTTTTTTTCTTTTCAACAATCGGGCCAACTGGTACTGTGTTGCACAAAAGGCGGCTACTTGTCCCCTCTGATGTGTGACAGCTTAACTGTTTCTCCGCTCGGCAAAGACAGAGTGCGGCAAACAAGCAGCAAAGTCCCAGGGATTCAGCTGGTGACTACCGACAGCCAGACTTCATTGAAGTGGCTTACCCTGTTTATTACACGGGGTCAGAGGTCACACAGGGCCTAATAACCTCAGGCAGGGCATGCAGACATGCCTGGCCAGAAAGAAAGAGCTCTGGTGGAAAAAGGCGGCTGTCGTACTTGTTTCCTGAGAAGAAGAAAGACAGAGAGAGCTGGTAGCATTTGACTTTAAGAGTTTTGGGAATTGGGACGGTGTGCACCTGTAACCTGTCACTCAAAGCCTGTCATCACCCATCTCAGCCATTCATCATGTTGGTAAAATCATTAATCTCATACCTTCCCAGGAGCAACTGGTTGCAGACGGTATCCATCCCTGTCTTGTTCTGCGAAGCGATACCTTCATCTGTTCATCTTTGGTTCTGAGGCAGCTTAAACACACTGACATTAGAGTCTCCAGTCAGTGTGGGAAAAAAAAACAAAAAACAACTCTTCTTTTTTTGTCCCTAGGTCGTAACGAGCTTTTGCAATAAGCAGAGACATATAAATATATCAGAGGGTTCTTCAGGTGATGAAAACCACAATGAGTTCACTAACACCCTCAAGACTAAATCATCTATCATGTTGTCCTACAAGACTGGACAAAGAGATCACACGCCCAAACCAGAAAGCAATGGGTTTGTTCGCCTGCTGCAGCAGAGGTAATCTCCACAGACTTGGCTTTATTGCCTCTCTCAGCCCTGTAATGATGTTAGGACTCTGGGCTGCTTTGGTTTGTCGGGCTCCGGCTCCCCAGCCAGCCTCCACTTGGCTTTGGGGAAGAAGCTGATATTGGCCAGACTGCATGAGAACCCCCCACCCCCCAAACAGGTTAATGCTCAGTTTATACTGCAGATACACATAATGAAAATATGCATGTCCACACACACGCGCACACACACTTGGGCGTGCAGATGAATACTTTTAAGATAGGCTACAAAAAGGTTTACCCTCATTTAACATTTGGTTTTCTCCAACAGTTTCTCATGTTGACTCACATAAATATTTCTAATGGCTGCACCGATACACTACATCAAATACTTAAAAAAAAAGTCTGGTGTATCATTAATTCCCCAAATCAGCCTGGTAAATTTTGTACTTTGAAAACTTTGATAACTGCTGAAATCATACTTCATGTGTCTGAGCAATGTTTGGCTGCACAGCATGAGTTTGTACTGACTGTCCCGCTGATACACTGCAGCTTGTTAAAAGATTTTCAATATAAGTTAAGATTAAAGGAGAAGAAAACACAACTCACCACTGACTTTTTTCTTGCTACTTTGGCCATCATTACCAGAGGTTATGACAAAAATAGATTTAGATGTAAAACTGCTTGGATCTGTGAAGATGACTACCTGACTACTTAATTTATGAGGATAAAAGTGACAAGCATCTACGTTATAGAAAATGCCAATCCTTACTCTTGTAAATACAGACGGAGTGAACGTTTCTCTTTGTGTGTCTTTGCTTTCTATTTCTATTATTTTCAGTTATTTTTCACTTTGCTATCGATTTCTTTTATCAAGTGCTTTTGCCATTATCACATTGTTGCACAATAACTTTTCACAGTATCTTAATTTTTCAAAATTAATAATAATAATGCATCGGATTTCATATAGTGCTTTATCAGAGACCCTCAAAGCCCTTTACATTGGATACATCATTCATTCACTCACACCTCAGTGGTGATAATCTACCTCTGTAGTCACAGCTGCCCAGGGGCAGACTGACGGAAACGTGGCTGCTAGTTTGCACTCACAATCATACACACTGGGAGCAAGGTGGGTTGAGTGTCTTTCCCAAGGACACAACAGACAGACTTGGGATGGGGGGGGAATTGAACCGCCAACCCTCTGGTTATTGGACGGCCATTCTACCTCCTTAGCTACTGATGCCCCACACACAGCTACTGTGTGTATTTGTCACTTTTTCACTTCACACCAAGCTTTAAAAAGCTGAGACAAGAATGTTTTTAGATGAACTAGACCTGAGAAGTGCTATATTTTGAAGTCTCTAAATTGACATTAATACATGAGTCAGCCTGTTACTCAGTCCTCTGAAGTGATAATTAATATTGTACTTTATTTCTATTTAGAGAAAGTATGTTTGAACTTTTCTTATGATCCATTTCTTGACCTGCACAACTTCTTTCTACGCAACTCTCAGTGTTCCCAGGCAATCAGCTTTGTTAGTGCAAACCTGTTATTACAGATTATAATGGCCAAAACTACATAAACAAACCCCTCAGTTTATGGAGCAGAAATTTCCTTTTAATAACAGAGTGAGTTTGGGGGAAGGGGCAGAGTGGGTGTAAAGGTGTTCGAGCACATGTTACTGTTGCCAAACAACATGAAATAAATGATGCAATTACTTAAAAGGCAGGACACATCCTTCTACCAAATTGCACAGCTGCGGCCTTGTGTGTGTGTGTTCGTGTGTGTGTCTGTGTTTGTGTTTGGCTGCTCGTTCACATGCTCTCCTTTGAATTTATCATGTCACATAAACTCATAGTCGCTAAACTCTTCAGGGGGCCTTTTTAAGAGCACTCTGTGTGTACTCTTTCTCACACACACACACACATCTACTCTGGCTTCTAGGTTCAACAGTTCACATGGTCACCTTGTGAACTATCCCTCAACCTCCGTGAGACATGAGTGGCCTCTCCCCTCTCCAGAGCAAAGGGAGGACTTAAATGAAATAATAAATATCCGCAGTATGGCTCCCTCTTGCGCACCGGGCCACTCTGACCCCTCTCAGGATCTCCTAAACCAGGCAGGAAGAGCCAACAAGGGGGCAGGGGAGTGGGAGGATGTCGGGGAGAGAGGGGCTACGTGCTGCTCAGGTGACCCAGGAAATGCCTGCAGAAGGCTGCGGACCATCTGATTGTGGCAGTGGTCAACAAAAAAGCAGGAGCTTCAGCTGAGCCAGGGTGAGCAGCTCTAAGCCAAGCAGCTGGCAGACATCATAGAAAATGTGTTGGTGTGCTGTGGACAAAGCAGGTCAGCAGGGTTATGATCCAGGAGGGACAGAGAAAGGTGGAAGAGGCAATGAACTCCAGGGATAGAAATGAAAATAAACCGTGGAAAGAAAGGCAGGAGAGCGAGGACTCACCACAGTGCAGTCCCGTTAGATCAACAAGACAGAAGCAACTTTTTGAGACAAAATGTCTGAATCAGCTCATAAAAGTACAAAAAAGGAATCGGTCAAGAGTTATTCATGAAGCTGATGCTCCAGGGAGCTCCAAACAAGTTCTTATTACGTTTTCACTCATTCATCACTTCTTGGAAAGTATATTATTTTTAACAAGTGATATATCTTAACTCCTTTTGATCCTCTAATGTGTCCTTGACCCCAAACAGGACACCATAGGAGTGACGTCTACAGGGCCAGTTGCTGTGGTCCATGAAAACACAGTGTGGGCGAGCCCCCTCTCTACGAGGCCTCAAGTTCAGAGCTGTTAAAACATGAGAGGACAGCAGGATTAAGTGAAAACCTACAGCTGTGGCTTGTGTTTGTGTGAGAGAGTGTGTGTGTATAAGAAGGTAGGAAAGGATACATAAGATTAAAAGGATGTTGGATTAAATGATTGTCATTCTCATTGGTATGTAAGGTGGTTTGCGCGTGTGTGTGTATGCATATGGTTACTGGCAAACAGAAGAAGAGTGTAATTTAACCAGGAGGGTTTCAGTCATGAATGTGGGGATATGTGAATGTAAATGTAGGTGTTGGATGAAAGTCATGAGGATCAGATGACCTTCAATACAGGTTATGTGTAAACACCCACAGAGAATAAATATGTATGTGTGGATTCCTGTGTGTGTGCAAACCCACACATGTCCATTCCTCCCTTATCTGTAGACGTTATCGCAGTAAAAACCTTACATGAACCTAAATCTGAAACTTAAATTACACCCTATACGTTGTTAAGTTTTGCCAAAATATGCAGTGTCCTCCAAGTGAGCCCTGGCATCCAAACTAAAACTGAAGTCGTACTTTCAGGGTGGTTCTGTGATGGTAAATAGATTCAAATAATTAGACGAAAATTAAAAATGGGAAAAGAATTCAAACATGGCAGCTGTGCTGAATAGTCCTCTACATGCTGAACGAAATCCAATCCCAGCTTTCCGCCAAAAGTTGTGCCAAAAACCCAAAATCTGAGTATTTCACTCACTAAGCTGACATCCAACGTGACATCCACACATCACGAAGTGAGCTCATCTAAGCAGGGGGAAATCACACTGCTCTGTGTTTTACTTTGATTGCATCATATTTGTCTTGCTCAACCCTTTTTTTTTTTTATGTATTTATCCCAGCGAGACCTTTTTTGATCTTAGTCCTGATCAATGATTAAAACTGTTTTACCTTTACTCGCCGCTATCACAGGGCTTGTCTGTTCTTCACTCTCTGTCTTTTCTCCTTTCTTTCCCTCCAAGAGGCATCCAGGGACAGGCTTCAGTACAGCGCATTTCTAAACAGCCTGTCTACGGGGGGTTCGTTTGTTTTACTGTCCCAGCAGGAGGGTTGATGGGAGTCAACCAGGGTCAGAGCAGGCTGAGACTTCATAGCCGTACTTTGACAGAGGGGCGTAGCCTCTGCAGACCCCACAGATTGCTGGTTCAATAACGGCGCCAGGCACTGCTCTCAGGGAGTTTATATACCCTTTATAGAGGACAACTTTAATCAACCATGGTTGAGCTGTTTGTGTTATTGTTTTAAAGGAGTAGTAAGTCACTTTTCTATTTTCACACGGTCAGATTTTCATATAGTTTTACAGAGGACACAACTGCTAGAAAAATGTCTTCTCAGCTCGGCACCATTTATGGTAAAACTGAGAAAAGTCGTTTAATTTTTAACAGGCGAGTATTAAATTTGGAGGTTAAGAGGATAACTTCCTTGTTTCATTTGGAGAATGCTCAGAGCAAAATAGGGATTGTTAAAAATTCAAGCAGCATGCCATTTCAGCATATATAAAATAACTTTTTTTGCGACGGAGGATGTATTTAGGCCAGAGTTTTTACCTAGCCTTGTCGTCATCTCGCATTGCGATGTCCAGCCCCTGGAGGATGCATGAGAGGAGTAACGGTCATGGTGAGCAGTCTTGGCAGATGTGAGCAGCTGGGCTTTGCAGAAAGGCTACTTAAAGAGGCCTTACAGGTGCTGTAATGAGACGGTTTTTAAAATCCCCCCGCCGACTCGCTCCTAATCAGCCTCGGGGCTATTTTTACCAACCCCTATGGGCCCCTCCGGCTCATCCACTTTGAGTTACTCTGCGAGGGCACGTTGTTCTCACACATAGAGATAACACACCCCTGTACATGCAAATGCGGCACACACACATTTGCACAATCACACACTGGCACACATTCACATCTGATACAAAGCCACAGGCAAGACAGTAGTGGCACGCCTCTTTTTTGTTAAAGTTTTGTCTGCTGGGTAGTAAAAGCATTAACTTCCATCTCCTGAGACACTGAAAAAATAATAATCAACCTTGACTTCAAAACAGGACAAAATGTTGGATTGGGCTACAATAAAAAGCTAAAATCATCAATAAAAGTTATTACTGGACGTGAAGGTTAAGTGAATCACTTGGATTATGTCTTCTCAATAGCACCTGTCAGTGTGTTAGATGTGTTTGGCAGCAAGCTAAAATTTCATCCTTGAAGTTGAAGCAGGACAAACAAGCAAGTGGAAGGATGTAAACGACCTTGGCAAAGGCCAGTTTATGAAGGTTAGAAGACTGGGTCAGTGTATCTCCAAAACGGCTGCTCTTGTGGGGTGTTCTCAGTCTGCAGGGGTCACTACCTACCTAAAGTTGTCCAAGGAAGAAACACGGGTCAGCTGGTAATAGGGTAATGGGTGGCCAAGGTTCACCGACTCTCATGGGAAGGCTGGTCTGAATGATCCATTCCAACAAAAGAGCAAGCGGGTTCAAGCTGCTTTAAAAGTTAATGCTGGTTCTGACAGGAAAGTACTAAATACACAGAGCAAAGGTGAGGGAGTCCATGCTAACAGCTCTCTCCTGCCAAAGGCAGAAGAAGTGCACGTGATCATCAAAGCTGGACCAAGGAGCAATGAAAGAAGAGGGCTTGGAGGAGTTCAGGGTGTTGACTCCCAAAGTCCACAGATCACAATCCAGTCAAGCTTCCATGGGATGTATCTGACAAGACAAGTCTGGTCTAATAGCGGGCCCACCTCACAACTTCCAGGGCTCAAAGGATCTGCTGCGAATGTCTTGTTCCAGAAACCACAGCACACCCTCAGAGGTGGAGTTGAGTTCATGTCTTGTCAGGTCAGGTCAAGGCTGCTTTGGCCCCGACTTAAAGTGTGACAGTTTTTTGGGCCATTTCTAGTGGTTGACTGAGTGGGACACCAGACTGGAGGAGGGGGAAGAGTATTACTTAAGCAGGGACCCAAAGTTGAAGAGGCCTTCAAATTTAAAGTAATAAATGGCAGGTAGGAAATGTCCTCATACATGGCCAACGTTTTTGTGGACCACTCCATCAATCGATATCAAATTTGCTGATGCTAATGCTGAAACCAATACTATGAATTAGAGAGCAGGTCAGCCAGTATCTGATATTTTTATTAATTAATTCATGATTTTTTTTTGCATAATAAAATAAAAGAAACACATATTATTCCATCCAATTCAAATTTTGATATTCATGGTTATCTTTGCCAGTGATATAGATGAAATTTGAGTTAATTAATAAAATAGAAAAATACATACAATTCAACATGCTATAGATTCCAGGGCACGGCTGTTTTTTATCAATTAATCAATCAATCTTTATTTGTATAGCACTTTTCATACAAGACAATGTAGCACAAAGTGCTTTATACAGAAGAATAATAAAAGAAAGAAAGAATGCCCGACTCTACCCCACCCCATCCCTGTCCTCTCATCCCCACCTTGCTACCCAAGCACAACAGAGACGAGTTTTTAAAAATGCATTAACTTAAAAAGAGCTTGATTTTAGTAAGAACAAGAATATGGCACAGAGGAAACGCCATCTTATTATTCAAGATAAGGAAACACCGGAGGTAAGTTTAAAAACTTGAGACAATGTAACATAAAATGAAATTTAAGAAATAATATAGAAAAATGACAAAAACAAAAAAAAAAAAACAAAAGTAAAAGATACTAAAATAAGAGCACCAAAATAGCTCAACAAAAGACGATCCTGATATCAAAACTAAAAAGAGATAAATGCTAAAACACTCAAACAAAATTAAGTTTATGATAAAAAAAAAATGGTTAAAAGCAAGACCAAAAAGGTACGTCTTTAGTTTGCTTTTAATTATGATAGGAAGAATCTATTATCTTTTAGGAGGATGCTAACATTTTACAACAGTAGCTACACTGATAAGGCTGCCAGACATCATGTGTTTATTTTTCTAACTGGCCTTGAGAGAGCAGGCAGCAGCTGATGCTGATCATTTCCAAATGCCAATGATCAACACAATCGATTAATTAGTCTTGCTCCAGCCATTTCTGTTGTCCAAAGTTCAGGAAAGGTATCTGAGCTGGTGAACAACGCCAACCATTTCCTGCACTTCTATTTAAAACAACCCAGACACATTTGTCACAGTTTATTCCTATGTATGTACAAAATAGTTGCTCTTAATTGCCCACCATTTATGATTAATACTTGGAATTTTATCACTTCCGCTTTCTTTATTACAGTTTTGTGTACCCCCCCCCCCCCACCCCCACACACACACACACACACACACACACAAATAACCACAACCACCTTTCTCTACGTTTATGCGTCTACTTTGCTGATTTTCTAGAAAGCAACTTTGTTCAAACTGACAAGTGCAGCTCTCATAAGCTCTTAAAACTGTAGCATAAATACATTTGAAAATAATGGTAGGTTTTAACTCATTCAGTTCATTCATATGTTTTGCAGTGCATGATGGGAAAGCGGCAATGAAAGAGGTAGGACTGTAGACTCTAAATCTGTTGCTAATAAAAATATATAAAACCTCAGTAAATGCACTCCCTCTGTGTTTTGCAGCTTTGACTGACACTCTGGCAGGTCAACAACATGTTTACTACATGATTCTTCACGCTACCACACACATACACACAACATGAAATGTGGCAGTGGAAATCTCCAGCTGGTGAAAATCACGCTCCTATCACCTCAAGAAGAGGAGGCTCAGCCTAATGTGACTTTGCCACGGCAGCAGCTCTTTAGCTTTTGGAAACTTTAGGGTTATCAATTTTTTACGTGACTTTTGAGATAGATATTCAAAGGTTTCAGAACACGACCAGATTTTTAAACATGACACACCAAAGTGGGGTTTAATGCTCAGAGTCTGGTGCTGGCTCCATCATCAGGGTACTAGTCATGCTTATTACTTGTGTTCTGGCGTGTTTACTTCCTCTCAAAAAAATCTTTCGCTCCCCATCTGTCCCTTGGTCTGTCTAGCAGGGAAAGCCAACTGTTTGTCTCTCTTTTCCTTTTTAACTTACATCGAGGAATAGCTGAGTGCATTCTGTTATGCACAAGGATATAAGAATAAAGAGAGCTGGGATGAATTATCAATCGCTGTGTGCATTTGAGGAGCAAAGTTCAAGGTTCAGGGCAGATCTTCCTCTGCTTTCAAAAATCAAAGCATCCTCAGATGAGCTCTAGCATCAAAATTTGCTCAAAGCTTTTGGAAATGAATGCTCAACATTCATTTTAAAATCCAGATAAATTTTTCCCTCTGCACTTTTTTGATACCCTCCATCTGCATTGGGGTCCTGCACTCTGGCAGAGATAAGCCATCTTGTTGGACTTTAGATACAGGAAACTCTGAAAAGCTGCAGAGCCTTTAGCCCAAGCGCGTATATACACGGGTATATTTGTATTCCTCAATGACTAAAGAGAACAGAAATAGGTTAATAATCCGGTCATTCATCCTCCAGTGACGGATACACACAAGTTATCTGCACCTACAGCTGATAGAGGCTCACTCCAGTACCTGAGGCTATACTTGTTCTGAAACTATTACACATCAGCCTGGCATTGTATCGAATATCCACTGAATATATTCAAGCACTTACTCATCTTCGGTGTCACCTCAAATACAAAGAGACAGATAATTGTAGAATATATTCACATTTTATTGAAACAACAGTGTAAGGTAAGAGCTTTTTCGGTCTTCATCACCTGCCCTTTGACAGTAACTTCTGATTACAGTCATGTGGCACACAGATACAGACTGTATCTCGAGGAGTCATATATCAATAAAGTGATTTCAGACAGACTTTTACTGTAGATTAGTCACAGAAAATGAGGAAGTGATGGCAATAGAGTGTGTTACAGGTCATATAGATGTCA